GAGAACTAATAAGAAGTCGTGCGTTTAAAGAGAACTTATAATACCTAGGAGAGATACTTGTGAGTTCGTCGCGACTACTATACTAGGAACACAGCCATTTATAAAAGGGACATACGTAGCGATGGCTCACCACACTAGTTAGATATATAAATATAACCGACCGGATACATAGATAGAAAATAGTATACTTTATAACTAATTTAACTTAACGTGTTAATGATCTTAATACTTAGTATTTTAACGACTTTTTATTAGCTTTTTAGAGATTTTATTAGAGTCTTCTATATTATCTCTAGCGTTATTCTTATCTTTATCCTTATCTTCTTCTTCTTTATCTTCTTTAATAGAAGATACTTTTCTTTTTAAATTTTTTAAGCTTTTCTTAGCTAGTACTACTTTATATATCGGAGCTACCTTTTTAGCTTTTATAGTAGAAGAGCGGCGTTTCTTTAATTTTTTCAAAACTTTTACCACTAGTTCTACGTCTTTATCTTCTTTATTATCCTTAATATTAATAGTTACTTTTCTCTTTTTCAACGAGACTTTAGCTAGTAGTTCTAGTTTCTTATCTTCTATGTTATTATCTTTATAATCTTTAATTTCTATAATAGAAGGTGCCTTTTTTTTAGTTTTACTAAGCTTATTTTAGTTAAGCTTAGTTTTACTAAGCTTTTAGCCGTAGTTTATATATAACTTTTAGATACTATCTTTAACTTTTTAGTATTAATAATAATAGAAAGCGCTTTTATTATCTTTTTTAGCTTTTTAGAGACTAGTACTAGCTCTTCTTCTTTAGCTTCTTCCTCTTTAGTCTCTTCTTCTTTAGCCTCTTCTTCTTTACTATCTCTCTTATTTACTATAGAAGAAGAAGGAGTCTTCTTTAGTTTTTCCGTAGCTTTATAGTCTATTTCTATAGCTAATTTTAATATTATAGTTTTAGTTTTTATAGAATTTATAAGAGGAGGAGATATATTACTTGTTATTTTTGCGATTTTAGAAACGGCTACTTTTATAGAATTTCTAAGAGAAGGAGTTATAATATCTTTTATTTCTATAATCTAAGTAAGTTCTTCTAGTACTATATTCTCTAAAGCTAATAGCGGGTAGTTACTACTATTTTTATATATAAATTTAGAAAAAGGTTTGGTAAAATTAAGATTATTAGACTATACTAGTAGATAAGTAGTCTAGTAGATGCTCTATATATATATATTAAAATTATTAGGATTCTTAGGATCTTCTTTATTAGTTAACTTAAATTCTAATAAATTATTCTTGTTTTCTTTTGGCTTTTTTACTAAAATACTATTTTAAACTCTTATTACGTGACTTTAATAAATATATAGATTTTTATTTTCTTTCTATTATATAATCTATTTTACTTTTACTTCCTAGTCTAATTATTAGCTTCTCTAAGCTTATATCTTAAATAGCTTAGAATTACTAGGATTTTTAATATCTATAGTAGAGTTAGAATAAGAAGGTAGTTTTAATAATATACTACTAGAGATATATTAGCTTAATTATTAGAAAAATTAAGAAAAGTAGAGATATATCTAGAAGGAAAATTCTAAAGATATAGTGTTTTTTAAGACGTCGCGTTTAGAAAATATATAAAAATAAGTTATATTTTATATATACTTATAAAGTATAGATAGCTTAAGATTAAATATATAAGTTCTTAAGGTAAAGTTAAGATAAGGTTTTAAGTAAGGTTTTAAGTAAGGATTTACTTACTTTTTTAAGCCCTTAGATACTATTTTAGCTATAAATAGTAATACTTAGTAGTAAATACTATTAATTATAAGCTATATAGGGCTATATAAGGGCGGAGATAAGCGTAGCGTTAATATAGAGGTAAGGTATAGAGATAAGGAAGTAAGTTTAAGGTTAAGGTTTAAAATATAGACGCGTGTGGCGGTAAAACGTCGGTAATACCGCACTAGCGTGTTTTTTGTCTGTGGCTGGACGGTTACCTTGGCCTCAGAAGTCGGAAGCTGCCAGCGGCTGATGGGAGGTTGACGTCACCGAATGCCGTGCGCGCCTCCACAGTTTTTTTCCAGTTGCGACTATTACGCGTCCCTATACCAAACACGGATATGGAAGTAGGATATTGATCAAATAATGCTACTCGTCCAGCGTGCGCCATGTCGCATTGCTCTGTCAAAGAAGCCCTTGGGTTCATTGCTCAGGTCACAATATAGCAGCAGTGCCGCAGGCACGTCCGACCCACGTCTAGGGGACTTAGGCAAAGTAATCCAAGACGAGTATGCGCAAATTCGAGAGAAGTATCGTAAGTTTTTGCGGTATCAATGAAATACACAGTCTGACATGTTGCAGAAAAACCAGTTAGTCAGCTCTTCATGGAACTTTGTACGAATCACCATGGACTCACGATACTTGTAGAAGTATCCAATCGTGCTAGCTCATGGCCTCCTTGGCTTCGATGAATTACATCTTGCTGGTCGATCACTTCCAGGAGTACAATACTGGCGAGGTATAAGAGAGGCTTTCAAAGTTAACGGTATAGAGGTCATGTCAGCGACAGCACCTGCGGCTGGATCCATTGAAGAAAGAGCAGCAAAGCTTGGAGAAAGCATACACAGGCTTGCGAGGGGCAAAAGCGTGAACATCATAGCGTAGGACATAAATATACCATAGATAGTGTCAAGGCTGACTGTAATCAGGCATAGCATGGTAAATTGAATTTGAGGATACCGACTGAACGACTTCGCTAACCAGTCGACAGGGGTATTGACAACTACTCGACCTTTTCACTTGGACCTTGACTGAACGCTCGTATAGTGGACTCGATGCAAGATATATGATCAGCCGCCTGAAGCCTTATATGTGGACGTACGTTCTTTGACCACGATAGCTACGCCCCATCGGGGATCTGCTTTTGCAGACTATATGTTCAAGCAGATTGGCCGTAAGACCTTCTCCTGAGCATCAGACATGGTAACTAAGTGACAGGTAGCCATAAACATTCCGAAGCTCTATAACATCCTCGAGAGCTTTGGTCTCGAGACAGGCGCCTTCTCTCAACTTACAATGGAGTATATGCGTAATGACTTCAATCCCAAAACACCAGATGTCGAGGGCATCCGGTTTGTTCTAAGTCTTCGACATTATGTACGCGGCTCAATAGCACTCACCCTTGCCAGGTATTTTTCTTATGGTGCGTCCTTGGAACCGACCTTCTGGTCTGTCTTCCGCCCATCATTCAACATCATAAAGGAAGCGGAAAATGCTCCAAATGATGGTCTTGTGAGGTATTCTTCATGATCAACCATGCTTGAACTTGAAACTAAGCATAACACCAGCGTTCCCAGTAGTCAGTGGGGTGAGTATAGGGGCACTCTAGTAGGAGTGAGCCACTTAGATCTAATCAACTGGACCAACCGCCTGAAATGGTTTTTCTGGGAACTGACTGGCAGTAAACGAAAGTAAGCTTAACGCAAACGGGACGTGAAACGCCAGAACTTCCACAAGATGACTGACATAGCCACAGTTTCAACGCTATTGCTTTCTATCTTGCTATCACAGGTACACCGATCTCCAGTTAACAAGCGATAAGATTCTCAGTGTTAACACTCGTTATAGATATGTTAGCAAAGGAGGGACTGTAGATGCGACCTGATGTAGATATGGCCGATAAATATTCAATAGTGCAACAGAATTATTTGCATATACCGAAGATAAGGACTTGTAAGAATCTCTGCTACATCAGATAGGAGACTATACACCGATGCTACGCACACTTTTCTGTTTGTTGGTCCATGGGCGGAGTCCTGCAATACTAGGCCAGCTGAGACGCTCCAGGAGGGGCTGAGGCAACCGTTTTGCTGCCGGACCGCACCGCAAAAACCATCGGGCCAGCCATGTTTTCTCACCACAGTTGACGCGGCCTCGGGCTGTGTGAAAGATTACCGCATTCACAACCACAATCAGCCTTCATTTATATCAGTTCCTACAAGTCATAGGAACTCCTGAATCGCGCTCCACCGAGTATATCATCCCTTGGTCATCTCATTCATACCATGCGATCTGCCCCACCTGTCGTCATCGGTTCCTTGTCGCGTAATCCAACCTGAAAATGATCGTGTCCGTCTACCTCGAAAAGCAGAATCCGCTGTATACGAACCTGGATGTAGTAAAGGGCAAGGTCATATTGAAAGTACCCACTAGTACAAGTGTGAGCCAGGTCGTTGTGAAGCTCGAGAGCGAGTGTAAGACGCGCCTAACGGCACCGAACCTGCCTGGCAGGTCGGAGCGTCAGAGAGTAGTCCTGGAAGTTCACAAAGTCAGTCATGCGATCGCTCCCTGTTTCTTGCACGTACCATGCACTGTCTGCGGTATTAATAGATTCGACAGTTACTATACAAGACTCTGACGGTATGGCCACCGCAGCACATGCACGGCCAGGTAACGAAGAATTCCTTTACGCTCAATGCTGGCCAATATGACTGGCCTTTCGAGTTCAAGGTAGGTCGAAGTCTACATCGAGTACGTCGGAGTACCACAGTGCTGATTTGCCTCCAGATACCTCTCAATAACCAATGTTGGCAGCAAACTGGCTATCAACCTGCGGTGACCTTCGGTGGACTGCAGATGGAGATCGCAAAACCTCCCACACAACACACCAAACAGACGCTACCTCCTACCTTGAATGGCTTCCCCGGCGAAGCGGAGATCAGATATTTCGTGAAAGTGACTGTCGCGAGACCACAATTCTACAAAGAAAATTTGAGAGCAGTATGTTACGGGCTGTCTTAGATAACAAATCTCACATTGACCTCTCCTGCAGTGGGCCCATTTCAACTTTCTACCAATAGAGCCACCACCCGGTTGCAGAGATGGCGAGGCATATGCAAGGAGGCAGCATCAGTTCCTTCCAGAGACAGGCCCGGAAAGAAAGAAGAGCATATTCGGAGCACTGTCTAAGTCGTCTTCATCGGGGCCCGGAAGTCCTCCTGTCGGCTCTCTTGGTCCGCCGCCACGCTTCGCAGTAGACGTGCGCCTCCCGAATCCTGCAACACTCACCTGCAATGATGAGTTGCCACTCCGTATATTGCTGAAGCAGCTCAGCGAACGGACCGCAAATGTATATCTGCAAATGCTCCAGATTGAGCTGATAGGTTACACAAAGGTACGAGCACACGAGTTCTCGCGCACCGAATCGAATAGCTGGATTGTCGTCAGCCTTAGCAATATGGCGATACCGATCGGGTCACCCAGCGATGCTGTCGATACGGAAACTGCCATCAATCCAGAGTACTGGATGGGCAACCCTTTACCAAACACAGTGGCCCCCTCGTTCGAAACTTGTAGTATCTCGAGGCATTACGAGCTTGAAGTTCGAGTTGGTCTTGGTTACGGAACTTATCAGCATGGTAAAGACCAACTAGTTGTCCTTCCATTGCGACTGCCCGTGAGAGTCTTATCTGGTATTAAGCCACCTGGGGAACTCTTAAAGGCCATGGAAGCGGATACAGTGCCCGGAACTGGATTAAAGCCCCCTCTGGTCGTAACTCCTGGGCCATCTGCTCCTGGGCCTTCTCATCTTAATACACCAGTAAGTCCATCTGGTCCACCACCACCTCAGGGTCAAGTGTACCAGCAGCCTAGCGCGGAGTACGAGGACGCTCCTCCGAGTTACGAAGACGCGGTTGGTCAAAACCTTCCGCCCATCGATGGCCCCAGGAGAGCATATGCTCCTCCTCCTTTTCCAGAAGGAGAGCCTCGCTTCGAAGGCGATAGGAAAAGTTAACAATGTACTTTCGATTCGACATGACCAGAGCCAATCAATACACCGCTGCGATGCTAGCGTAATTAACACTGTCCTATGTCAATATCGCTTCGAATACTTCACCAGTCACCATTGATGAACTTGTCCCTGTCGTCGTGTCTTCACTCTGAACGTTGCCAGAAGGACAGCAAGGCCTTGTTCTCAAATCAACTTGAGTGACACAAGTCTGAAAGCGTCGAGATGTCGTTCCACACACTTCAGACTGGACAAGATCACAACACCGCAACTGCGATTATCTTTCTTATAAACAGTGTCATAGTGAAATGCTCCTTGTGTGAGATGCATATGCATAGTCAGCATTGTACATTGTGCTCAAAGATTATTAGACACAATCGCCACCCGCCCGCAGGCCTTTACTCGTTTTCAAAGCTCTTAGACCGCTCTTAATGGACTATGCGCCTTATCTATTCGAGTTTCCGCTCGAGAAACACAATCTGCCTTCTACACCTTGTGACGAAGCCCGATGCTCCATTCCAGCCCACGAACGTTTTATCACGGATCAAGGCAGACATTTGACAATCTCAACACCTGGATCAAGGATACCAAGCGAATCGGATACGGTATTCAGACCCACGAACCCTTCATTCAAGATTGGCCCACTATGCCTCCAAATGAAGCAACAGGTCTTCTCAACTTGCTGCAGCAGGAGATAAATAAGAGACTACCTATCGCTGAGAACGATACTGCACCGGTCAACTTCGCTCTATCGCAACAGAACGGTGCTCCGGCACCCCTAAGATTAAGTGATCCCAAGATGCCGACTGTAACGACCGCACTTAGCCCAACATCAAACTCTGATACACAGTCAATGTTTCAAGCCGCAGAAGCACAGCCTGGAGCTGATGAGCATGGCAGGATTGACGCCAGGGCGTCTCCGTCTTCACCGACGTCCGTTTATAGTGTTCCCTTTTTGCTGTGTGCTGACTCTGGCACTGAGTCTGGACCTACATGTCATGAACATCGGGAGGAAACAACGAAAGTTTCTAGGCATGTTAGTTTTACGGATCTGAATATCAATAAGTGCATGCCGCCGAGTACAACTTCAATGACTGAAGACAACGAAGAACATCTCACCGACAAAGCTATTTTACCTCCTCCACAATCTTCAGAGCCGCGTCTGTCGAACCACCCACTACAGCCTGTTCTCGTTAGCATTCGTAACGATGCTAAGAACTCACCTTTGGACAAGCGAAGATTGAACCATAAGACCCTAAGAAGATCAAACTACTTTTGGCACCATCACGCACGAGTTATTGAGCTGCTGGAAGAACGAGCTGAAATTAAAACAAAGTCCAAGCCTATGTCTGCTTACACAGTTCTGAACCTGGCATGGACGATTTTCATTACCGCAGCTATGACTACGAAGAAACCTCCAGCGACTGATGTTAGACGTCTACAAGCTGAAATGAGCAGAAGTTACATGTATTGTATGTGGATGGCAAATATGGATGGCACGGTAGACACCGACGCCCGGCTCGATGTTTCTACATTCTGGTATGCAGTCGGTGAGCCGCTCAGCTCGAGATTCCGACTCGATCTCGGACTTGGGTCATTGGAAGTCTCCATGCCGGGCACGAGTTCAGCTAAGCCTGGAAGCAGAGATGACTTGACGATCGCTCACTCTCATATTTTACACATTCTTAATCTCATTCAACGTGAGTTTACGAATTTTGACGACAGATTTTCACATCGGCGAGGTTCTCATATGTTCTGGGTGTTGTCTATTTGGTATTCCATGCACGACCTCCAGAAGTTTAAACTCGATGGATGGAAACACGAGCCGTTACTTTCAACTCAAGCAGTTAGAACACCAAGCATCGAAGACGCTGTAGCAAAACAAAGAAGACGGTGTAGCAAAACAAAGAAGACGGTGTACTTTTTCGACCGAGGATGCTGAACAGAAGATTGTCAAGCAGACTTCTCGGGTCCTATCAGGAGGTATCTTTGATGAATTTAAAGACTCTTCAACGTACTCTGTCGGTCTCAATGGATTCAAAAGGGGCAAGACAAAGGGCAGACGCTCGAACGTACCCAGCATTACAATCAGTCACCCAGAGACAAATCCTCCGTCAAACTCATATCTCTCAACGATCCCGGATACTCTCCTATCACCACAGAGCAGTAGACGGTCACCGCGTTCGAAAACTGGCGCAGCGCCTCGGAAATCTGGTGGCCGCTATCGCTTAGCCAAACAAAAACCTCTTCCCCCATTACCAAAGAAGGCTCCCGAAGATGGAAAAAGTGGTAATAGCCATAAGCAATCAAAAATCACGCCAAGAAGTTCTTGGGCATTGAAGATATGGGCACTAAAATCACCTCGATCGTCTCGTTCGGTGAAGGAAATCGACAGAAATAACGGCAGCTCCTTCATGATATTGGACTGATTGGTCACGATCTTTGCAGAAGGTGTCATGTTCGGTGGCGGTGCTTGATGTTTCGTCAGTTGCCACAAACGACAAGCAATATATCGGCAAAGTTTGGGGTCAACCTGACGAATATACGATCTCCAGGACTCTCACACTCACTACAGTGAGATCTTGCTGCAGGGCCAATCAGTGAGCGCTCTGTCGAAGAGCTCATTTCGCCGGCTTGTCCCAAGCAGCCTTGGAAGCCTAACGATACTCTTGGACAAATTCATGTCTGCGCCTCGTCTGCTTCGTGAACAGCTCTACCTGGCTGCTATGTCCAAAACAAGGCCTCAATGTTTCTATCTCGGGATAGTCAGATAATCTGATCCGCGTCTTGGGATGCCAGAAGCACGGCAGGCTGATACATGGCTACTCATTGGAATTCAAGGGACAAAGAGACACCTCTCACCGAACCTTCGCTTCAACCCAATGACCCTCTGTACTCATTCATCGCTGTATATCCTTGGCATCCTCAGTCAAAAAAGATGTGCAAATTTCTTGACGTAAAGTTCAGCCAACCATGACTGTCTTACTACGTACACATACATTGTTACTCATTTCGTATCATATCAGAAGTCAGGATTTGGTTTGGGCTACAAAGGTGATGCCATAAACTGGTTTCGTAGCGCGATCTTACTTTAATAGCTAGATAATTTTCTAGGTAGGGTTTGCTTCACGTCGTAACTTGGTTTGAAAATGCTGAAGGTACAGTTCACGAGAAAACTCGAGCTATTGCTAGATGCGATGAGATCGGACGCCGTATGCACGAAGTGAAATATCTCGCAAGATCAGACTGTGACATGGCGATCTGTAGAAGCATGGAAAAGGGCAACGGCGACAAAATCGGGTCGCTGGAAGACACTTAAAGCGGCGGCGGAAGTTTCAGTACATTTTCAGCACAGCCAATAGTCCATAAGAGACTAGTCACAATTTCGTCTTTACGTGTCTCCATACTTGTATCTCCTCATGCCTCTCATAGTTTTCTGGAAAATATTGCGGCCCCAGCGTCTTCTTGCCAACCTTCCCGGTCGCAGACTTCGGCAGTTCGCCCTCGACAACTCGTAACAACGTAGGCAACTTGTACCCTGCCAGTCTTGTCTTGAGATCCTCTCGTAATGCATATATCGACAATAAGTGCGGGCCCTCACCATGGGTCTCCCGAAAATTCTGCACCATGCCCTCCTGCCGCAGCGTTATAGCCGCAGCCACTCGTTGACCATACTCTGCATCTGCGACGCCCACGACGGTGACTTCGGAAACGAATGGCAAGGCGAGAATCTCGCGCTCAATGTCCAACGCCGAGATCTTGTAGCCGCCAGACTTTATGATGTCCTGGGACGCGCGGCCGAGGATGAAGTAGAATCTTCCCTCGCGGCGAGCAACTGTGAAAACAAGGTTAGTTGTCATGCGTATGTCAGATGACGCAACTTACTATCGCCAGTCTTGTAGTAGCCGTCATTTTCGTGCGCGTTCCGCGTTGCTTCTGCGTCAAACAAGTACTTGGAAAACATATACTGCGTTGGGAGGGTCACATTAACACACATGCGGCGTTCTTAGGAGTAGAGTAGATTTCACACACCGGGCTTTTGATCAACATTTCTCCCTCGTCGCCCTCCGAAAGCTTGATATCCACGCCCATTACGCGCTCTCCCACCGAGCCATGCGGCACCGCCCCGACGCCCATGCGCACCTTAATCACCGCTCCGATCTCCGTAGCTCCGTACCGCTGAATGATCTTCTGGCCCAGCAGCCGCGTCCAGAAGTCATCCACAGGCCACGGCAATGCAGACGTGCCGCACATCAATGCTGTGAGCTGCCGAGCGCCCTGGACGTATTCAGCGCTATTCGCCTGCTTGCTAAGGGTATTCTGAAAAAAACGCATCATGCGCATGTATATGGTGGGTACGGCGGAGAAATGCGTCAGGCGCATTGCTTGGTCTCTGCTTACGGCCGCGTCGCGAATTCGCGTCCAGAGCCAGGTTTCGTCGAAGGAGCCACTGCGGAACTCAAGCGTGGCGCCGGCCATGAGCGCCGGGAAGAATATGAGGCCGACACCGGTGGCGTGGTGTACGGGAAGGACGTGGAGGAGGACGGAGGCTGCATTCATGGTGAAGTGCTTTACGACGCCGAGGGCGGTGTCGTGCAGGTAGGCGCGACGCATGACGGCGCCCTTGGGAGGGCCTGTGGTACCAGATGTGAAGATGACGAAACCAGCTGCGTTATCATCCAGATAACGGTTGGAGCTGATGTATATGTCCTCGACTTGTAACGGGTTTGTGCCAACACATGGCTCAACAGGGACAGACTTGAAATTCTTTCCCTGTGCTGTGTCCGCGTGTCTCTGATTGAGTAGTTGGCTTACTTCGTTTCCCCTTTGGCGCGTAGCATTCGAGACGATAACGAGTGGACTCTTGCTCTTATGTACAAAGTAGATGGCTTCTTCGACGGGGAGCACAGCAGCTAGGGGTACGGCAGCGGCGCCCAGGGCAATGACGGCGAGCACAGCCACGGCGTATTCGTAACACCCGGGCACGAATATGCAAATGTATACCTCGTCACCTGCATCGAGTGCCCTCAATACGTGCGGAGAAAGCTGATTAAGGAGCCTTTCTCGTAGACTGAGGGCATCGCTGAGTAGATCCAGGTATGACTTCACCGCCCCTGTCCGTAGATCACGTATAGCTGTTTGATTAGTGCCATAGGTTGCTATTCGTAGCAATCGCGTGAAGAATGGCTGAACTAGATTATTAGTTCAGCATCTTCTTGTATTAAGGGGCCACGGAATGATACCGAGCAAGGTAGTATGTTTCTTCCCGAATGTTGGGGAACCATTCCGGTGCGATCATCCATTTCCGGCTGCTTTGAGATTATCTGCTGGATTCTGATTTAAAGGTCGTAAACCCAGTGTATAACAGGAGATACAAGGCCTGGAACTTGGGCAATCACGCCGAGACGTGTGATGCATCCTGAACAATAGACATATCCGATCTTCTGCAGTGAACAGCACTTGTGCGGGGCGCCACTTCCGCTTACGGCACCGGCAATGGTCGGCTCAAAGTACTGGTCTTTTGCGTCTACAAGTAACGGCCTGAGGGCTAGAGAAAGTATTGTTCTATTTGTAGCTTCAACTTCCACAGAATCTGGCCTGTGCCATCTGTGTAATCGAATAGGGCATGGAAGGACCGTCCACACTTTCGTCCTAGTGTCTCAGTTTCAATCATCCTCATCACTATTCTTTCCCTGCTCAGCCACCTCTTCATCACTGTCGTCGTCACCATTGATCTCGACACCGTCAGCTTCTTCTTGATCCTCCATATTCGTCTTCGCCTTCCTATCGTTTTCTGCATCTCTTCGTGCTTGCTCGATTATCTTTTGCTTCTCTTCCCTTTGTTTCCTCTGTGTCACAACGTAAGCGCCCAAGGGACTCTTATCGAACTCGCACTCTTTCAAGAATCCGTCAACTCCAGCACGATTTTCAGGCGCAAATTCGACCTTTGCTCGCTTCTCCTCAATCCATTTTGAGTTTGCTTCAAGCTTTTGTACAAGTAACGAAATTCCCCCATTGACCTTACCGTTCTTATTACCACTAGCTTTAGAGCCCGTCTCTTTCAGCCAGCGCTTCAACATGACTATAACTGGCAAGGCTAATTCCGGAAAGGCGATGGACCTCGCCCATTGCACGAGAAATTCGGAGAAGAGTTCCACTACTTGCTCGCCGACACCCTCCTGGTAAATGCGGGTCCTCAGATACGACGCCGGGGTACGTATATTTATGCTGAAATCCAGTGCTTTGAGCGTACTAGGCTTCGGAGCCTTTCGCATCTCTGCGCTGTTCAGGACCTCGTATAATGAAGCAGCGAGGGGGATGTATGTTCCCGTTGTGCGAGTGATACGCAACAAGGATCGTATGAGTTGAAAGCGAAGGGGGAAATATTGCGATGTTGGGATCAATCTAAGGGCACCAAGCGTGACTTGCACGACAGGATATATCAGGGGCCGTAGGGGAGACTCTTTCCCAGACATAGCCTCGCGCAGGTTGTCGCAGAATAGGGATATGACACGTGACCAGAAGTCCAAAGAGTGAACGTATTGCCAGTTATAGACTTTCTTGTACGACTCGTTCTCCTTTTTGGTGATACTAGAGCGAAGGTGTATCGCAAGCTGTCGAATGAAGGTAAAACCTGTAGTGTAGCCCACCCCGGCGTCTATTCCCCAGAGCTCAGCGGCAGAATTCTTCATCAGGTTGACACCCTGTATGGTGTGTATCGTGGTGTTACGACTGCCTTTGACGAGACCCTGGTAGGTTGCGCGAAGGACAGACTCCCGAATGCCTGTATCGCCGATTACAGTGTACTTTCGTAGGACTAGGAACGCTGCAATGCGCGCAGCCTCGCTGTTAGAAGCATCAGACCAAATTTCGACAATAGATTTTACGAGATCCTTGACTAGCTTCTTGTGTGTCAGGGTATACGGCGCGACATTTTGCACAGCTGTGAGGGTGACTCTGAGGGTAGCATCATCAGATAAGTCTTCCAGAAGCTGTTGAATCGAGTTGACAAAAGTCTTTATGATAGGCGAGACTGTCTTGAACTTCTTCGACTCCGTTGATAATTGACTGTCTCCATTAGTCCTTAAACCGCCGTCCCGGGATGTAGATCTCACATTCTACCATCGGACCTCTCCTTGTATGGTACTTGATGTTGAAGTAGCGTTGGTATATTTTTAAGAGCCGTCATGATAAGCGCATGGTATGCTGTAAGTTATGAGCGGAGCGCTTGATGTAGACATTATCAAGCGACTGACCTTCAGAATCCGATATGGTGTATTTGAATTTTCCAGAATCTTCATCGTCTATACGTGTAGCAGCCCTAAACGCAGTAACGACCTCTCTTGCAGTTCGCAACGAATTTGACTCTAACATAGACTTGGTCCACTGTTTCACCTGAGGTATTTTGACCTCTTTTGCCATCTCCTTATCTTCGTCCTCGCTTGAGTCTTCCTCGGCCTTCTTTAATGCCGATTTCTTCTTCGTCTGGTTGCCACTATCGTCTGCTTCACTGTCGCTGAAGACAAGACCATCCATTTCCGCGTCCTCATCAAAGTCAAGCAACTTGGGCGCCTCGTCTTGCAAATTCTTGAAAAACTCTGGTTGATTCTTGGCAAGCATTGAAAGCTGCTCTTGGTGAGTCAAGCCGTCGTCCGAATCTGACTCGGTGTCGACTGGAACTTCCACTCTCTCGGTATCTTCATGGTTCTTGGTAGACACTGACTCATCCTCCGGTGGCATTGTACGTTTTCGTTTGCGATTCTTCGGGTCTTGTGGTATTTCGAAACCTCCAGCGAAGAAGTCGTCCACACTCATAGAGTTAAGCGCATCGTCATTAGGTTTGCTGCGCTTCTTCTCGGCGTCGTTGCCATCTGTTTCTCCGTCCTCTCGAGCTCTCTCCTTCCTTTTGGCATTCTTCTGTTCACGTTGTTTGATTTTCTTGAATTCTTTTCGGCGTTTGAGAACATCACCAAGGCGATTCTTCTCGAATTTCTTTGTCGCTTTTGACTGGGGCATCTTTGAAGCGTATCGCGTCGCCGTTGGCGAGATGTTGGTTGCGGCTGGTGTTGGGAAAAATCTGAGAGCTACCAGTTCTTGAAAATTAAGTGGGTCATTTAGTGGCACAGCACCCTAGGCTCAAACTATCCACGTGCTGTGCTCAGCAAGCTTAAATACTATCAGAGCTAGGAATTAGAGATTCTACTTACCAACAGCGACATTATGTATCACCAGCGCCAACTGCCATATGCGCCGACTCCCTATAGCTACACTCCAATATCTAATCTTTCGGCGACGATAAGCCTTGATGAGGTTAGTGTAGATCGTGTGAGTCTGGCCGCGCATTGTAGCTCACATTCAAGCAGGAAGTTAAGCTGTCCACGACGAACGCTGAGCGTGACCTTTACGAATCGCTGGCGGAGCTTTATAGTATCATTGTTACCTTGGATGCAGTCGAGAAAGCTTACCTTCGAGATTCGATGAAGGAAGTGGAATACACAGATACCTGCAGCCGCCTCTTAAAGCAGTACAAGTCTGTTTTGAATAATGACACAGTTGCAAAAGCCTTCGTGGATATCGAAACATTCACAAGAGAATGGGATGTATGTATACTTGGACCAGACACGATGATTGACTTGCTTATATGCCACAGATGGAATGTCCTCGAGCAACCGAACGCATAAGGGTCGGTATCCCTGCGACAGTCGAGGCTTCGTCATATAAATCGACCACCAATAATGGAGGCAATGCAGACGCCGATGTTATCTTGGTGGTCACAGCTACTGAAAACTTCATTACAGTTCTCGATGCCGTCAAGATTGGGATGCTGGAGAAAGACACATTGCATCCACTTCTAGCCGACATTATACAGGCCGTGAACAAGGTTACCGATGAGGAATTTGATAGCAAGTCGAAGATTATTCAGTGGTTGATAACCCTCAACCAAATGAAAGTGTCTGAAAAGTTAACCGAAGACCAAGCTCGGGAGTTCCAATTTGATATTGAACAAGCATACTATGGATTCAAGGATACTCTGAAGAGATGATCCGGATTCGACTACTTCTCCACCATACCACATTACAAATATCACGAGGACTATGACGACACCGCCCGTTCAGGTAGGTATGCGCCAGCGCTAATTAACCTGACGCACGGACGAATACCAAATATTCTACATCGGACACCGCCAGGCTTACAGCATCCAGGCGATGACCACTGCGCCTTGAAATATGGGCCAGGGCAATGTAGCAGACAATGCAGAGCAGTTGCATGGTGTGTCTAGGAGCGCGAAAATCCCTACAATTACGCTAATCCCTATCAGTCTTCGATCTACCGCAACTTTATACAAAACCCTCGGCCGATATCCTCCTCCAAACCCTAGGTCTTCTCACCTCCGCCCCACCATCATGGGAATGCAGTGATTCAGAAGACTATTCAGACGACTATGTAATCTCGACGCGACGACGCCGGTCCATCGTCTCCGGGCAGCCTGTACCGAGCATGTCTGTCAGCAACGATGGTGTACCCAGATACCTGACCGGCATAATCTCAAGCAACTTGGATTGGATACTCGACGAGAAAGCGAAAGAGCTCATTTGGGAGCAAGCAAGTCTCAGGCTCAGTGAACGATCAGGTCGAAGTGCTATGCCCGCCATGACCAGGAAGTTTCGAATCCCATCAGTAGAACACAGCACTGAGATTGCCATCCATGAGCCGGCGCTGACTGCAGACAATCTCGGACTCAAGACATGGGCTTCGTCATACCAGCTTGCTCGTCGACTTCGGCGAATCGCTATACCATCGGAGCTCCATGGATCATGGGCATTAGAACTCGGCGCAGGTACAGGACTCGTTGGAATTAGTGCTAGCGCTACTTTAGGTTGGCGAGTTTGTCTTACAGACCTGCCAGATATCGTATCTAATCTTCAACGCAACGTTGATGCCAATGTTAATGCTATCGATGGTTGCCGAGGGCAAGCTTGTGTAGGTGTCTTGGACTGGACAAAACCAGAGACACTTACGTTGCAATGTGTTCATGACGTGAATACCAAAGATGCAGCTGAGCTACCTACCATGCGGTTCGGTGTCGTACTGGTCGCAGATGCCCTATACAGTTCCGATCATCCTCGACTGCTGGTCAACGCAATCATCGCACGACTCCTGCCGGACAAGAATGCGCGTGTCATCGTGGAGCTCCCTCTGCGAGAGGCCTTCTGCGCCGAAAGGGATGAGTTTAAAGAGCGCATGGCTGACATAGAACTTGTCATCATAGATCAAGGGCAAGAAACTGGTTACGATGATTGGGGTTGGACAGGTGACGCGAAGTCTAGAGACGAAGTTCGCTGCTGGTGGTCGATATGGGGGCGTTCATGATAAAGTATCTCGTGGACGAATGCATTCGTCGAACAGAAATGCATAGATGCTAGAACTTAGACAGTAGAAGTATAGAAACATAGCATCAGATAATAGACGACTCTAAGAGATGATAGGTGTATACAGTCTGTCCATTGAGTGTGGCATGTATCATCAATGCTTGGTGGGATACTGGTAACGTACTCATCGCGTAGTATTATCGTGGGTAGTGACCGATGAGGATAACTACAAATATTGGCTAGCATGCAGAGACAAAATGTAATATATTTTAGTTTTGACCGACTTTTTTCATCAATTGGCTTCATGGTCTAGTGGTATGATTCCTGCTTTGGGTTCGCTCAAGCTTGCAGGAGGCCCCGCGTTCGAATCGCGGTGGAGCCCGTCTCTTTTGCATTTTTTTCTCAACCCACTCAATTTGATCTTTTGCCAACCAAGCATACCTTTGAAGCTCTAATTAGTGGACCGCTATCTCCGTCCTCGATCCTGATATGCTCACCCTCGACCGACATGCTCGACATGCTTTCATCACCTGTTCTCGTATGATCGGGATACCTAGTTTGTTCTAGCCCCCAATTCGAGAAATGCACCCGATCGAGCATAGCATACACGCTAGCGGTAAACCCCTGCTCACGACACATGTCAGACTGCAGGATTTACTATTGCTGTTATTATTATCATGATTGCTCCCGCGAAATGCAAATTGATCAAGCTTGATTTTCGGCGCTGTGTGATCTGATCAAAGGCGTTTTGCTACAGGATTCCTTGTTCTTCTAAAAGCGGTGCTGAACTTGTAGATACGTCCTCACGACGCTGATACCGATATGTCACACCGCGGTCTGTCTGGTATAATAGATATAGTAGAGTATGTCTGGGCTTAGCTCCCATATTATTGCTTATACGGCTATCCTTTCAAGCGGCATATGGGGGCGGAATGCTCGATGTGGGTAGCGCACTTAAGCATGCTATTGGCTGCGCTGCGCCGCGAAGTCATCTATGTATATTCGAATGCTTTTCTGTTCTGAACCCACTGTCTAACATACCATTGAAAACCGGTGAGACGCTGATCGTTTCAAACAACCTGAACATCCGCGCATGAATATATACGTGTATTATTCGAGACTAGTGACCCATGGGTTTTCCGGCGCGAGGCGCAAGCAGCCACCATTCACGTATTCATCTTTTGCATCTTAGTGAGCAACATGCAACGACGCACTATCGCATTAGCCCGTTCGTGGAATATACCGACTATAGTCTAGCCGCTATTCAGTGAGTGGAGGCCAGCTACAGCGTTGTGACTAGTTTGGCGCCCGTGTACGACATCTTCCGCAGCGTGCATGGGACATAGAGTGGGCTACTGTGCTGGTTCGAACTAAGCAATCGACGTCTGAAGTGCATGTTTGTGTATTTGGGGGGGGCAGAGTAAGTATTTACGTCAAGAGCGAGCGCATAGTCCAATACTGCGTCATTAGTTTGCTAGCGTTGTGATGTAGAGGTAGTGCATTAAGGTAATATATATATACCTTGTATCGATCCTCGAGTCTTGTGATATAGCTAGGAGGAGCTGGCAGCGAGAATCCTTCACTATCGTTTTGTAGTCCTGCAATTGATACTTTGATACTCGAATTATTTTCCCCTATCGTTATCTCCGTTTCTTCAGTTTTCGCTGCTGTGTCGTTCGAGGCGATGCTCTACCTTCACATGGGCTGTACGGTGCCCATTATGCCGTGGGACTATCCGATCAAGCGAGCACAGGAGGAGCAATATGGTATAAAACGGAGCTTCGTGTCGCAACGCGACGAATGCGAGGACTTGGTACTATTACGGAGTCTGCGATGGATCCCAATCCACCCGGTCGACCCATCCGTAGCGGATGCGCGCCTCGAGGTCTGTGATGCTGCCTTGCAGATTGACAAGGAGATTATTGCTCTACATACTGAACAGATCGCGTAGAAACCAGTCGTCATACCCCGTATGGCGCCAAATGTAGCCACCCAGACTCCTCTGCCGTTCGTTCGTGCCTATAGCTACGTCTTGCGGAATCATGATGTTCATGAGACGGACTTCTTGAGGCTCATCGATCAGCTCAGCATCGTCCAGGCTACACATCCGCCTTCACAGATGGCAGAAGAGGGCGTCATAGCCCTTGGAATGCCGTACCATTGGGCACAGTTTGCTGGTCTAGGTTCACAAATTGGCACTGAGATAGGTGACACTGCTCTCCTTACAGTACGAGGCAGGCGTTTTGTCGATCATGTCAACAAGTCGTTCCTGAGACCGAGGGGTCTGCAGATGAGAATCCTGACCGACGATGATATTGTGAGCATTATTGGTGTTCCAGCAGAACGGGACCCCCTATCGTAGGTATCGCGATACAACCACATGTATCCATGAGGCTGACCGGATCCACCAAATAGACCCATTGACGATGAATCAATTTATAAGTCCTTGCGAGATCGCCGGATGTCTGCACTGGGCGAGTACATTGCTGAATTAACGCTGGAAGTGGCGCCACCAAACCAAGACCGCTCATTGCTGGATGCCATCGCCGCAGAGCGAATTGGATCACACATGATGGAGCAAGAGATGGATCACACTGAAATTGAGACAAAGAATCTCAAGGCTCTTGCTGCGAAGCCCTACAGTCGAAATGACTCAGGCATAGCTGGTGTATACAATGATTCTGGCTCCGACTCTGGCTTTGAATCCTCTGATCAGGACGCTGAATTCGAACCGGACACCATCACAAGTGTCAGCAATATTCGACCAGGGAGTGTTATTCCAGATGTTGAAACAACAGGGGTTCCTGAAACACAGTAGATGGAGGACCCGGAGGCTGTCATATCGATAGAGTATTCGAGCAAGTTGTTGCCTGTCGAGAATCAACCTGAGTTGAACCAACAGATGTCCACTAGTGAATGGTACCGGCATAAGGAAAATGAAAGAGTAGCAGAGGAGGTGGGTAGGCTCGAATACATTGTCATCGAGAACCTCGATACTTGAAATAAGTTACAGAAGCAGGCATCAAGTCGATGAACTCGTCCTGTTCCCAACCTCGAGCAGATACTCGGCCATACCCCAATGACCAGCGGAACCGACCTGTATCTTGGCCAGTGTGGATTTCAGCCACAGCGATATATCTGGGTGCTCTCGGCCGACGGCATCCCAGGCCATTCGAAGTGGAAATAGGAGATAAAAGCTACCTGCTCCGATCTTGTCTTCCTCAAGATGGTAGTCGACGCTCCTACAAATAGCAATTCCGGTATCAAATAGCTGATCTTGGAAGTCTGGTACTGAATGTGGACGCGAAGGATCTAGAACAAGGAGTTCCTGATAGAACTTCAGCACCACGATGAGGCTTGCGTTGTACATGCCTAGACAGTTGGCATGATACAAGGTCGTGTATCTGGTGAGTGTTCTCCATGCCGGTACTGGGTCGCCATATATATTGAGTACGGTTGGAGAAGGTGTTGAATCCTCGATTTCGAAAAAGCAGTCTGGATGGAGTTCATCCCATCGACATTTCCAAGCTTTGAACTGCGCTAGCACTGTTAGAGTCTGTTGTATGAGCGTGTTGAACCTTTCGAGACCATGGATCTGAAAGAAGGTTTCATTCAAACTGTCCTTCATTGTGTATAATAATGTGACATCGGCAAGGTGCTCGATAAGGTCATGAACTATGTCTCTCCTCTCAGGATAGGATTTCCACGGCACTGTCTTCCACTCAGGCCTGGCAAACATAGAGGGCTTTCGTATGGCAAGTGCGGCCATCACCATAGCTGGTCTGGAACACTCCAATACGACAAGTTCTGGCATCTTTGCAAAGGACTCCGCGCCTCGAACTTCCATTAGTCGCTCAAGTCCACACGAATGGCTGATCCAGCCATCTTCTTTGTGAGAACTGAAGAACTGCGAGACGGAAGATCAGTACGTGCATGAGTAGCCAGCTCAATTAGATCAATCACACCTCAAATATGGTCAACACCAGTACAGACTCGAGTACATCATATCTAGACCTCTTCTCGTTGTCACCCAGAGCTTCGTTCAGATCCCTCAGAGCGCTACCGTAGCGCTGCAGCCCGTGACTTACCAGCTTTTCCTGCCGGTGTTTAGCACCAAAATAGGTAGTCGCGAGGGCGTTGAAGCACTTTTTCAAGAGGCTACGATTGAAGCCCGAAGCTACCAGTGGCTCGTGTGTTTGGCCCTGTAGCAGGTTCAACCTCGTGTAGCATTCATAGATATCGTCGGTCGGAGGCAGCAGTCCGAGGCCTGGGTGAAATTCCAACATGGACAAAGAGAACGCAGAGCCAGCGGGGTGCTTCGAACCAGGTTTATAGACAGCCTCATTATTCCGAGGTCTCCAAACGAGCGCATAATTCTCCCCCTCGCCGGCGCAAGATATATCTCTGGCCGTTGGTAGCGCTGTTAAGGTTTCAGTAGATCTGGTGACTCTAATTTGCTTGCGGCCTTTCCCCCGGTTATCGTACTGAATAAAGGTTGTTTCACGTGGACCTTCACATTTGAGGTCTGCCTTGATGCACCTCTGACACTCTGGCTTAGTCTCGTCGCATTTGATGCGTCGACGATAGCAATTGGCGCAGGCCTTAGAACGTCCGCCGACGCCAACCATGACGTTGTGATGAGATGGCAGCCCTATGGAAACGACTATAAATATTGAAGAAGTGTGTAATTCGAAGGATTGTCTGTACTCCACGAGATGGGAGTACTCGTGTTTGTATGTGCGTACGTACGTGTGTGAGGATGTAGACAGAGACCGGGTGGTACAGAGGCTTGACATGATGAGAACTGCATGAAATCAATTCAATTAGCCAATTGGCCGAGAACAAACCGGATAACGTAGGCCGGACTTGTTGAGCTAACTTAGTCCTACGATAGCTATGAGCCGGAAGGTTGCCTGATATTTTGCCTGATCCATAATTTGGATTGAACGTCTCAATGACTTTATAGCTGTCGAGACGACGCCCCTCCAGTAGGTATATATGCATTCTCTGCTGTACCTTCTCCCCTTTACGGATCTGGAGAATTATGTAAAGGCGCCCACAGACGCACTATATACAGTCACAATACCATTGTACATATTGTGGTAATAGGTAGGAATCCGCTTTTCCTAGAGCCTCCTCTAACTCCGATATGCCACTTCATCAATGTGATCTATGGTACCGTGTATAATAATCCCAGCCAGATGGGAGAGACTTTGCACACGCAAACGACATGTGATATATCTTTTGATATATTCTGTCAGTGAAACGGAGAATTAAGCCTGAGGATCGGTGGTGCTGGCGCGTGAGGAGTTACACAAAGTCGATGTGATGCATCACACGCAGCAGAGGTCCGAGGCAAGCCGGGTAGGGGAGACCGTATGCATCGTGGGTGACGTGATGCCTATTGGGTGTGTGTAAATATGTTACAGGTGAGTGCCAGCTCAGGTCTCGAAATGTTTATCGAAGAGCTCCTCTATCGTTGGGACAAGATCAGGTATACGGAATGGTTTCGAAACAACGTTGTCCTAAGGTCATATCAGCTGGAAGTACCTCGAGATAAATATGAATTACTCACCATGCCAACATCCATGAGTGTCTGGATCTGAGCAGGACGCGCGTTTGCAGTGACAGCGATAATGGGTATGTGACGCACAACTTGGCCCTCGCCTTCCCATTGACGTATCTTTTTCGTAGCCTGAAGGCCATCCATGACGGGCATTTCTTGGTCCATAAGTACGACGTGCAACTCTTTCGCACCCAAAGGCGGCTTATGCCATATCTTACTACTTTGAAGAGCATCCAAAGCCTCACCTCCGTGGTTCGCAACCGTCACCTTGAATCCCACATTGGTAAGTTGTTTTTGCAGGACACGTTGATTTACTGCATGCTCATTAGCTGGACCCTGTGATGTGCATGTCTGTATGGCAACTTACCTAGATTGTCTTCAACGATCAGCACGTTTATATGCTTCCTGTCCTTAGTGGCTGTGACTGCAGGTGACTTTTCTTTTTCAGGCCCGACTGCGAAATCTCTTGCTTTCGTTGCGCCTTCCCGTTTGCCAATGCCGAATTTTGCCTCGGAAGCGGAGAACGCGGAGCCATGTCGCCCGATGGTTACTGGTAGCTGGTCCAAGGGATGCTCTGGAGCCTCTGACTTCCTACATTTAACGTAAAATGCAAATGTGCTTCCCTTGCCAGCCTCAGATGCCACTCCAATCTCGCCACCTTGAAGTTCAGTCAACTCACGCGAAATGAAGAGGCCGAGGCCAGAGCCACCATATTGTACATGCGTTCTTGGGCTAGCTTGCGAAAATCTCAGGAAGAGTAGCTTCTTCTCTTCGTCATTCAGACCGCGACCTGTGTCCTGAACAGAAAATTGCAAATAGACAACGTCACCATGCCCATAGTCGATTGCCTCCATCTGAGCCTTCATATTCCCCCGGGGCGGAAAGTATTTGACGATAGCGTTCCCGGCCTTGGATGGTCGTTCATTAAAAGCAGCGATTCCGACAGTAATAGTCCTCTTCTTCTCTGTAGTCGTAAACTTTATGGCGTTCGTCGTGAGGTTGATGAGGACTTGAAGAACTCTTGAAGGATCTAGTTTAACCCAGTCGATGTGCTGCTGCTCATACGATTCATCGACGTTGAATGTCAGGTTGATGTCAGCTGTAGCAACTTCACCCTCAAACATCTTCAAGGCTCGCTGGACGACGGTCAGAGGCTGCACGTCCACCGGAGTAACCTGTAACATAGCTGAATCAAGCTTTGATAGGGTCAAAACATCGTCAACAATTCTTTTTTGATGTAGCGCACACAGCGCGATAGTCTGGGCTGCATCAATGCTACCGCTGACGAGCTTATCGTCAATCGTCCGGGCCTCACTACTTCGGAAGTCGGTCAAGGAGGTTGATATTTCGTCGGCGCACTGCAATATAGCACTGAGAGGGTTCCTCATTTCATGACTCGTGATGTCGATGAAATTCTCCTGTTGCCGTTTCAGTTCAACAGCCTCCTCCATCTTCCGTCTTTGAAGACCTTCGGCCCATTTCTGAGAGCTTATGTCGGTAATGCTGCCAAAAACACTCTTGAGTTCGCCCAGCACGTCCGTCTCCGGATACGCACTGAATAACACCCATGTGTCACTGCGCTCTCCACCTTCAGCGACCCAGGGTGTCTTGAAACGAAATTCACACCGCACTACCTCCTTCTCTTCCACGACTTTGGCCCAAGTCGCCCGGACTTTTTCCTGGTCGTCTTCTCTGATTGCCTCTATCCAGCGATCTGTACTTGTGACGTCTCTCGGCACTCTTGAAACCTCATACCACGTATCATTGCAGTAATTGATATGACCTGCTGAATCAGCAATGAATAGCCCGGCAGGAGAAAACTCAGCCATTCGAGTGAATCGCGTTTCGCTATCACGCAGTTGCTCTGATAGTTCCATGCGGTCGAGAGCAGCCAATTTAGCGGCTTTTTGGCCCCGTCTGATCTCCTCTTCGAACAACACCACCGAAGCTAGAGAGGTCGCTAGTTGGCGGCTGAGAAGTTGCACAAAGAGACTGTAATCATCATCATAAGGACGTCGCGGATTGACGCCCATAACAAGGAACCCCAATACGGTATCTCCAGTTGTGGGGTGAATCGGGCATACAATTACCTCACGATAAGGATCGCCGAATCCCCTCCACTCGATGCCTGTAATCATGTCTAGAGCAATGTCTTTGCCGACTTTGAGCTGCACAGGCTTGTCTGTCTTCATGACTTCACGAAAAATCGGCGCAAACCCTTCTGAGGAAGTCTTCAGTTCCACTAAAGCAGGCGCAGATTGGTGACCTTCAGGTACACCAAGTGCACCCTCAAGCATGCATTGTTTGGTGCTTATGAGACTAGCGGAGTGCATCGAAGCTGAATCACTGTCATTCTCGTCGAACACAGAATACAACATTACGAATGGAGTGTCGTGATCGTTAGTTGCCAGCGCGGTCAGAACTTGCTGCCAGAAGCCTTTTACATCTCGCGCCGCAGCTGTCCTTTCACCAACCTCCCGTAGTGTAAGCATGCGCCTTTCAGCGATTTTTCGTCTTGTTTTCTCGAATGCAGGATTATATAAACCCATTACACTGCCATCACCGCCAACCATTGGTATGATGGACCACGAGAAGTACGTCTCCTCAAGCCAATCGAAGCGCTTAATGAAGAGACAATCATCGTCCTGAACGAATCAGCATTTTAAGACATCCCTTTTATACAGCGCGAATTAAAATACCTTCATGGTCGCTTGGCCAGTCAGTTTCGCCTCTGCGAACGGTTCCTTAACGTCGTCCCAGATTTCTGCCCAAGCTTCACGGTAACTTTGACCCATCAGTTTTGGGTGCTTCTGACCTGCAAGCAGAACGTATGCTTCATTATATATCGCGATTAAGTCATCACCCCAATACATGGCTGCAGGGTGTGGGCTTGCCATGATGAGGTTACACATCTGCCTTAGGTCTGAAGACCAATACTCGATTGGGCCAAGGCTAGTACTGGCCCAATCCACGCTACGAGCGAATCTAATATGGCGAGGTAACGCATCTGTTATAGGTAGGCGTGTCCAGTCAAAGAACCCACCAAGTTCCTTGTGAGGGCTTGGGGCCCTAGAAAACCAGTCAACGTCGCCTGCAACAGAAGCTCGGAGAACGCACTCGTTGGTTAGAGAAGGATGAGTATCGAGACTGTATGAGACGTCGTTATGCTTCACTTTGTTTTCAAGGCTTGGCCAAGTGGTACCAAGCGAAGGTGGTTCCACCACATGGTCCTGCAGGATTACATCGGCATCTGGAAGCTCATCACCAACTGTATGTTGAGGCGCGGGGGTCCCGAAATAATCCTGAGACTCTAAAACATTCTCAGTCGAAGACAACACTGTCGGTAATGCCGGACTTCTTGGGCTAATGTCTTCCAAGAATGATGCTGGGTCTGATCCTGCTGAGGCAGATTTTGCTCGAAGCGTCAATTGTGAACTTGCACGTGTTACTCGAGGAGCCTCGCGAGCACCGCTCACTATACGAAGTCGCTTTCTGATGGTTGTACAAGACCACGTGTGGCCGGCATGCTCGAAAGGGGGAAGGGCCACGTCTAGCACTTCGCCTTGAACAACACCGTCAAGTATCCAGGCCTTGAAATGTGACAGCGACTTAGGCATTGGCTCTATCGGAGACGACTCGCGAGATCTAATGTCAAGCAAACGATGATAGAGAGCCTTGTCGCTTCGCAAGGATGAATTTGTGAAGACGGGATGCAAGGCACTCGGTCCATAGTTGTATGCTCCGGCCAAATCAATGATGAAGGTCGGTCTGATATCTTGCTCCAGCAACTCAACTATGCCAACTGAGCCAAGCAACCGTAGCGGATCATGCCTATCTGCAGACTCTGGTGGTATACTTGAGCGCTCACTTGAGGCTCGATTCTGCATGACACTTGTGGAACCATGAGGGCTAATAGCGTCGAAGGTACCGCGAGCTAGGATGACAGTTTTTATAGAGCTATCCTCCCGTCCCGCCTTGCTCAGCATTCTTGCACCCGCCTCTGAGCTGGAGAATCGAGGAGGTAGCTGCGGTCTCTCTTGCTTCGTGTGGGAGAAGAATAGGGGAGACGGTGGAGGGCGAAGGCAGCTTTCTGGACTGTTCGAGACAGTGTCGTCGAGAATAGGTGGAGCTCTGGGTAAAAGACCTCTACGTTGTTTTTTGGACGGTGAAGGGCTGGCAGGCTCTGGCAGGGATTCGGTGGAATTGGGCCCTGTAACCGAATACTTCCTCTTGGGTCGTGCAGTCTTTCCTTCAGCGAGGCTTGACCAAATGGAAGCGTTGCGACCCTGTGTAGGAGAAACGAGTGTGCCAGCGTTCCTGGTCTTCTTATCGGAAAGCCATGAGGAACGAGGCCTCTCAGTAACTAGAACGGACGCGCTTGTGGAGGTCGGCGAAGGAGTAGATTCAACGGAGGAGGTTTCGTCAACGGCAAGGTCGGACAAGTTCGAATTGGACGAAACTGAAGCGATAGTGGGCAGGAAGTCAGACGGATGGCTGTGTCGTGTGGTAAGAATAGGTCTGGTATTGTTCATAGAGGCCGGCGGCTGGACGATGACGCGTGGGAAGGGTCCGTAGCGGCGAGGTTAGGGAGCGGCGACACGGGAGAGGCGAAGGGAGAGGCTGGAGGTTGAGGACAAGGCACGTAGGCTCCGGAATGTCGCCTGCGTGCGATGAGAATGAGAAGGAAATGGGAAAAGAGAGGAGTAGGAGGCTTGAAGAAGGACAGCGACACAGCATTCGCGATGGGATGGATTTGCCGTGCTAGATCCAGAGTGGCCAAGTATCACGGCGGGTCTCAGCGAGGTATCAGCGGGAACCTCAGCGGGTAGCAAGTAGCGGGCTTCGCGGAAATGGACACAATCCGAAAGAGTTAATATCATGAAGTGTGGTGCAAAACGAGAAGGACAAACAAGTAAGTGATAGTCTGTTGCGGTGAAGATACAAACTCTACGTATGCAGGCAAGCAGTGAAGTGAGTATTTGCTGCAATCTCCCAAACGGAGATGTGCGTGACAAGCGGCTGGCTGCTACCGGTACTCTGCATTAATCGCCATAGATAGCTTACTGGTGGTGAGATATGGATGTATGTAGATGGTTTCTGCAGACAAGCTTCAAATCAGCGATGAGTATAAGTACACCAGCATGGTTGATCCCATCGCAATGCGCATGCTATTAGGGCAAAGTGTAGGGGACATGGATATTAGTATGGGTGCAACGGATCATGGATCTCGATGCTTGGGCATGCCATTTGCGACAGCGAGGCTGTCAGGCAACAAGGCTGTATGTTGCCCTGTCCATGCCTCAGGCATATAAACCCAGCCACTCTCTCACTCGTTCAGGTGGTTCCCTCCTCGTGCCCCGGGTTTCTGTTCCCCTTCAAGCCGTAGTAATTCATACTTTGAAGTGGCCTGGAGTATGAAAGAGGTCAGTATCGAATCGTAAGGCTCATACCACAGACCTGGGTAGCTGCAGAGGTCGTGCAGTTACGACGGGTCGAATTATATCTGGAGCTGAAGCGGGTGACAATGAGCAAGGTAGAGGATCAGGAAGAGTCGGATGGTTGAAGGTTGCTTAATGTGAGACTGCGTATCCTGCTCTGCATTTCATCCATCCTATGGAAATTGACCAGGCCTCGAAGACTACTTCAGGAAAGATTGAAGTGGCCATGCGTCTGATGTGCATGTTGCAGTTTTGCTTTGTTACCTCTGGTGAAGGACGAGGTCCCTGTCAAGCCTGCATGTAGCCGTTTTATTCTTCAATGTTGATCTTTCCTTCACTCACATCTGGATAGACATCGAATCGCCTCTGTCCATATACTGGAACGCCCTTTCGTACCTCTTCAATCCGTTCCCCAGTCAATTCGGCTGCAATTATCCCCTCTGTCTCATCCAACTCGCCCAGCACCTCCGCATTCGGATCGACAATCATACTATGCCCCCAGGCATTGTAATCCGCATTCATATCCCTAGCCGGACTACAAAGCCCCACATAAACCTGATTGTCCATCGCCCTTGCGCGGCCTTGCAGACTCCAATGCAATGCGCCCGTCGTCATGTTGAACGCACCCGGGTACAGCAGCAGAAACGCGCCGCTCCTCGCCGCGATCATGGCCATCTCTGGGAATCGGATGTCGTAGCAGATGGCGACGGCGATCCTGCCGAACTCAGGCAGGTCAATGAGGGTGAGCTTGTTGCCGGCTGTCAGCGCTTCGCTTTCACGAAACGTGATCTTGCCAGGGATATCGATGTCGAAAAGATGTACTTTGCGGTGCGTGGCTAGGAGTTCACCTTTGGGGTTAAAAGTCAAGCTCGTATTGTACAGATCGTCGGTCTCTGGGTCGCGCTCCGGGATGCTACCGCCGATGATGTATGCGTTTGATTCCCTGGCCAGGGCGGATAGGGCGTGGTATGACGGGGATTGAGTCTCAGAGGGGGGCGATGGGAGAAGAGTTTCGGCATATTTGGAGAAATACTTTACGCCATAGGGAGAATTGAAGCATTCGGGGAGAACGATGATATTGGCGCTGTGTTGTTTGACAGCTTCGAGAACCTTCACACGTGCGTGGGAGAGGTTGTGGGCCTTATCGGATGTGGTGGCTAGTTGGACCAGTGCCAATTTGATGGGTTGTCGTAGCAGTTTGGCCATTTGTAGAGATGTGATTCAATCAAGTGCCTGCTTTGAGGGTGTAAAGCGACGCAGCTGTGGTGATGAGGCATGGTCCGTGTTTGGAGGCGAGTTTGAGATAAGAACTTCGACGCAAATCCTGTCCTGTATAATACTACAGTACGTTCCTAGTTCTACGGATGCAGAAAGTGCCTGTTTAGGACCAGGGTCCTTCCAGAACAGGTAAGACTCTTATCAGTGCGCTCAAGCGGCATATCAAGGGCAATCGTACTCAAACATAGCCTCTACTATCTCGATCTGCCAAATGAGCTGTGCAGCTATCTTGGTTAATGATGAGCAAAGCCGTACCTACTATTCTATATATATGCTGTGCACATTACGGTGTTCAGTCGCCTGCCGGGGCAGCGGCAGAGTCTCTCGGCAGCCTTTGTACCGAGACGAAAACTGCCGCAGCTTAGTGAATTCATATCTCGATGTGATTCCAATGTAGATTTCTATCATCATTGTCATCATCGTCCGCATCTCCAACGCAATCGTCGGTATCATCGAATCGCACGAACAAGTACATTTAAACATGACTCAACTACTAGCCGGTAAAGTCGCCGCCATCACAGGTGGGGTCACGGGTATCGGAAGAGCGATCGCCCTTGAGTATCTCAAACAAGGCGCGTCTGTCTGTGTGAACCATCTAGGGGATGAAGCATCGGAGAGGCAATTTGAGTCTATGGTAGCTGAGAACAAATCGGAAAGTCCGTTGATTGCTGTGGCTGGAGACATATCAAAGAAAGAAACCGCGCTCAGGCTGGTACAGCAGACTGTTGATCGATTCGGAAAGCTTAATATTTTCGTGAGCAACGCGGGCGTGTGTCAATTTGCTGAGTTTTTAGAGTGAGTCGCTAGCAAATTTGTAATTCAGCTGGTTGCTCACATGGATTGCGCATAGTCTGGAGCAGGATCTGTTCGAGTTCACAGTCAAAACCAACCTACATGGGGCGTTCTACGCAACACAAGCAGCCGCTCGACAGATGGCCTCACAGGGCCATGGCGGATCCATCATTGGCATATCGTCTATCTCAGCGCTGGTTGGTGGCGGTCTGCAGACGCATTACACGCCGACCAAAGCAGGGGTCCTGAGCCTGATGCAGTCTTTGGCTTGCGCACTGGGAAAGTATAGGATCAGATGCAATGCTCTATTACCTGGGACCATTAAGACCCAGTTAAACGAGAAAGACCTAGAAGACGATACCAAGCGGACGTATATGGAAGGACGAATACCGTTGGGTAGGACAGGTATGCCTGATGATCTCGCTGGACCAGCTGTTTTCCTTGCTAGTGATATGTCTCGATATGTCGTAAGCTCGCTAATTCTCGTATCATTGACGATCCAAGCTGACCATGTCAACAGAACGGAGCACAGCTACTGGTCGATGGGGGCCTTTTTGTGAACCTTCAGTAGTTGCTTAGTATTTGAAATATATTGGAGCTTCGCAGTTCTTCAGCATTGTTATTCTCTTACTTTCTGAAGACGGACCGGAGGCGTATGCTATCGACAGACTGTTTGATAGAAGTGTACGTAGTAGTACAGTATCAATGACCAGATGGGGTATCTACGGACTCATCACAGATAGCTACGGAGGATCACCCACCGGTGCCACCGACTGGCACTTATGATACAAACTCCGATTTACCATTTAAGATAAGGTCCTTAGGAAGTAGGGCGGCGCAAGCAAAGATTAAGCCACGCTAACTTACACAGAACTAGAAGTTGGACTACCCCGCTCGCCCTTGCTTCCCATCCATTGCGCCTTAGTCACTGGTCGAGGGGGCGATGGACGATGGACGATTGGCGATGAACTAAGGGGTAGTTCTAATGGGTGATTGGGGGCTGTCCGTGAGAATGGAAGCGGAGAGCTGAGTTAGCTGAAAGTACGTAGTATTAGTGTGGTAGATACTGGTTGGTCTGATGCAGCAAGTGCTCGTCGTTGCATTGGGCCACCAGATAATCTCTCATCGACTATACTATATACTTGGATCGGCTGTCGACGCCTTCGAGATCTGCGGCTCACTGTGCATGCGGCTATCAAGTAGGTAGGCCAGAAGCTGCTGCCAGCTGCAACGATCATTATGTATGCATGTGGCAATAAGAACGGCATAGTCTATCATCTCAAATAGCCACCGAGCGAGAGCCTAGGCAGAGCCCCAGAGAATGACATGCAGCATTCTATACGCCATGTCTATATCTCACACAAACACAGGCGGCATATATCATCTGCATTAGCATATGTAGTACCATGTGTAGTAACACTGTACCATCTCTCCACGGCCTTTGAGGTCGTCTGACAAGTCACGATGCACCGCGGTTGACGCGATAACAGCCAGAACAAGGGGGCCTTAGACGCCGCGGCAGAACAAGCAGGGGGGGGGGGGGGGTATGGTGGCAGGGGCGGGCCTGGCACCAAGCCACAACACCACCAAAGCACCACCAAGCCACCATATGCACACTCAAGACTTCAACCTCCTCCATCCCTCTCTCCAACCTTTAGCTGCACAGCATCCAAGGCGGCCGTCCAGAGCTTTCAGGGATTCACCTACCATAGTCGTGCATCGTCCTGTAACTATCACTTGGCCACGCGTAGATTTCTTCACCTTCACCTACGCCACGAGGCGCACCTGCTGACCAATCCAAACGACTTCGTAATTCAAGTGGACCCGTTCCGAGACCTCCAATGATACCAGTGTCTCGCCCCTAGCCGTCGCTTGTCTCTTGTCTCCTTGGAGTGGTTTGCCATGACACACGCGCCACGCCGGCCTGCCCACAAGTCCATCTCCATGATGACGACTCGCAACGCCTATCCATGAATCGCCTCAGCCCTTGCATTGTCCATCCGTGCCCAGATGATCTGGCGTTGGCACACTCTCGCATTCGGCCTCCGTTCATGGTCGATAATACCATGGCTTGTCTGATTTGTCGTCGGTGCGGCCGAGTCGCCGTTCCAACATAAAACGGTTGTGTCGAGACGCCACAAGATACTCGTGTCGATCAGTCGACTGATCTGCAAAACCTGTGCATCCCTAGTCCGTCTGGTGCCTCGCTGGCATATGATTGATCATGGATGTGCTGAGATAGAGCGTAGGTAGCGAATAGAGAAGAGAATCATCTATTTTGAAAGCCGTGAACCTGACCTAAGAAGTAATAGCAAAAATGCAACGCCAACCAGTACCTTGGCCAAGGCCTTTTGTGCCTCTTTTTGAGCCGGAAATCTTACTTTTGTAGAGTATATTACATTCAAAAATAAATACGCAACCTGATTGAAAAGTATCCAAATACGGTCCCGTAGGATCCGGAACGCCAGTGCCCAGGAATGTAGTCAGCCTTCGGCTATGTGATGGGCTACAAGATGAAATGCAATGATTATGTCCCACGCGATAATCTAGTCAAGTTCGTTATAATCGTAGTGTAGTACATGGTGTCGTTCAGATGCTCTTCGTAAAATTCGTTCGATCGCTCATTGCAGGCTCGAAGAGGATCGGTAGCGGAAGTTCAAAACTTTTAGAGGATAGGACGATTCAATCTCGGAGCCTTCGAAGGCGCTCTTTGTTGTCTGGAGCTCGGTCGGCATCCTCTCTGCTTCCCCAATCTGTCTGTCTTCGTCGTCAGTATTCACTCGGTTTCGACAGACAATTGATCCCCATAGCTTACGTTGAGAATGGTGCATGCGCTAAAGAACTTAATAAAGTTGTGGAAATAGCCGAATCCAATGATCAGCAATCCATAGTTCACAAGGTCCATGGGATATTGTCGGAAGTAGCCCACGAATTTAATGAACCTAGACATCAACCACCAGCAGAAAAACAAAAAGTATGCAATGTATGTATCGTAGGTATCCCAGCCTCTCACCACTCGACTCAGCAGGTAGATCATCGTCAAGTCCATGGCTAGAGCCCATTGGGTGACGGTGGTTAGAAAGACAGCGTACGTGCTCCAAGGATACATACTGATTGACAGTGTCAGTCAAGTGGTACAGGGAACATCATTGGTATGCTCTGGCTTACAGATAGACGTTACGTTCGGTAAAGAGGCTGGTAAGATTACTCCGCCAATTGCTCCTTGACCAGCGGACACATTGTCTCAAGTAGGTTCTGTCCGGAGCTAGAGTGGTCTCAACCTCACAGTCTGGGTGATTTTGCATTCGGATATCGTATCCAGTCTTGAACAGCCAGCGAGTTATGAAATTATCGTCGTCAGCATTCAACAGGTATTTCTTCTTGAACCAGGAAACACTCTCTTCATTGAACTGGGTCATGAATTCTGGATCTTTCAGTATAGAAGATCGATACACAACTGCTCGCCCGGACAAACAAGGAAGTCCGCCGTCCATATAGTTGCAAGCAGTGCAGTCAAAATTGCGCCGCTGTAGATATATCCCGCCGAGAATCTCCCAGAAATTGGGTTTCTCACTCCGTCGAACCCGTTGATTCGTCCCTACTCCGCCTACGTTCGGATTCGCAAACGGTGCCAGTACCCAGTCCGAAAATGTCGGTGGCAGCTTTACGTCGTCATCGATCAGCATCACAAAGGGTGTCTCGACTTCATCTGGTAGTGCTCGAACGATCTGCTGACGCTTATTGGTCATGTTCGAGGTTAAGACCTTGATACGATTGCGAGCCGGCTCGTAGACGTTTTGCATCATGGCCTCAACTCTTTTTAGATGCACTTTAGGAGTCACTAATACAATCTTCTGTGGCTCATTCTGTAAAGCTGACTGTATTGTGATCAGGAGCTCCTCAGCATTCTCTCCTAGAGTAGGTAGAATGACTGTGATGTTATCCCTTGGATATAGCTTTTCAGGAATAGGTGTGGGTTTATACCCAATGTAATAAGCATAAACATTAACGCATAAGCGGATATATCGAAAGAGGCTGGGACCATGTTAGATGTTTCTGATATGAGGCATACAGGACAAGGCACCTACAACACAGCGGCAAAGGCAAGCCAAGAATAACCCGCAGAAAACATGCCGAAACGAGGGACTAGGGAACCACAGTGTGACCCTGTTAGAGAGAAACTTGGAGGAGGGTAGACATAGGTGGGATTGTAGAAGACCGAAAGACGTCAATGTGGGCGGCAAGTTGAAGATAAATAGGAAAGACAGAGTAACGAAGCCTGGCCGGCCACCAGACCATAGATAGTACATGACCAGGGTTTAGTCTGCGACAAGCATCTGATGCAATCCTGGGAGGCGCTGGAGGCACTCTCAGGAACTGCAGCAGATGCAATGGACAGAGGGGAGTCGAGGGTCAATTGCGCGTATCGTTTGCACAGGACGTCGACGGGTGATGGTTCGGGATAAGTGGCGGCAGGAATGGACAAGGGAGGAGCTTAGTTCCTTGTAATAGAGACATCGGCCGTTTTTGCGATCCACACTCCTGCACGCCATACATCTCACTTTCAGGACGCCAGAGGGGGGAGGGGGCTATAGACGGGACTGGTGGAAGTGTCTGATGGCGTAGGCGCTTACAAGATCCCACGCAATCTTGCGAACAGATCCAATCTCATCAGCAGAATATGTATGCTGTCAGTGTGCGGAAATCTGGACCAAATAGGAAATAGACAAGGTAAAGTAGCACGCGCACAGAGAGAAGCGCGCGCTGGAAAGAAAACAATGAACCTTGTAATGAATAAGAGAGACTGCATAACACAAGGCAGCCTGTGCCTGTCTGTTGGTCGCACGGATGCAGTCGCAGTCAGCCCCATCGTAATCATCTTATGCGGAGTCCCCAGGATCCAAGTCGCCAATCGAATGAGGCGACCAACGACCTAGTGGATAACGTAAGTGTCCTCTGCCTGTGCTTGGGGCTTCCACTGCACAGCTGTAACGGCATTAACGTTAACGAGTATAGTTTCTAGAGCCATATATGCGTGTACAACCGAAAGGGATGCACAGAGGCCGAGGAAGCGACCGAGAATACAAACACGAGTCGCTGTGTTGCATAACTGTACTGCGATCCTCTAAGCATCGAGAGATTATTACCCCGTGGGAGTCGAATGTATCCCATAGCTTTTTGTCGCCGTAAGCGCCAGATATCTTTATTCTGTGGTTCAAGAAATGATGGATCCAATTGTCCTGGCATGGTGGCTCACCCATCAGCTCTAGACGTCTTAGATACATAGTTACATATCTCTCCACGTTCTTCTTTGCTTCTGCCGTGCCGCACCCGTCCATCCGAACGATTGGATGCGCAGCATACGTTAACATGACATGCCGGCGCCAGCTTCGACATGAACCGACGCCCTCGGCTCGTTGTGACATCTCTACGACGTCCAATTGCTCCACACACCCAATTGAAAAGTCAACATCGGAGCACTATTATTTCAACTCAGGATTTTCTGCCTCTCCACCTGCACTCAGACTTATCTTTCGTAGTATCCTGCATTGACGTGTCGAAATGGAAGGCCGAAGAGAAAAAGTGGCTGCAACAGCCAGTCCCTGTTTTTCGGGTCGCGCCAGGCTGGGGTCTGCATCCATCAGCGTGCGCATCCATCGGTTAACAATACCGCATGATGTCGGCATGTTGTAAATGCAGCAAAAATGTGAGTTCGATGTCGACTTGTGTATGTGGTTGACCATTAAGCATGAAGTGCAAGGCAAGCTAGGGTTGGAAGACGAGGGTAAACAAGCACAACACCCTTACATATAAATCATCTTTTATCTTTCCTCCGTGCCGCCCCTTCTTCCACTGGTCGGTCACTGGGCAAGATTGAAAATGAGATAGATCACTTTGACTGACGGTCATTTTACTACACCATCTGCCTCTACTGATGCTGGACCCGGGTACGAAACGACATTATCCTGCCCTCTATGAGGCCTGCATTGTATTGTCTTGCATCATCTGCGACGCCACCAAGTGCACCTTTCAAAGCCATAAGCAGATAGCTGCCGTAGCAGAGCGGAGCAGTACACAGGCTGGTGGTGTGTTGGTGCTGCGTGCGAGCAGAGACTACCACATCTAGTGCAAAGTGCAAGCCATCGTTCTGCAAAACAAGTTAAAGCCTGCATCCATCGCTTTCGCTTCCAATATCGTCGATCGTGGCTGATCGAGTAGTAAGTGTGTGCGTCTGCGTCTGCTTCCTGTCCTCGACAATGGTCACCACCGTCTCTTCCTTGAATATCCTAAAGTTCCTTGACCTGCCCGAGTTGACCGGGGGTCAGTCGACATTTTCTCCATCTCCATGTGGAACCCTGGACACTCCCAACGTATGCTCAATTATGTCAACAACAATTTATCCTAACTCTTCCACGAGCACATCTACACTATTCAACGAACTCCTAATTATGTCATGCATGCGGCCTTTGACTGGGACAGGGCTCTACGGGGGGAACCCCTCCGTCCCGCTGCCGATGCATAGCAGCTCAACGCCTTCTGGTGATCTACAGGGTGAGGGTGGTGCCACGGTGGTGAGCAGGTCACTGTTCAGAACTTCCAAGGCCGCTCGGTTCAAGACCTAACCTGGGAACGTGCACAGTGCATGGAGTGTACATGACTCTCGAATCCGTCCATATATTTAGTCACCTTACCGTTCCTAAGTTGAGTGGCGCTTGAATGCTGTCATTCCCGCTGTCATTCTAGTAGCGACTATCATTTACTTACGTCGTAGGAGGCAGCTTCTCACAGCGCCTTTTCTGGGCCCATCGACGATCGCCCGACACGAGATATGTCACTTCGAAGGGAAAAGTCTCGCTGAAGTCATGTTCGCAAGTGCCGGCATTATTGGTTGCTCATTTCGCGCAAAGCAGACATGTGGACCGATGTCACAAACCGCTCTTCGCCAATCTTAATCCTGTCCGCTACTGGGTCGACCCAACTACGCTGTACAGAGACGCATTGCCAATATGACAATTGGAGTGTTGGTGACTGACAATCGGCGGAGTGCAACATCAAGAGACCTATGCATGGAATCCTCGAAAGGGAACGGAGGGCTTTGTCGCGCATGAGGATCTTCGACTACGTGTGACTAGACACGTAGTTCAAAGCTGCCTGGTGAAGTGCTGTTCTCCACAGATCCGCCCCATCCAGATCTTGCAGTCGAAATACTGGAACCTTTGATCTAAAAGTTCCCTAAGTTGTGCTACCTCCTGATCGTCGTTCCTTGAGACTCTATCTCCTTGGCGTAGTAGCAACATCTATGTGTGATATTGAAAAACAATGACTTCGCTTGTGGGAAATTGTGGTCATTCTCTCCATTGATGTATACCTTGACAACCCTCCACTCTACCCCTGAGCAGAGTTTTGACTCTGTTCAATGGCACACTGCTCACATTTTCTGTACGTGCTCTAAACGTCAACATGGTTCTACAATCTCTGTACCCTATCTCTCGGACAAAAGATGATTTCTCAGAATCTTGACGTCTCCTTCCTGCAACCCAGCTGCCGGTGGCGAGTCATATTCTCAGAGTGGACTAAACTCCGGCGCGTAGCAATGTCGGTGGTGTGTAAGATTTTCGCCTATCAAGCGCACAGCGACTCGTTGACCAAACCTATACTAGCTGCTGACTGCTCTAGTCGTCATGTTTCACGAGGGGAAAGAACAGAACAGCAAAAAAAGCCGATGACACCGCGTACCATATTACCATCTCGAGTTAGCAGCAGCCAGGAAGAGCGCTGTCAGTGCCCACTCGTCTATATAGACTATTCCGAAAAGGCATCAACAGGCATCATTACAATACAGTCCTTCACAACACGGTCACATCGCACAGGCGGAGATCGTCCCGAGTCACTTCAGCAGGCGGCACCAGCGGCCTCAATTCCACGACCAGAAAATTCTTCTTCTTAGAATTCTCTCAAACACCTGCCTACAGACGCGATGCGATGTAATTGAGAGGGATCACTCTCGTATAGGGGCGCATTCCACCATCGGTGCATACGTCTTAGTGCGGCACTACTGCGAGTCGCCGCATACGCTGTTTGCTATTGATGGTGGTATGGGGCAGTACTCCCGCGAATGCCGCGTGCACATAAAAGTTGTTTTTGGAATGTGCGAATAGAGGTTACCGGCGTGTGCGCCATGCTAGTAGTGGTCGCATCTGGAGGATCGTCGAATGAAAGAAGCATATTCCGGGCCCCCAATCGCTCGCGTGTAATCTGCAAGTGACTAAAAGGTATTCTATGTGCGTCTGAGGCACAGTTTCTTCTCGGCGAACCATTTCACTATGGGAGCATTTCTTGGGTCTCCGACGTAGAGGGACACAGTGGGGATCCGTGAACTACCGGTGTAATATGGTCGATGGTGCTTAAATAGTGATGCAGAAGACTAAAGAAACTTTCAGTTATTCGAACATTGAGTGGTAGCAAAGGTATCGCCTCCGTGTTACACAGGTGGCTATGACCACGAGAAAACGTGCTTGCTTGGTGAGTGTGAATCTTGTCGCAGTATGCAGTGCATCTTGAGAATCTTCTCCTAAACAGTTATAAGCCACATTGCAGTGAGCATTTTCCACAGACTGAACATGACATAATTCACCAGTCAGAGCCCCATGACCAGAACTTTCGAAGTAGGGTTATACAGAAAACGCCTTCGCTAGTTTCCTTATACTTGTGGCTGTATTAGTGAGATTTGGTGATGAATCCAACACTCGTGGTCGTGCGTTAAATGAACGCAGCATACCCATGCGTCCATGGCCTAGATGCCCTGTCTATAGTGATAGGAGGTGGCGGACACCCTAAGCTAAGAGATTGCTTTTGAAGATGCTAGGTCGGTCCGAGAACACATCGATTCGATAGCGTCCGCTAAATTCATCCTTGAGCATGATTGCTACGACCGAATCATTAATCATTGATGGATCCGAATGTTATATTAAGACGACAAGGGGTTTCTAAGTTCCAGGCGGACATTCGAGGTCAGCGAGGTCTCGGAGAAGCCAATGGTGGAGATACACGATGAGTCTGACCATTCAACTCTGAATATAGATTTGGCTGGATTGAATTGAGTATTTAATGGTGTTTCGATAATGACGGCAAAGCATGTTTCTGTGTTGTATGTGTGCGACACAATGACAGAGACATCTGAGGTTGTCTGGTCGGGCCGGAAATGCCCGAGAATGCCAAGAGTAAAGCTCGCATCTCAGAATTCTGAACACTTCCGACAAGGAGCTCACAACATCCAATACCATCGACCACCTCAACCCACACCATCCCCTCTCCTCTAAAATGCCACTGCACGCATCTCGCGCAGTGCTGAGACAATCACGTTTTGTGATCCGTCGCCCTGCCTTGCGCAATGCGTCCTCAACCTCCGAAGCTGCCGGCAATGCGGCCAATGCTGTCAAAGAGAAGGGCGCTGAAGTAAAGAGCAAGGCCTCGGAGGGCTTGTCCAAAGTCCAATCTTCCGCTTCGAATGTAGTGAGCCAGGCTAGCAGTGCAGCTGATGCCGCAGTGGCAAAGACCAGTGGAACAATTGGCTTTGTATCTTGTAAGTCGCACATCTCCTATTGGCAGTATGAGTCAACCGCATCATCAATCAGACCCGCCATACTTACTACCTAGCAAAATCAGGCGACAAAGCTACTTACTAACAATTGCTAGCCTTGATACCTCGCGTAGTTTACTATGGAAGAGTCGGACTGGAGCTTGGGAAGATCATGTTTGAGCAAAGGAGCATGAACCCACCGTAAGTTCTGCGACTCTTCGCCCACTCACTTGTACTGACCATTGTTTCCCAAGATCATTGCAGACATTCCAGTCATATTACCAAAATGCCATCAACAGTATCCGCGGCGGATCGATCAAGAACGCTGCACCCAGCGCACAATCTTTCCAACCTAGCAACATACTTGGTCAGATCAGGAGCATGAGTCACGCACAGTACGCCTCAGCGGGTGTAATTGCAGCGGAGGTAATAGGCTTCTTTACTATTGGCGAGATAATTGGAAGAATGAAACTCGTCGGCTACAGGGGCGGGAAACATGGCGAGGGCCATTAGATACACAGACATGCACGCATGAGAGCGGATCATTGTCGTAAAAATGAGATGGATACACCTTACTCGAGGGCAATGGACAGAGACCCTGTACATCCCGGACTTTTTGTTCTGTTCTCTCAGTGCGCTCGTGTCTGTATGCATCGTACATACAGCCTCTTAGATCCCCCTGTGTCACTGTACATGTAGGAAGTTTATCAAATACATAGTTATTACAGAGAATGTGCAAACACTGACTATGAATGAGCTAAAACTGTTATGATATGCACTCTCAACATGTGGTACTGAGGGACAAGGTTTGTCCGCTAACGCCGGGCTATTAGCGTCTATTCTATAGTTCGGATTTTTTGAGCATTTCTTACCTGGATCTGCTCAGGCTTGTCTAGGTTCTGCACCATCACAATAAACACTCTATGAGGACATAGGGCGTGTACCCGGCCTCATGGACGTCCTTAAGCTCCTCACGCGATCCACAAAATATTCGAAAGCAAATTCCCATCAAACTAGTGCCTCGAAAACCCCATCAAGCGGCCAGACGAACAACCCGCAACTCTTCGCGAGCCATGCGCCAAAATGTGACGAATCCGAGCCACCTCGCAAAAAGAGAAAGGCAGAAAACGGCGACGGTGATCTTCCGCAGGAGCTAAATTTCTTCGCCGAACCGCTGCAGGCAGCAGCAAAAGGCGACGGTGACGGCAGAAACAGGCAAGGCGGAGCAGGAAAGTCTAAGAAAGAGACCAAATTCTCTACAGACAAAATCCAGGAGACTACCGATGGAGTTGGTACAGACAAGCCAGTATTGGGTGAGGAAGAATGCAAAAAGATCCTGCGCACCCACAAAATTAAGATAACCGTGTTGGAAAATCTGCAGGCAGACCTTGTCACCAAAAAGCGCGAGAAACATAGCAAGAAAAAGAAGCGTAGCAACGCTGAGGAGGCGCCTGTGAAGAAGAAAACAGAAATATATCCCCAGCCGTTGCAGGATTTTGAGCATTTGCGGACACGTTATGGCGTACACGGGCGCATTGTGAGAAATATCAGGCAGCAAGCGTACACCATACCTACAGAGGTTCAGCTCGGCTCTTTGCCTCTCCTCCTGAGCTCCTCGACCGATCTGGAAGATTCTGTCTGGGAAACGCCCAATCTCCTCGCGGTGGCCCCAACAGGCAGTGGTAAAACCCTTGCATTCCTCATACCTGTAGTTGATTCAATTGCAAAGCTCAAGGCATCTTCGAACGATGAAACCCTTGCCGACGGGGATGATGTCACGCCCAGAGCTATTGTGGTCGCGCCTACAAAGGAACTGGCTTCACAAATTGTGAACGAAGGCAGAAAGCTCAGCCAGGGAACCAAAGTCAAGTTTGCGCTTATGCGCAAAGGCATGGAGGTTGTCGAACGAACCGAGCCCGCAACTACAAGTGACGACCGCACATCCGATGATGATAGTGATAGTAGTGTAGTGGAGCCTAATGAGACTACAGGGCCTGCAAAAACGAGAAAAAGGGGACAACTGGTCAAGGCCGATATCCTTGTATCGACACCGCTGGCCTTGGTGAATGCATTGACTGATACTACTGGGACTACGCTGCCCCTTCGCGGTGCAAGGTATCTTATCCTCGATGAGGCTGACGTCCTCCTAGACCCTTTGTTTCGAGAACAGACACTATCGATCTGGAAGAGCTGTACTTCTCCATCTCTTCGTGTCAGCCTCTGGTCAGCAACGATGGGTTCAAATGTCGAGTCGCTTGTAGTGTCTACAATCACTTCGCAAAGAAAGGCAGTCGAACTGTCAATGAAGCAGACTTCGATGGGCTCAAGCAGACCTCGACGAGCTCCTATTGTCCGTCTGGTCATAGGATTGAAAGATACTGCCGTGCCCAACATAACTCACAAACTCGTATACTGTGCTACGGAACCCGGAAAGTTGTTGGCCGTCCGTCAACTTCTTCGGCCTACCTCGTCGACCGACTCTGCATTACGTCCGCCGTTCCTTATCTTCACCCAGACGATTCCCCGTGCACTTGCGCTTCACGCGGAACTTCAATATGATATACCTCCTGAAGCAGGTGGTTCCGCACGGATCGCTGTACTGCACTCCAGCCTTTCCGAAACCATACGCGCAAATACACTAGCTCGATTTCGCAAGGGTGAGGTATGGGTGCTTGTCACAACGGACCTGCTTGCTCGGGGTGTTGACTTCAAGGGCTTAAATGGCGTGGTCAATTATGATGCTCCTGCCAGTGCTGCGACCTATGTGCACCGTGTCGGACGCACTGGTCGTGCTGGTCGTGACGGGGGTATAGCAGTGACGCTTTGGGCTAAAGAGGATGTGCCGCATATGAAAAGCATCACGAACGTGATTGCAGCCGCAGAAAAATTGCGCGGAAAGGAAGGTGTCCCTAGTGAAGATCTAGTTGGCGATATAAAGAGCCAACAATGGCTGTTCGATAGTCTACCCACGCCCAGCAAAAACGAGAAGAAGTCGCTTAAAAAAAGAGGCGTGGAAGCCAGGAGACCGGGAGCAAAATTAGCCAAGGGTGTCGGTAAAATCAGCACAAAGGTCGAAGCCAGAAAGCGTAAGAAGAGTCAATCAAAAGGTGCAGGTGGTGATGACGTCGACTCGGATGAATTTAGCAGTTGACTCCAAAACACATGTGTAAAGGGAAACTGACTTGTTGCCACATCTGATCTAGACAACTTGTAGTTTGTAGTGACATCAATGCCCTCGACACTCAATTACATAGATACAAAGAAGTGACCCGGGGAAGGTCGCTAATTGGCCTGTCCTCGACGGTCCCCGAGAAATCAAACGCCACTTGACTACCTAGCGGTCACTGCATGGATGCTGTTTACAATCTGACCGCACCATGAACCATCGGGCATGTGTTTCCTTCGACACTCACTTATTGTCTAGCTCTCGGCCCTGTCAGCCTCGTAACGGGAGAAGATGGTGTAACCACTCACGCATCATCGGGGCCGCGCCTCGACTCCGCTCCAGCTCGTTAGTTGCTATGAGAAAAGGGTCCCAAGTCATGACAAGTTTGACAGCTGCCAAATGCACATCTACCTCGGATCGGCCCTCGTGGGACTTTGAAGTGTCGTAGCGACGTAGGAACTCTATTACTCGGTGCATTTAGCACAATGACATCTCCCTGTGCATACTGCGCAAACATATTCACCAACACGGCTACATTCTGGACTTCTGATGATGCAGAGAGTGATTATGAGCCAGTGCTTTATAGACGAAGGCGATGGTCACTGGCAAAAACTGCAGACCAAGGGTGCCTACTTTGTCTGCTTCTTCAGCGCCACGATATGAGAGTGATGGAATCGACACCTATCTTTGGCCGTTCACGCCGTTCATACCTTGTTGGCCTACAAGAAGCACCGGACGAGGAGATTTTATTTGCGTTTCGCCTGAGTCAGACTTCTGGTGCGTCTCTACCACGAGCCTTAAGAATCACTATACACGATAATGTCTTTGGAGGAGAATTAGTGCTTAGCATGGCTACTGATCCAGGTACGTTCACCAAACTCGTACAAGTTGTCTATCAGCATAGTCCTTACCTATGTATCAGACAATCCTCTTTCTCGACAAGTCTCGACTGTCAAAAGCCCATCGGTGAGTGGTATGAGAGCTTCATTCCCACGGATCCGATCATGGATAGCACACTGCAACAGGAACCACAATGGTTGCATTGAAGCACAGCGACTGGGGCCTTTGTTACCAACTCGTGTTGTTGTAATTGGTGATGCTCCTGATCAGCTATATCTTATGGCCTCTGAAGGTGCCAGAGGTCACTATGCGGCGATGAGTTATGCCTGGGGTAAGGTCTCGCCTGAACCCATCACTACTACGCGGCACACATGGACCAAACATCTACATGGATTTTCGATTTCAGAGTTACCACCAAGTCTTCGCGATGGCGTGCTGACTGCAAGGAACCTCGGACTACGATATCTGTGGATTGATCGTCTCTGCATCATTCAGGATTCGATAGCGGACAAGGAGACAGAGATGGCCAATATGCAACAAATCTATCAGAACGCTTACTTGACGATCGTTGCAGCATGTGCATCTAGCTCAGCAGAGAGCTTTCTGAATATACGAGATGCACATTCTAGTGTCATCACCCTTCCGGTGTTCTGCTTGAACCCGGATTCTGTTGGCCGCGATCGAATTCGTGAAGATGGTTCCGTCCAACTTTGGCACAAAGACTCCTCGCAAGGCTGCGAACCACTGTATGAACGAGCTTGGACCCTTCAAGAGACTTTTCTTGCACCCCGACTGCTCATTTACAGTCGTGATTGTTGCTTCTTCAAGTGCCTTGGTGGCCACCAGTGTGACGACCCAGCTATCGACTGGAACACCTACTGCGCAAAGGCTGGCCTGAATTCTACCCGTATGATGCACCAAGGAAAGCTCACGCGACCGTCATTAAGCGCCCAGGCGCCTGGGATACACTCAATCATAAACTCCACCTCCATGCAAGCAAACAAGCTACCGGAACACTTCCGAGCCTGGAAGCGCATAGTCAGGGACTACAGCATGAGGGCTCTAAGCGACCCAATGGACAAGCTCCCTGCCCTGTCAGGGGTTGTTTCTTATATGCAGAGTGAGATGAAAGACGAATGTCTTGCAGGGCTCTGGCGACGTCATCTCCTGCGTGAGGTGACATGGATGTCGAAAGGTGCCACTCGCTCGGAAGTTTGGCGCGCGCCCTCCTGGTCATGGATGTCGCTTGACGGACCACTCAGCTGGCAAGCTGATGAATGCGACTGGTTCGAAGCAGAAGCATCGATTGTCAATTGCGAGGTACGACCGTTACTATCGTACGCCCCTTTCTCCCGCATCGCGAGCGCCGAACTGTATCTGATGGGCTACCTGCGTCCAAACATCCCCGATATCCGACGTCGGTACCCTTTCGCTCGACCAGATGATCATCTTCTCGAAGGTTTATACGGCGAGATTTATCTAGACGCAGACAGCGAGAATCCAGAACGTAGAGATAGCGATGTCTCAAGTACAGCAAGCTTGTCGTCAGTGTCGTCGACTCCGAGCGAACATGGTATATACTGGGTTTTCCTCTTCGCTCGTTGCTTCACGCCAAATCGCTGTAGGGATGAAATCGAGAGAGTCTCCACGTCCGATCAGACGTCGTGGGGCCTCGCGTTGTCTCGACGTGGTGGTGAGGTTTTTGAGCGAGTTGGCTATTTTCTTGCACGCGAAGGCTGTCTTCCATGGTTCAAAAGCGAGGAACAACGAACAATAAAACTGGTATGAACGAACCCGTGAGGTGTTGTCATGGTAATGGCTCGAAGTCAGATGTTTTCATGTTCGACACGTCATAGTCGACGAAATCGACTTGCCGATGATCAACATTCGATTGTATGGAAACCCGTTGTGTTGGTCCAGACTCACCAACTTATGTTAAGTCTCCTTGGCCAAGGATATGCGACATTGGCAATCTGCGTTGATGATGATGAACTTGGCGAGCGGGATCACTCAGATGCAGCAAAATGTGTCCGAGATCTGAGAATGGTGCTTGCTGAAGAACGAAAATTAGGAGCCATGTTCTCCAAGAACTGAGTTGTGGGAATGCACCACATGAAATGTATGTTGTAGATCAAAGACGGCACATTCGTGAGTGAGATCGATGAATCAGGGAGAGTGGTGTGCAGCCAAGAATTATGGATAATTTGGAGCATCTCTGAAGATGGAACCTACCATCTAATGCTCCTGCCCAGTCATACTAGGTCAAAGGGTCGTCTGATATGACTGACGGAGGTATCAGTATGTCTAATGGTTGAATGCTTTGGATTCTACCTGACTTTGGAGAGCTGGCATCAATCAGTGTTAGCATGGATGAGGTCGCCAAGGAATTTCTGAAAGTCGGCAAGGCAATCAAGGATTGTTGTGGATGAGGCATGAAGTAAATAGCTGTAACCAGAAATGCCTAGCAAGGGTTTGCTGGCAGACTGTCGGAGACTTACATGCTGCACATCAAACATTTCCTGTAGTGCTCTTGGTCATGTGGTGAATCTATATTTTATAGCATTTGAATGAATACTGACTCCACCTAGAAATTGTCAAGCAACACCTCTCGGCGACGACCAAGTGGCGATCGAATAGGTACAATCTTTGGAGAACCATCATCAATCACCGTGACAATTCACATCATAACCCTAGCACAGCTAAACCTCACATCGACTCCGAAAGCTTTACACGGTACAAGGTAGCGACGGTCTAGATGAGATGCGAGTTTGAGGCCATGTTTTTTTTGCGATTGGCAATAATATCGAGGACAGGTCGCGCAATAACCTAATTGACGGCCGTAATGCGAGACCATCCTATATAATAGACAATGATGAAGATTAGAGGCCATAGAAAATTTGCAAGAAAAAGGGCAGGTATATGAGAATGACGCGTGCACATATCCAAGTCCATGATGAAACGTGAGATTATCGAGCCGTTTCAGCTGCCCACCCCCCCAATAACACCAGGAACTCCACCAGTCTTTCGCCCAATCCTAGCAAGACTTTCAGATGTAGGATCATGGGGGAGTCATATACACAAACGCCTCAAAATGTAATATAGAAACAAGCCTATGAGCCAGGCTAAGAAGGAAGGAATGCTACAGTGCGATATTGTGACCGACTGTAGTGCAGTGATGGACGATGTCTAGTTCATGTCGCCAGCTTCTACACCATCAGTCGTGAATCCGGTATTGAAGTCGCCAAAGGCAAAGGCGCTGTTGTCTTCTGTGTGTAGGAACGAGTCGAAATCGAACGTTTCCAAAACGTCAGGACCATCGAGAGAGCCAAAGTTGAGATCCATGCCACCATCGTTGCTATCAATAGTGCCAAAAGGTGCCCCCGCGTTGGGATCCATGGAGGGCTGAACGACTTGCTGGGCGGGCTGCGAAGTTTGTTGTTGATTCGGGTTATTTCCACCTTGTGGCTGTCCATTCTTTGCGAACGAACTGGCATGCATTGGCGTAATTGGTGTCGAAGGCGTTGGAGTCGGAGGAGGGTCCGCGTCAGAGGCCGGTGTTGCACCTGCCGCAACAGAGTTCTTCTTTGGTGGGTTCTTCTAGTCGATGTTAGGTATATGAACTACAATCGTAGATCCTCAAATGACTTACCTTCTTGCCTTCAGGTTTTTCTTTCTTACCCTTCGGAGCAGCTTTGTTGGTTTGAGACGGAGTCGGGGGTGCATTGGCGTTTGGCTGAGGAGAAGGTGGCTGCGTTCGTTGCTGTTCGCCAGAACCCTGCGGGGCTGGTGGAGGTGGCATAGAGCGCTGTTGTGGAGTTCCCATCTGTGGTTGCTGCTGGCCAGGGTTCTGTGGCATCATGTTATGAGGGGCACCAGGCCACATGCCATTGGGCATTTGTCCTTGCTGTTGACGCCGCATAGCTTCCATCTGCGCCGGGTTCATAGGACCGTTGCCGAAGTTGGGATTCGGATGCGAGCTTGGAGGTCTCATCCCGTTGGCTCCCATCTGGCCCGCATAGTATTGAGGGGGCATCCCAGGAGGCATTTGCGAGGGATCGAAAGGGCCGGCCCCGTTCGGAATAGGTGACGCTCTGTTGCCTTGCATGTTTCCATCAGGCATCGGCGAGCCGGGCAAGCCAGTCTGACCAATCTTTGGTGTTGCTCGTTTCATCTGATCAGCTGGATTTGGGGATGGACCTGCGCGACTGCCCTGTGGAGACATTGCTTGAGATCCGAATCCTGGCTGTCCGCCGACACCTGCGTGCGGAACCTGGGTCAGGTTGTCCTGCTCTTGACGGGCCATCAATAATCTCTTCTTGTTCTGTTGTTCGAGGAGCATCAATTGCATCTGGTAGTCCTGAAGAGCATGGTTCCCGGGAGGTGCTTGACCGCCAGGTTGGTTAGGTCCCCCACCTGCCATACGACCTGCGTTCGCATTTCCAGCGAAAAGATCTGCTTGACCTTCCATCCCTTGGGCACCCATCTGTTGTGGTCCATTAGGACCCATTCCCTACCTGACTGTTAGCAATTGACCGCTGTCCCAGGTAATGGTTACTACATACGTCCATGGGCTTCTGTTGTTGATTTTGCGGATTGAAGCCGAAGCCATTCGGTCCCATTTCGCCTTGTTGCATACCATTCGCCATCATCATTGGACCACCACCGGGACCTGATGTCGCACCCATTTGTTGACCTGGCATTGGTTGGCTTCGACCTCCGGGGCCCACCTGGCCATTGAAGCCTCCTTCGACTCGGGGGCGTTTTGATGGGGATGGTACATTTTCACCATTTGAAGGGGGCGAAGGACGTTGTTCACCCATGGAAGCGTCTCTCTGCATGCCATTCATCATATTTTTCTGTGTCGCCTGCTGCATTGCTTGCATTGCCGGGTTGTTCCTAAGTCATAGTAAGCGTCACGTCAGTGGCGTAAGACATGAATTGTGTGTTCACGTACGGCCTGTTTCCCGCGGCCAGCATGCGCTTCTGCATTTCAGCATGCTGTGGGTTCATGCCGGGTCGCATCATGCCGCCCATGTTTGCTACGTTCATCATAGTGCCATTTCGGTCATTGCGAATCTGTGCTTGTTGCTAAGAGTATTTCGTCAGGATCTACCACAGTTGAAAGGATTGTCAATCTACTTACTTTAGAAAATCCGAGATAAGGTGCAGTCCTAGTATTGCTCGTTGGTTTTGCGCGTTGTGCTGCGAAAACATCCCAGAACTGGGACCACCAATCAAAGAGGAAGGAATTGTCCGAGGCAGTGTTTCCAGGAATCAAAGGCTTGGGCAAGTCAGAAGGTCGCGTCTCATCATCTTTGGAATCTTCATCCATAGAGCTGTCAACCCCATTCACGTTGCGCTGGCCTGGGCTCGACTTTGTTCCACCATTTTGGATGTTCAAGTTGAAGGTCTTGTTGAACCCTCGGGCAAGCTCCCAGTGCTGGTTCTTGAGAAGGTAGTCGTAGATGTAAGTATTCAGTAGCTGAGTAGTATCGCTTGGCGGATTATTACCGCCCATCATGCTCATTGCGCCGGCTTGGACAGGACCTCCAGAATTGGCGCCCATGCCAGCCATATTGTTGGGTTGTTGATTCATGCTCGCGGTACCGGTAGATGTTCTGCCCGCGTTGCGACGTCAAGTACTATGTTGAGAGCGCGTAGGTGACAGTCGGAATACGCGACAGTGATGTCGTATAATAACGGCGGGCGCGCCTGGTTAGCTTAGAGTGAAGCAGTGTGCCTCATGTAAATAAATTGATGTGGTTCTGTCAGCGATGGTGGAGTAGTGCTCGGGGCAGGTGAGGCGGTCTCGGTCGACTGCGGGCGAGGTACGCAGGATGAGGTTTCGATGGAAAACAATCCGCGGCCCGCGACGGGCTGTAGGAATCTACAAGGGATTCTGCGCTTGAGGGCCAGAAGTCGAAGATGAGGTAAATGAAGACTGGAGGAGGTTGGTGATAGATTCACAATAGGAACTGGTGGGAGATGGGGGAATTCTGAAGAGCAGGTGCAGCGCAGCGAACTGCCAAGGACGAGCGTCGCTGGGTGCAAGTGGCCCTGATTGGTGGATCAAAAGGCAACAGTCACATGACCTAGCCCAGCCCTCACCTCTTACGCCGTGTAGGCAGCATTAAATGTAATCACGAGCATAATTAAATCATAGATGAGTGGCCTCCACCATTTGATTCTTTGTATGAAAGCTTCATACGGCGTCTTGGGGTCGACGTCTTGAAGTCTCGTGATCGCCAAGCTTAGGTCCTTCGATGTAAGGTCAACTACTACAGCAAATAATATTCCGGGCTTTGAGAGCTTGCTCACGCCGCTTGTAAATACGTGACACAAACATTACCGCAAAGCAGTTTCTAGAAAGTGCCTCTGTCCGGATGAAGTCCAGACACTATTCTGCATTTCCCCCTGCCTTTGTGCACACTGCCACCGCTCTCAGCAGCCGTCCCCTTGATATATTGGGTACATGAGGCTGCTGCTCGCTGTCCACGCTACTCTCAGGCAACTGGCACTTGGAGCATGGTATCTCCAATCTATTTTGACACTGCCACACAGATAATCCAAGATTAAAGCCTGGAAGCAACATGTGGAGCAGATAGGAGAACCCTAGTCTGAGCTCCCAGCGCCGTGCGGCACCCATTTCACCAGCAAACATGCCTCACATAGTCTATACCAATGGTATTTGAGAAGAAATACTTCACTCGTCGTCGGGCGGCATCTCGTCATCTATATACCGAAGTAGCGTGATCCGCATTTCTGTAGTGTCGTTTCCACGAAGGACGTCGCTGATAAAATGTGCTTCTACTTGCATGTGAATCTGCGCTATGTGAGCGAGTTGGGATACATGATAAAGCGATTCGAGAGCCCTTACCATTTCTAGTGCTCCTCTCAGGACACCACATAGGATGTTCGAATACCAAAGCTCGTCTTGTGCCCTACCATCATCAGGGAGTTCCACAAAGTCGGCAAGTGGGTTCTCCTCAAAGATCAAGGAGAACTGCTTGCTGTCACTTGTCCAGTTTGTGATAGTTGGTGTAATGTTCAGAAAGATCTTGAAGCCAACCTGAGACCTTGTAAGCATCGGGATTTGAGCCGCACTTTGCACATCTATGCGGTACCTTCGAGATCATCTCTGCCGTCTCTTTGAAGTTGGCGCACGAGCCAGTGTTGGATTTGGCGAGAAAGTCTTCAATCAAACGCAGCCCGATGTTATATCCCATCTTGTCCAATTGTCTATTGACCTCGGCATAGTCGCTATCGAAGTCCTTGCATAGTTGCGCGACTATCGTGCCGTAGGTAAGAGTTACGAGTTCGGCATTGACTTTGTCGATACGAGTTCTGACTATGTCAGAGTTGAAGTGAGTGTATTGTCGTATGCCTTACTTCCAGACCCTGGTGAGCACATTAGCTGGATGTCCTGTTGATCAGGTTTGTTAAAGTGCTTACTCTTCACCCACACGAGCAGCTTTGGCCGAAGCCATGCTTGGAGAATCCGAAAGCTTTGAGGTACGACCGAGCGTTTAATATTTATGGAGTACAAAGTTGCTGTCTTCCAGGGCAGTGCACAGATTTTGGCGTGCAAGTCCAGGTTTTACGAATGCTCAAGCTCAGTCAATGTAGCTAGCGCATCGCAATCACGACTTCTGCCTGAGGCCGCACATCGTCTTCGATGAATGTACCAGAAAATCAAAGCTCGAGCTTTGGTCACACCAAGTATCTCTTGCGACAAGACCACATTGTAGCGACAACGTGATCATTCCATAACTCCAAGAATTCCGCCGTTATTCGACTCCATTATCAACAGAATGTCCTCAGAAAAACGCGCTGCAAGCGGATCCTTCAGCTCGTCGCAGTTGGTCAAGCGGCAGAGATCTGACGCACATCTGGGAAGCTCTTCGGTTTCGCTCGTAAATGGATCTGCTCAAAATGGGGCGCTCATTCAGGCTGTATGTCCATTCCTATCTCTCATGACCTTTGCTATCCATATGGAGGGCTAAGCAGATTTCGAAGGTAACCTTTGGCTGATATTGGCGGTCCCAATAGGTTTCTCGCTCAAGCTCATTGCAATCCCCGGTCATGGAGCTGAATGGTGAATAGGCCTTAGCCCTCCCTCGTCTACCTCATCTGACGGACATCGAACAGGTCATTCTGGAGAAGTATTCGCTACCAGATTTTCCGGCACAGGCAAATATATAGCGTCAGGCTCAATGGATCGCTCAATATGTATGCGCCAGCTTGCTCACGATACCACCCACGAAAGCTGACAAACGTTAGTACTATGGCATACATACGGCCACTGTGAGAACTTTGGAGTGTTGAACGGACACAAGGGAGCTGTACTTGATCTCCAATGGTCGCGTGATTCCAGAGTCCTCTTTTCTGCCTCTGCAGATATGACACTTGCGAGTTGGGACCTCGAAACAGGTACCCGCATACGTCGCCATGAAGGACATGAAGAGGTCATTAACAGCATGGATGTGACGCGAAGAGGAGAGGAGATTTTAGTGAGCGGATCAGACGATGGCTTCATTGGGGTGAGCACAACCTCACGTTCAAGATCCCCTCAATCTAGATTGGAGCTGACTACTGAGCGTATAGATCTGGGACCCTCGTCAGAAGCAAGCCATTGACTTCATCGAAGTTGGAATGCCTGTTACGTCGGTAGCTTTGGCAGAGGCTGGCAACGAGCTTTACACAGGCGGCATCGACAACGACATCAAAGTTTGGGATATGCGCAGGAAATCTATAGCATACACGCTCATAGGTCACACTGATACTGTGACATCCTTGGAGGTCTCGCCAGATGCCCAATTCCTGCTATCAAACTCACATGACTCGACAGTCAAGAAATGGGATATAAGACCTTTCGCTCCGCAAGAACGCTTGCTACAAACGTATGACGGTGCGCCACTAGGTATGGAGAAGAACCTTCTCAAGGCTTGCTGGGATTCAAAGGGCCAGAAAATTGCGGCAGGAAGTGGCGACCGCAGTGTTGTCGTATGGGACGCGCTCTCCGGAAAATTGCTCTACAAGTTGCCGGGACATAAAGGCGCGGTAAATGATGTTCGATTCTCGCCACACGACGAGCCAATCAGTAGGTGTCGAAATTACTGATACGAGCATGCCGATGCTAACAGTCGCAGTTGTTTCCGGATCTTCAGACAGGATGGTCATGCTCGGAGAACTTGGGGTTTGAAGGAGATTTCGCAAGCACAAAAACAAGTTTGTCAAGACGCATGCTTGCTGAGACGCAGGCCACACGGGCGTGGCATCCCAAGGTCTCGTCGGCGAAGGCACCCCACCGTAATATATATCCGCAGAGCGGAGTACGATCATAGGCCCTTGGTATGGGCGTGATTGGAATGCCGAACGGTAGGGCAACTATATGAGACCCGAGAATCCGAGTACTGCCTGGAGTAGCAGTAAGCTCTGACGACGGTGATAGAGTTACTACCTTAGTCGTCGATACAACGTCTGAAAAACAAGTGGGTGCGGTGCGTCCCAGAGGACCAAGCATGACCAGTAGTTCAAGCAGATAGCTCCAATAACGTGGTTATGCATTTTGTCGCGCAAACGAGCAAAAGAGTGTGGGAGCAACAGAGCAACAGAGGGACGCGCCAATTACGCGATGAGTGGGCGACAGCAGTTCGAGCGTGGGGCGGGCCAGCGCTTCTGAAACGTCCTTTTACTTTGGCCTCCTCCGTCTGGCCCCCCCAATGCACCCCTCTAGCGCCCCCTATGCACTCCTGTGTATTCCTGTGCACTCATCCTCGCTGTTGCACTCGTCCAAACTTGACACATCAACCGTCTCTACCTACATTAACCACCAGACTTGATAGGAGTCAGCCGTCTCAAGGTTAAGTTATGCACACTGGCCCTGCGCACTAGCAATGCTCCTTCTTCCAACAAAGACGAGCCTCTTTCTTTGCCAGTGATGTCTCAGTGTTGCTCGTCCCTTCTGTTACATCTTGATTGAGTGAGCGTTGCCTTCCTTTTCTTTTTTGTTCCCGTTGGTCCAGTTCGGCTTCATTGGTATTGGAAGTAGCTTTGTGGAGCAGAGACTTGTTGACCCATTTCTTCTTCTCTTCTTTACTTACGGTATCCTGAAACACCAGTCTCTGCTTCACATTACCCCGACCTTTCGTTCGTTACCACCTCAGAGAAGCATCGGTCCGGGACCAGGTCAAACTGATATCTTCTTCGCGTGTACGACCAGTATACGGATCACCAGCCAATTCCTTGTCTCTCACTTCTGCTCTCGAATGGACAAGTCGCCAGCTTTGTTTGTTGTCTTCGGAGACACAGAACCGCGTCTGAGTACCATCTAGCCCGTACGACCTCACCAATTCAGAAGCTTTAAACGCCGCTTGGCCCAGTCTGCGCGTGAGCCGACAACTGCAGACCCTCCGCATCGCTCTTTTGTAGACATCAAATCCCACAGGGCATATCGATTGCTCGAAGACACCGTCCAATATGCCTCTCTCCATCTTCCACAGATCTCCACAGCCCTCTGACTCCCCCTCACGGTTCTCTGCTTTCCACGCAAACGTCCGCTCTCTGCTCAATGGCAGTTCCATATATTCCAATTCGCCTGTCTTATCATCAGACCACGAGGATCACAGCGATCGCGGCAGCCGTAGCATTCCGAAGCTACCGGCTTTCGACTTTTTCAGAAGAAACAGCACTCCTTTAGTTTTGCCCACGACGGAGTTACAGCAAGGATCACGGTCCAATACTGTATTGTCGCCGCCGGTGCTGAATTATCAACATACAGCAGGGTCTTATATACAGGACATCGGAAATTCGACGCCTGAGATTCAAGAACAATATCTTGTTACGCCACCGACGCTCTTTAGTCCTGATGCTACGCCACCTCTACGACAGCACCTGGATTCTGAGACAGAACAATCGACTGAAAGGGTCCCAGGGAGACGGCCGCGCAGGCATCGACGTCGTCACAGACACAGAACTCGACCAGCAGTCGTACCATTCATCCGAACAGGCCCTCAAGCATGGGTGCGAAAAAAGCGCGAGAGAGGATCATGCAGTGTTTCAAACAACAAGGCAGCAAGAGGCAAACTGACCAGCGTCACGATATCTGCGGTCTTCCTTGGCGTCATATTGTCCATATGTAAGTACTCGCTCACTCAGTGCAGACTTGCAAGATTTTCTAACAGAGGTAGATCTCTGCATAGTGCTGTTACGGCCCAATATAGGACAGGAGGTCCATGTGCTTTTCATCCTCGTCATTATATGCACTACAATCTTCTTCTGTCATGCCTTAGTTCGACTTTGCATGGTAGCAATGAGTCCTCCACTGGACACGCCCCGAATGACAAATATGCAAGACACAGAAGGCTTTCATCCAGTACGACCGATCCGAGTTCATGTCGCGCGCGACGAGGAACTAGCTGATGACATGGACGAAGAGAGCGAAGGAAGTCCTGTTGAGAGCATATCTAAGGGCCCAAAGATACCTCCGCCGGCGTATGGAAAATGGAGATCCAGTGTGGTGAGTTGAGCTGCAGGTTATGACGACTCGAAACTGACCTTGTATAGCGAGTTGATCCCAATCTGCTTCACTGGCAGCGCGTAAGCCACATTGATTCATCAAGAGCAAACGAAGCTGAGCTCGCCTCACCGCATTCATCTGTTGGCCAGTCACCTACGTCCAGATCGCCGGTTCGACCTGCTGTTATAGCCCGGCCACCGAGTTATGCCTCCGACGACGGTGTCGCATATGTTGTCTCAGCAGCACCCAGAAGTACGGCGCCTTCTCAGGGTATGTTCGAGATCCATCCGGCGTTTCGACATCCTGCAGATCGACTGGAAATGCCGAGTGACAGGTAGAATCCGCCAGTTGAGTCGCAACTGTACAAAACATCAGTATTGGTGGGCAGAGCCTTCTTGGGCCGTGTTACCGCCACCAGCGAGACTGTTTTTGGTTGTTACTTTGCAGTTTTGCGCATATTATACCCAGCGTGGAGTTTCGGGGTCGATTTTGCATCAGATAGTAATGTGCATCGTTAATGGTCACAAGCGCATGAGATTATGATTCACGGCGATAAGGCTTCTGGAAAGCTTAAGATTGGTAAAAGTAAAGGCATTGGTGTGGGCAAAGAAAAGGCAGCATGGCACGTACGGAACAAGCTATCTGTGGTAGCGTTCAAAAGGATCATCCTTACTCTCCAATAGACTCACTGTGTTCATCCCAGCATATTACCGTCGCCACAGCATCAGTCGAGTGCTATGAATATACTAGGTCGCAGGGCTGTACAGCGAGGTGCATGCATGCCTTACGCGCACACCACGCATGATTTAGAGGACAGCTGGAGGAAGTCAGCCCTGGTTGTGCGTGGACGCTACATATTCCCGTTTTGGGAACCGAGCCTAAATATGGTATAAGTTGTAACGCACACAGCGTGAGGCGAAACGACGCAATAAGCCCCGGCCCAAGTGTATAGGAATATTATCATAGCCTGCGTCTCATCGCTGGGTATACATATAGTGAAGCTGTCAAGCTATCAGGAGCTCAGTGCCGTTAATATGATATGGTACCTGTTGTAGACAGGTCTGTATAGAGCTGCGTTTTCTACAGTCTTTTCGCACTTTTGTCCATGGTGCGGCATGATCGACTCGAGGCTCGGTACCTGGTCTGTGGTGAGAAGGTGTATAGGCATAGCACACAGATTGCGCAATTCCCGATGAACGCAGGTTCGCGAACTCATGCCATGTGGGCGATGTGGGCCATGTTGGTGGTGTTGAAGGGGGCTGCTATGCTTCTAGGGTTGTGAATCCATTGCCGAGGACTGGGCAGTACTAGCATGGCTGCATGTTGGTGGTGGTCCTGCAAAAGGCAGTAAAATGGTCTCTTGGTGGAGTTCTTACCGCTCGCATAACCAAGACACCCCAAAATCGTAAGGACCTCGAAGATATGGCTAAATATCAAGATTAACATAATTCTAAATGAATAGGATTAAAAGTAAAGGTCTCATCTACCTATATATAATTTAATAGATACCTTTTATATATAATCTAGTCAAAATATCACTTATTATTACTCTAGCCCTCTGAGGTTCTCAAACGATGAGGAAGAACCTGGCCAAGAGAATGATCTCAAGGAAAACTTGGTGTTGTTGTAAGCGTGGACTGCGAGTATCTATGGTAGGGAAGCGGGCGGGGCGGATTGGACCCTCCCGGCCTCTCGCCAGGGGGGGCCCCTGTCCCACGTCCTTTCTATCTGATGTAGCGCTAGTCTGGAAATGGGAAGATCTTATACCCACACATGAGCTACTTCGAACATCTTTTGTCCGTATCGTTCTGCTGTTGATCGTCTTTTCCATTTCCGCATGTCGCCATACGCGTGTCCATTAACGGTTATCATGCATGATCCAGAGTTCACATGCTGTGTCCACCGAGCATGTGTCTCCAATTCCCGCCTTGCGGCTCGGAATGCACCATGTTTATTCAGCACTATCTAGAATTTTTGGTTAGAATGTTTCTGCTGATCTTCCAAACACTTTGCGTCCGAGAAGAGCTCTCGCGGACCAACCGTTCGACCATCGGATCGGGTCCTTCGCCGTAGGAGCCTTCTGGCCAAAACGCCTATCGATCCTTGACTCATGAGGTCCTGGCGGGGGCGGCGATGGTCCATCAAAGCTTGTTTTTGAGTGCCGACTGCAGCCTAAGCTGAAAATCTCCGTTACTGCCGATGCAAACTAGACGACACCTGCAGCTGCTTTACTTAGACCTGCTGGCGATGCCCTGACGGCGGCTACTTTACACGCGAACTAACATGTAGCTTATATGCAGATGTCTCACGTTATAGACCCGTGCTAGCTAGCACAGTAGCCGTATACTCATATATGAGCAGCAGCCCTGCCCGTTCCCGTATGTGTTGGTGCTCCCTACCTGTTTATATTCCTGTGGCCTTGTTTCGAGCCAGACCGAATGTTTCTATCGAGCCCAAACACAGTCCCGAGGATGCTGATGCTGATAACGACGGCGTTGATGGCATTCATATCTGCCGTCACAGCCCAAGATTGCTATTTCCCCGACGGATCGCTCGATGGTGACGCTATCGTTGCAGACCAAAACAATGTCACCAGCGGCGTCGGCAGCGCGTGCTGCCACCAGGGCGACACATACGCAAACGGAACATGTATCGCACAGAGCGAGGCGAACAGCTTTCCTCCAAAAGTCATATACCGTCCCAGGTACCACCCCCCTCTAAAACCCTCCTTCTCTTCCCAGCAAGACCAGCTAACAACCCCCCAAGCTGCACAACCCAGCAATGGGACACCCCCGGATGTCCCACTGTCTGCAGATCGAATACCCCTTCCAACACAACATGGCTGCTGCCCTGCCGCAACGCCGACGGCTCTGCATGCTGCTACACCGACACCTCAGCCCCTAGCTGCAACTGCTTCGGCGCCGGCTTCGGCCCGCCCTCCTTCCTGTCTAATTTCGCCTCGTTCGCCGGCGGGCCGCCTGCGAGTGCTACGGCTTCCCCGGCTTCGGCAGTGAGTACACCTGGGAGCGTAGCTGCGAGTCCAACGGCAGACGCCGCGTCAGACGGAAGTGAGGCGGAATCAGGGGACGGGTCGTCGGGCCGCACTGTCGGGCTTGCGGTCGGGTTGTCGCTGGGCATTGTATTGGCGATTGCGGGCGTGCTGTTTGCGCTGTACTACCGGAGGAATATGGCAAAGAAGGCGGCAGCAGCGGAGGCGGCAGCAGCAGAGCCACAGGAGCTAGAGAGTGCGCGTGGTGGCGAAAAGGGGTTGGAAAAATACGCAGAGCTGGACCCAGGGGCGGCGGCCGAATTGCCGCCGTATGGAGCGCATTCTGGTGCTGGCCTTGGAAGGCCTGGCGGGGTTCAGGAGATGGAAGCGAGCGCGGGACAGAGGTATGAATTAGATGCGGGTGGGGTGAAGAAGGAAGGGGAAATCGGGGTCGGTGAACTTGAGGGTGAAGGGAGGAAGGATGCTGAGTGGGAAGAGGTCAAGGATGGGAAGAGATGATCGAAGAGGAGTGAGCGGTGTGGCGTATTTAGATGTGCATATATAGATGGCTGTTAAAGATACCAAGTATGGAGACTAATACTATTCATGCTAGAAATTAAATAATACTAGCGCTTCGAGAGTGAACAAAAGTATATACAATGTGAGCCAGCCCTCCACTGAGAAATCGAGGTTCGTCAAATTCTTATCGCCCGGTAGAATGAACTGCTTAGTCTTCGGCAGCTTATCAATAAAGTCCTGCCCGACCTTCAACGTATCCTTAACGACTTGCTGCGGCGTGGTGCCTAGCCACTGCGTAACACCGATAGCCGTATATCGGTCCGCAAGCAGCACCTCTAGATACACCAACGTCTCGTTGCCCGTGTTTTCGACGTAGTGCGAGTCCGACACAGGGATATAACCTACTTCACCAGCCTGGAAGTCAAAGGTGCGTGACGCTTAAGAGGCCGAGATGACTGTGACTCGGCCTTGACCTTTGATGCCATTCATCAGACGTCGAATGCCAGTGAAGCTCACTTATGGCACCGGGTTCGATTGTGAAAATTGCGACTGCAAAGTCGGATGCTATGAGCCAACTTGTGCGGGTGCAAAAGTTCCCCATGTTTGAGAGACAAAAGCTGTGATCAAGCTGAATTCCACATATTCATATGCACAAAGGAGTATGATGACTATATAGGAAATCCAAAACGAACGAGCTTGCGTCGTACCAGACGACGATATTTTGACTGCGAAGCCCACATGTGGATCGGTCAGCCACTTTAGAAAATAAAAAAAATGACTAGACGAGTATAGTACGTAGATGTGAGATCTGCATTATCCGTGATATACCAGGGAAATCAGCACTGGATCATGCTGAAGAGCACGGAAAAGTGCACAGACGGCAAGGCAATGCCCACAAGTGGCACGGGGGACGACGCAATGCTGGAGATAAGAGCGTATCTACTCTAAAAGCCTCAGCCATGATTATGTCAACAGCAAATATTCCCAATCTAGCGCGCGCAATCCAAATTGCCCGGCTCTTTTGATACAGCGCTCTTTCTACGAGCCGCGTGAGGCAAAAGGATATGTAAGTGTTGTGTAGGCCGGCCAGATCATTCATCTTCATCGTAATCGAGATCTTCGTCTAAGTTCCTGTTCTTGTTGCTGTCACGATCGGACGTTAGAAATAGCCCCGAGCGATTGTGACATCATTGCTAGGAAGTGGTCATGGCCATTGCACCACGTCCTGAGGTAGGTGACATTTTAAAAACAACTCTTTGATAATAGAGGGAAATACCAGTCTCGTCACACGTAGGAAGAACCGAAGTAACGAGAGGAGGTTGGTGTTTTGTGGCCTGGGAGAAATTATGCAGATTTCTGCCTTGGTGCCTTTATGCCTGATAATGAGTACTGACTGGCTTTGTGGCACACGGGAGAAATCGCATGGCATGGAGATGAGCAATTGGAGTCATAGATATCTCAATGATGGCTTTGCAGCCCCTGAGCACGTAGCCAAATTTGTGGATTAGGTACGGAGGCTGTATGTGCGTGTCTCAAAAGACAACAGATCTGTCGATTGCTTCATAATATTTCTAGGAGCTAACAGACGTATCCGCGAAAATGAGTGCGCTGTGGATACACGATACTAGAAGCATCAACGCCATGGACCGCGCTAATATACGATACAGGACTGCTCTGTCATTTCATTAACTGACAAACATCAAACTTTCCAGCTCTTCCGGGGTCAGCGTACTCTTCCGCCTTCTTGCTTTCGCACCGCCTATTCGACCCCCTATTTTTGTCGTCCTCCTACTTGATGGCCTGATTGGATCTGTCGCGACATCATTCTTTTCTATTGTAGTCCCGGCTGTGCTGCTAGGTCTGGCATTATTTGTGATCTGCGCATTGGACTTTGACGACGCGGAGAGTCCTTCCGCGACCTTTGCAGCCTCAGCTGACACTTGAGCTGCATTCAATTTGTCCGTAATACTGAGTTTCGGTGATCGTGTAGGCCGGCTTGAGGTATGTGGCGATGAGTGATGTTCGCGTGAGGTCAACCGAGCTGGTGCTGGTGCTTGTGTGGTTGCGTTTGCCTATTTTGTACGGTAAGAATAACTCTATGCAGTTTAATGTAGAGAAGATGATTTGACTAAGTAATAATGGCTCGACGGCATGGAGGATTTATTCAACCTTGCCTTTTGCCGTGGCGCTTCTATTCCTTGCGATTCAGTAGATAAAGAAAAATTATGCAAAGAGAGGCCCAGAGAGAGTTCTGTGGCGCAATTTCTACGTACTTGTCGTGGTATGCGTGATTCGTGTTTTGACTGCGCGCGTGATTGTGTGTGCTTTCGCGTCGGTGATGAGGACTTTGAGCTCGAATTATGAATGAGATCTATCTCGGAACTGGCGTTTTCGTCCGACCCTGGCATGGGTGACGCACTTGCAGAATCTGGTGCAGAAGGGGCGCAATTAACGTCCCGCAGTGAATAGAGGTTGCCACTCCCCTCGCGAAGCACGGGTTGATTGCGAGTGAGTTTGATATTGAAAATGTCAGTAGTGTTGGCCCTCTCGTTGGGCTTGTCAAAAGCTGGTTCATCATCGAGCTCCTCGAAAGAGGACTCATGGATGTCAAGCTCTTCCTCCATGGCTTCGATGTCATCGACATCCTTACTGCTCACAGACTCATTTTCCTCGTCTGATAAGATGGATATGTCATTCGTGCCGCTGACTGTCTCGAGTCCAGCGCCAAGACCTAAGCCAATCTTCAACTCGTCGATATTGACGGTATCGCCTCCATTCATGATTCTCTTCCTCCAACTGTCCATGAGCACGACTGCTTCGCGCCATTTCGACTCCATTTTTTGCCATCCTTGACGCAGGCGTATGATTTGTTGTTCCCGCATCTCCACCTCTTCGATAGAGACGAAGTTGGGATTTGTGAGCAGATTTCGAAGGTTCTCCAACACCGAGTCCATGTCAATTGCAAGGGTATCATATGATGTAGGTAGCGCCTGGATCATATCTCCATATGATGGCTCATCACTGGTCCCGCTAGCGAGATTCTCTCCAGCCAGTTGAACGCTCTCTGGAAGCCCTTGGAGCTCTCTTAGAGTTGACAACGTGCCTCGGACAAGTCCAATCAGGTTATCATTCTCATCACTCAGGCTCTGACTAAGCTGTGTCAAGAACTCTGTCGTCTCTTGCTTCAGATTATATTCCGGATCGTCAACCTGGGGCCCCTCATCATCGCGTCCCGCAATAGTGCTACCGAGGCCAGTAATACCAGGAGTGATTGTAATGCTTGCACCCACTAGACCAGTCTTATTCCCCCGTTGTTGGGTGGTGAGGTGCGATTTGAGTCGCTGTATCTGAACGTCCCGTTTGCGAACATCATTTGCGCAAGACGTCCGTACCTGCTGTACCGTCGCCTTCAACCTTATCATCTCTTCCCGTAGTACGCGCGCAGATGATTCCGCTGTCCGCAATGCCATTTTCGCAGATCTTTCCTGTGACTGTGTGAGCGAAACCTGCCGTATGAGGTCGTCGTTGCGTGTCTGGAGGCGCTCGATCTTTTGGACATTTTGTGTAGAGTCATTCCGTAAGGTACGTATCGTTTGAACGAGATCTTCCCGCTGTTCTTGATCACGCTAAATTTGGTGAGCGGTAGCTTGTCGTATCTCATAAAGCCTCAACATACATCTCTTTTAAGTATCAAGTCATGGACCAGGTTGATGATGTGTGCCATAGTCGCCTCTTTCCCGCCGTCGCCCTTGGATGGATGCGCGAACTCGATTGGCTTGCCATCCCGAAGTAAGCCTCGAGCAAGGAGTAGATTATTTATATATCTTGACGCTGTCTTGAGATTATAGGTGTCCATGATGGGTTATAAAAATATGGAGGATGCCTCGCGGGCCCGTCCGACCTCAGTGTTTACTACTGTAAACAGCAAGCGGAAGATTGCCTAAGGCGCGTTAAGGCGCAGTGGCGTTTAAAGCAGCCGGAGTGACGCTAGCCGATTTTGGGATGGATCCATAGAGACGCGGCCACCTGCCTCGTATCGACAATTATACATCACTTTTCGACCGAGTTTGTCACCATGCTATCTCTCGAGAGAGCACGGCGACTGTGTTCTCGACGCCTCATGCCTGTATGCAAGATCACAAAGAGTCACTTTCGAAGCTATCAGCACTGCTAGAAACTGTGTGTAAGCCTTCGTTCGCTCTGTGGCTAACGAAAAATCTGGTTCCTCTTAGCACTAGAAACTATCCTTTCTTATCATTACCACTACTTACATCTGACTTATGAGCAAATAGTCTATGAGTGAGATCTCTATTCTGTTTGTGGCTAGGCTGCCAGGATTTGCATACATGTCGCACATGACAATATTATATTCACGTCCTTGTCACACGTATTGATGTTGTCGTGTGACCGAACTTTCGCAAGCTCGCTAGAGTAGAAAGGACAGTTTCACGGTGCACATAGGCCAAAAGGAAAATGCCAGGCACAACATCTTATTATCGAACGCTATCAAACAGTCGCAACCATCACGGCCAGCGCTAAATACAGTTCGGACTTCTAGATAACCACGATACTGCTTTCATCTCCGGCTTGGGCACGGTACTTGTGAAACATGTTATACATGCGTGTCTTCTGGCCTTCGGTGAACTCTTCGTAGCAAGAATCGTCAGAATAGTCCATATAGTTATGGACTGGATCGAGCTGGACACTGTCAGTATGGAACATCCTAAGCGTGGTCGGGTGGTAACTTACACCTGTAGCAGAGCAGGAGTCACGGCCAATCGGACAACCTGACGATGGAGAGGCTTGTGCTGGAGTATCCGCCACCGAATCACCGCCATCGCAACCGCCCTGGAAAGTGTGGAAGAGACCAAACCAGTGGCCGACCTCATGGGTTACCGTTTTGCCCAGGTTGAAATTGGTGGACGAGCCGCCAGGAACTGACTGGGCGAGGATCGCACACCCGTCACGAATGAGGATGGTAGAACCTGGGGTTGCACCCGATGTGGGGAAATAACAGTCTGTCAAACATCAGGATCATAATCGCAGTCTTCGAATTTTGGCACATACTCACAGCCGAGGTTACCTCCTAGAGATGTCTGAAAGTAGACGTTCAGAGTCTTGTAGTTGCCCTTCCTAAGCGCCCCCTTCATCTCTAATTCAGCTTGGTCGTATGCCCACCTGGAGTTGATAGTCTTGTCAATCCCAATTACGTTGAAGGAAATGCCATACGGGGCATAGTTTTCGTTCATGACTACGATTTGCTGCTGAAGTTGCGTATCTGAGACTTCATTGGCCTTGGCGGTTACCAAATGGAAATAGGTTGCAATCTCCAGAGTTGCTGTGGTCATAAAGAGCTCACCATTTTCCTCCTGAGCAGCCATCGCCTGGGCTGTTGCAATAAATTCTTTTGTTGGTTCAGAGCCACAGCCAAAGTCGCTCTTGCGTGGCAGGAGTGTATGCTCTGCTGGATGGGCAGTGATCAAAGCAATAAGCCCGGCTAGAACAATCAATACAGCGCACATTCTCCAAGACTGGACGTATCGAGCAGGAGGAAGTTTAGTCGGTCCCTAATTAATGCAAAATTGAGCAAGAGGCAGGACCGCAACGTCTTATGTACACTATCTTCCGGAACATCACACTGAGTTACATTTTCGGTGTCGAATTTGACTATGACGGAAACTAAGAGCCCAAACTCACCTCTTACGACCCAAGATCTCTAGCGATGTATCACAGCTATGTATCACTTCCAATTTGAGTCGGCATCCGATAGAAGGCGACATATACACTGCATGCAAACATGGTGTCCCCCGAGGGCCGCCAATGGCAAAGACGATAGTTATAAGTTGCAGAACACAGTAAGCCAAAATGGGCATTTGGGAATGAACCACTGAACTCGGAACACATCCCATTGCGGCTGGGAGAGACGACAAAACAGCTGATCTGTAGACGAACTATCCTTCCTCTTACAGTTACCTGTAGATGGATCTTCGCGCCAAGGCTCTCCGTGCTACAGTGGACGCGTTAGCCGCTGACGGTATAGAACTTTCTCAATAGTTGTGGTCGGATTGTCGGACAAATACACATCAACGACCAACAGCAAACACCATATCTAAACCTAAGTCGAGGTCTTACCGGAAGATGATGGTGTTCAGAGCTACAGGGTTGCCCCCTACAGATGCGTGAGCGCGTCAACAACCATTCAATCAATAGCGGGGCTTATTGTGAGACCACTTGCGGTATACACTCCTATGCAAGCTCCTCTCTATGCAACACAAACCTTCGCCAGGCCGTCTGATAACTGGAACGCGTCAATGGTTTTATCCAGTACAACAGAAGGATGGTTGGGCGTAGGACGACAAATAGACGCCTAACATTGGTCAGGATCGTGTCGCGATGTTGGACTGTTAACTCAGGTTCCGACTCTATATTCGGTAGCCTCCAGTCTAATAATAGCCCGCCGGCAAATATCCTTGGTCTTCCCTGTCACGACGGCATTCTGATAGACAAAAGAGCCACAACAGATTTACATGTCCCCTGTGTTGCATGTCCATTTGAATGTATGTACGTAGACAAAACAAAGAAAACGTGAAACCTGTCATCTTCTTATGCTCTATGGCTAACACCAGGCGAAGGGCTTAAGAGGTTATACGAGGGCACGCCGATATTGGATGTGTGATACGAGGTGTTGTAAGTCAATTTAAGTTTAGATATTTTGAGATCACAAGGCTCGCCTGTGCAAATTCCACAAAGATAGCGCAGACTAGGCCATGACCTTATGTGGTATGGTCTTGTTGTGCGATGGTCACACTGCTTAATCTCCTTGAGTTGTGTCACTGGTTCCATTGATGCAAGGCTTGTTGACCTTGACCTGTCAATTTCCTTTGCGTCTCCTCAGGAACTAATTAGGATCGCAGCGGTTTGATACTATTACCGACGACTATGATATGCGACCCGTATCTCACAGATGTCTATCAAAGTGACCGTAATGTTCAGGCACTCTAACTGCTTCGCACTCGGCGGAACCAACCAATCATCAGACCAGTTGTTCATAATGGTTCACGTGAACCTAGGTTCGCACCCAATTACATTGTGATTCATCGGTTTTTGTTCAACAGAAGCAGGTGTCTCGGATCTCTTCGCTATCTCTTTCATTCTATCGAGCGCCTCAGAATGTTATGACATACATAACAGGAGGGCTTCGAGGTGTGCCTCTATCGTAGGGAGCTCATTTTTGAGTCTATCACGACGACAAGTCCGTATTTAGCACAGTCATGCGTTCAACTTGATTCACTCATCCGATTGCATTCCGCCCATATGTATAGTCAAAGAGCTGGCCACAGAAGTCCAATATATACAACAACATAACTTACGTATCTGTTAATATAGTATTGTTTGGTGCACATGTGATCCCACACCACACATTCATTATTGGGATATCTTCTTCACAGTATAAGTGGATCAAGCGGGGTAGATATCCAGGTAAAGTTGGGGACGGTCGTGACTAGGGGTTGCAAATTACTGCAACAGCAGTAAGAAGTACATCATGACTTGGACATTTGGTTCCATACGATCTCCGTCCTTTGCCAGTATGCGTCAATGAAAACAAAACCAGGCACTGTGACTTATCTATCGAGGCGTCCACGGTTTCAGGGGCTATCTACAGGTGTGGAAAATTCCATATGGTTTACTCTGAGATAAGTCTTATCTAAATAGGGAAGAGGGACTGGAGCTTTATAATGCTTTCGAAAGTGATGTTGGCTCATTACGGCATGGCAGTACTTGTTGGTCTTTGAAGGTCGGAACCACGCGGCAACCCCGACTACAAGTATAAACCCAGCAACCACTGTAACCCAAAGAAAGACTGTATGGACTTAAGATTACAGCGTTGCCTTCCTACTCGTTCATTAATCGAGTCCATTTCGATATGCCTTCATTCAACATCGTCCTTGCGTGTGTTGCAGTGGCAGCTGCACGATGTCTTGACTTTTCCACCATCAAGTCTGCCGTTGAACCTTGGCTACCTTCCACCGACAGTCATTCAACACATACCATTCAGGCACGAGCCCCTTGCGATCCGCTTCCAAGTGGTAGTGGACCGGTCGCATTAATCGATACTCCAGCCATGTTTTCCAGCAATACCCTGGTCCATCTGCCCGCTCAGATTGCTACGACCCCAACCCTATATACACGACAATTTGTGGACCAATCTGCATCTGTCAACGCCGCGGGCTATCTCGGATATGTGTTACTGGCCAGCTACGACACCGCAAATTGCTCGGCACAGTGTAATGCTATTACAGGTTGTAATGCATTCAACATCTATCATGAGCGAGACCCCTTGCAGGAGCCGGGTGCAGCGTGCATAAATCCGGCCAGCACGACAAACATTAAGTGCGCATTCTGGAGCGGTGGAAGTAGTGCGGTCAATACCGCAAATAACGTCAACAATGGCCAATTCCGGTTCTCGTTTCAAGTCCTGATCGCTGGCTCAAATGGGTACACGAGAATTGGAAGTTAGAGGGTCCTTGAGGGCTTGGAAATAATTACGGACGCTGTGCTGCCGGACCAATGATGAATATGGAGGTGATACAATACTGACATATTAGGCTTCGTGGTCACCATGTTTACTGGAGTGTTGTTGCCGCATTGGAGGCTTTACAATGCTGCTTGGTCGGCACTTGTCGCACCTGTACCTGTCAGGGGCTCTGAGATTGCTGCGCGTGGAGACCAGCTATTCGAAGAAGACTAGAACTCTTAAATTGATGTCTACATATTTATCGTTCGCCTCTATTTTCAAACGTCATGCTCTAAATAGCTGTGGCCCATTTGCTAGCATTCGATGTAATGATGACGGGACAGTCATCTCTTGCTCATGAATTTGCACGTGTGAACTGGTATCACACTTAGAGCAAGATTGCTGGAGCTATATTCGCATATCCCTTGTGTCATGAAAGGAAACGGCGGGACCCAATCCTGAAGTGCAAAGTAGTAGATCTGCTCTACTATACTGTACTGGGATTCGTGGGTCCTCGGGACCACAGGATATGTTTTCCGAAACATTAATTACCAAGTACTATAACATGCATGGAGCAGGAATGATTTAAAATCTCAACTAGACAGTTCTTCATGGCCCACCAGATGCAATTGCATCGACGATACAGTGTAGTGGCATTCTGCGCATGCACCAGTCAGGATGCGATCTCACGATTTCCCCCCGTATATTCCTTGTTAACCCCAAGGCAAGAGACCTTTGGGCTTGGGAGAGTGCGAGGGGCAACGTCATTTAAGGCCCCAAGGACGAAGTGATAAAGAGGACGTGCGGCAAAATATGCTTTCAGTCAATGGATAGTTCGCCTTGTACAAGATTGGAGTTGGATTTGTCTTAGTACGTCTAGTTGATTGTTCTTCTTCAGGACTGCAATTGTAGTTAGCATTTCGAGATGGTACGATCAGATCCTGAGAACACTGTCGGAGGATCGGCTTGGTCAGACATCTCGCTTTGAGAGCTAGCAAAAATTGGAGCCGCTGGACTTGTAGCGCAGGATTTGATCCCTACGAAGATACACAGCAAATGGAGAGACGTACCCCTAGCTCAGGCAAGTGGCACTTGGCGAGCGTACAAGCTTGTAGCGTCAAGGCATGGCTTTAATGACCAACCTATGTATGCACGATACTAATGCTATTCAAGTTCATTACATGATGAGTCTTTCACTTCATCACCGGCCGGTCAGGCCTCGCGCATATCCGATATAGACCCACTCACCCCCAGCCCAACAGCATCATCCTCGTCTCCCGTTGTCGCGCCCCCCTCGCTCGTGACACTCTCATGCAGGCTCGGCGTCTTATCACCCTTCTTTCCAATCCTCTTTAGGCTACTCCAACTCAGCGTACTACTCTTACCGCTCGACGCCCCTAGCGCGGGGCTATTCGAGATCTTATGCCCCTCAAACCCACTCTCCATGCTACGTGGGGTGAAGCCCGGCATACCATGACTATCCTCATCAATCTCATCCGGTGTGCCGACCTCACTCGTGCCAGATTGCTTCTTGGCCTTACTGCTTGTGAAGCCCGGGAAATTGAACTTGCCACTGGAGGATTTGCGTGAGAGCTTGGACATGAAGGACTCCTTACCAATGGAAGAGGCGGGAGCATCTGTTGTGGAAGCTGACAGGGAGGTAACACGGTCAAGAGAATTGCGCGGAGAGCCATCAGCTGTAGAGAAGGAGCGGTTATCGCGGGAGGAGCGGGCGTCAGGAGGCGAAGAGGAATGGAGGTGGGGTGTTGTGATGCTGATAGAAGGCTCGATGGTCGCGGGAGTAGGGGTTGCGTTGGCCCTGTCAGCGGCTTCTTTCTCAAGTGCCTTCTTTTCCTTCTCTTTGTTCTTGCGCAGGGCGCGTTCTTCCTTCGCAGCGGCTTTCTCAGCTTTAGCGGCGGCTTTCTCAGCAGCCTTTTCGGCTTTAGTGTCCGCTGCGCTCTTCTCGGCTCTAGTTTTATCTCGCGAGAAAAGGCTGATGTTGAAGTTCGGTGCGGCCGGGTTGAGGGCTTTGGGTGGCGTTGGAGGGATCTGAGCCTGCGAAGACGCAGGTCGAGTACCGATTGGAGCCTGGATTGGCGACATTGTGGGGGAAGACAGCTCTGCTATACCATCGTCGAACACTCCTGAGTCACGATTTCGTCCACTCGATGATTGCCCGTACTGTACGGATGGTCTACGTGACGGGTGCCGTGACCACGATGTTGTAGATGGAGGAGGCAGACCCCATTCAGAACCTAATGGACTGTTTCTATGTTGCCAAAGGCCTTCAATGGGCCAACCAAAGCGATTTTGGCTTTCAGTGGATGGTCTTGGGAGCGGTACGCTTGCCTTGATTGAAGCAGGCCGTGGCGACGCGGGCCGATCCAGGCTCAGCGAAGAAGGATTCAATGCGTCGCCTTTGAAGCCGAACATGTTGAGGCCTCGACGGCGAGGCGCACTTTGTTTGATGCTTGACTCAGCTGCTTCAACTGATGGAGGCTTTCGTGTGAATGCACTCGACATCTGGTCTACCCAGCTGTTCGAATGGCTACCACGACGTTGGGGCGTACCAATCGGATCTTGATCGATGTCTTGACGTGGGAGCGATTGTGTTTGATCTTTCTTGAGTGAGCCCAGAGCAGGTCCATCATGATCCCAAGTCTTTCCTCGTTGTCTATTGAAACCGAATAAGCTTCCGAAACGTGTCCCAGTATTTCTCAGAGAGCTTGATGTCGATCTAATCGATCTTTTATCGCTGTCGACAAGATCGTTAGTAACAAAATTGAGGGCTAGATGCGTCGTGCTTTCTCTCGGGCTTGCAAAAATGCTGGCTGGACGGCTGTTCACTGAGATAGGCGAGCTGGGCCCTTGAGCAGATGGATGCTGGCTTGACTGCTCCAATGTCTGTGGCGCCCCAAGACCTGGAAGCAAGGGCAGGATAGGACGCGATCCTTCTGGGGCATGTTTGTAGTTGCGTCCATCCACACTTCTTTCAGAATCATCGACGAATAAGCCTCTTGGAAGCAAATCACCCGCAGTAGGGCTCATAGGTCCACCTCCTGTGAGCATTTCGAGGTCTGGAGACATTACTCCATGCGAATGTGAAGACAGAGGCAACGTCATGCCGTTGTTGATGTTCAAGAATGGCGATGTGGTAGAGAATGATGGAGACAGGCCAGCGATCGCACCATTGAAGGATGGTGCACTAGTCATATAGTTTGTCGGTAACGTAGACTGTTCGTTACGAATACTTTGTCCTCTTCGTCTTCGTTGAAAACTATCGCTTCTCGCAGGTCCCTCGACCGGCGAACTAGAACCAAACAAATGAGGCTGGCTTGCCCTTCGTTGTTCGTACCATTGAGCCCTGATTTGATGTTGCTGATGAATGCTTGTCACCTGCTGCATCATTTGCCACGCCAGCGTGTAGCGAGATTGAAGATTCTGAATACGCAGACGCCACTGCATATCAGCCTCGACTTCCCCAGGGTCGCGCGTGTCCATATGGTGCTTGATGCCATCATTCGACACTAGATGGTTATGCTCATCCTCCAATTGATTGACTGCAACTCTTTTCTGCTGAATCTCTTCTTCCAGCTGCTTATTTACAGCCTGCTCATCTGCATATTTAACATTGGCTTCGAATAGTTTTGCTTCGCTGCATATTCGATATTCGATTTTCTCGGCCGCCAGGCGCTGTATAGATTCTGCAACATCGGAAATCTCGCGTTCCCATGTGTCCAGGTCAGTCTTCATGTCTTGCCGCCGTTTTTGCACATCTTTCAACTGCCTTTCCTTGTTAACCCGCTTGGTCAGCACCGCCGTACGTTCACGCTCCACACGGGACACGTCTTTCTTCAGATCTTCGCTGTTCTTCGATCTTTCCTTCAAAACTTTCATAATTTCATCTTTTTGCTGTTGCAACGTCTCTTTCGTGGCGACAAACTCTCTATCTTCCTTTTCTATTTGCATCTCCTCTCTTTCAATGTCCATGCGCAGACATTCCAGCCTTTCTTGTAGATGCTGCATTTTTTGCTCTGGTTCCTTGGATTTGGTGAGCGGTACATCACCAGAAGTACATCTGGCAGTATCGCTGCGCTTAGACCTTGAAATGGAATTACTATGCTCTCTTGTCATAGCAGGAGGTAGCGTAGTGGACGAGAATGCCTCAGAAAAGGCTCGAGATGCTTGTACAACTGGAGCTGGAGCGTATCCATCATCTTCTGCTACCAGAGGCTCCTCCTTCTGCTGCGAACCGTTGATGTATTCGCCGGAGGATATCGATAGGGTGCGAACGTTTATTGGCGTACTGAAGGCTCGGAATCCAACATTATTCAGTACAACAATCCGTATGGTGTAATTACGATCGGGCTGTAGATTGGATATGATTATGGCATTCTCGTGCTGAGACACATTACCAACTGCCGGGATATTAGCATTGGTCCTTATGATCAATGGCCATTCTTTACTTTCGACTCCGTTCATCTTGACAATGTATTTAACAATGTTCCGTTCCAGTGTCTTCCAGTGTAGCAGAACGCCATCAGCCTTCACACCTGCGAGTGACACCACAGGAGCTCTGGGTACTTCCAGGCCTAGAAGCGTCGTCAATTCTTCTGCGGGCTTCGAGACGACTTGCCAGGCCCGAAGGGATAACCTAGGCTCACGTTTAGAATGTTATCTCAGACAGTTGCGTACGGACTTACCAGCATAGAGCAAGTCCAGCAAGAAAGGTCCTCAGCCATGATGTTGAAAACACAAAAAGTGTTTCTATGCTCGGAGACGCCTGCTCGGGATGCCAGCGCAAATGAAGTTCTGAAGTAGCCATCAGGGAAGCCTGCGGAGAAGACTCAGGTTTGAAAAGGAAGGGCAACCATAGCCTGGCAGCAATTGCAACGACGGCTAAAATAACTGCAGCCCATGGAGATAAAGGCATAAACGGACAGAATATGCAGACAATCCACACAGAGAAGTATACATGCAGCAGGCAGGGAATTGTACGTTGGTAGGTGGCATGAGCAGAAGTTACGAAGCTCTCGGTAAAGTAACGATAAGAAACCTCAGGCTGAAACCCAAGCCGAGGAGGTTCGACCCTGCTGAGACACTAGCCGAGATTGGACAAGTCCCAAGCCCATAAGGTGTGGCGCGGCCCAGTCTACTTTGGTGTTTGCACATGTCGGTATGGATCGTAAGGTAATTAGCGGTCGTAGGCAGCTTCCATTCATATAATCTCATATTGTTCTCCTTCACTCAGCATCTTTGACTCTGTCGTGACCTGAATCTTCTATCTACTGCTTCTCCTTTCCAAGCGGACCACTATTTCTCCTCTCTTTGCGTAATCCATCCGGCTTTATCCCTACGCTCTTGAAACGCCGTCATAGGCCCATCGTTCGGCCCTCAGATGACCTGTGCCGGTCTGTGATTCCTCGGTGAATTAACGTCAACACCTTGTACGTTGCGACTCAAATGCTTCTTGCCTTTGTTTCAGGAGCCCTGGTATCCTGTTACAGGCTCTATTGCTGGTAGAATCTATATTTACACCATCCACTGTAACAACTGCATATACTCTACCAACCGCCTTCTGTCTACGCGCCGACTAGCCCTTCGGCTTTCGCGTATATCGGCAAACAACATAATAGAAGAGAAATGCAATACGTGCGCTCTATCACTGGGTCAGTGACAGGGGCATGGAATGCGATCAATCCAGCGACATTGAGCGGCGCCATCGATGTAATCGTGGTCGAACAAGATGACGGTACGAAGCTTCCTTTGGAGAGGAGGCCATTACTGACTTACCCCTTCAGGATCGCTAGCATGCTCTCCATTTCACGTTCGATTCGGCAAGATCTCTCTATTGCGTCCATACGATAAGAAAGTAGAGTTTAGGGTAAACAATGTGAAGCAAGAATATTCTATGAAATTGGGAGAGGGCGGTGAAGCTTTCTTCGTGTTCGAGACATCACAAAGCATTCCAGAGGACATGCAAACCTCGCCCCTCGTTTCTCCGGCGACAAGTCCCGAACCAGAATCCGCAGAAGCTGGGAAGCAGAGTCTTCCGGAACCCGAGCCTCTAGATCTTGCTGTAAGTGGGCAGCCTTCTGATGACAGCCGGAAGAGGGGAAAGAGCTTGAGACAAGAGATGTCCCATACTGAAACTGACGCACTTTCGTTGTCAAGTCCTGCCCTTGAAGAAGAATACTCGTTAAGACCACGATACAGGAATTGGTCTGGTCAGAGCAAGCCTTCCTCGACAGGTCGCTCGACGACGGACGAGGCCATGCCCTTTGCGAAACCATCACTTTCGAAGTCCTATGACGGTGCAGAGACCAGGGAAGGAGCACCTTCGCCAGTTACGATAGCGGTTGATCAAGCTGAAAGATCTGTTAGCCCTCCTCCTGTTTCAACACGAGAAGCCGTTGCTCGTGCTATCAATTTGTCTAAGAAACTTTGGTCCTCGAATATACCTTCACACGTGAATGACCGCGGCGACTTAATGCTAGATATGACGGGCTGGAAAAGTAGTGAAGAGGAGTCATTGAAGGCGGAACTGATTGCGAGAAAGATCTTGTCAGAAGAACTTGAGGGACCTTACGACATTGGATCGTTGATTGAAGCGGATGAAAATGGAAATCTCTGGATCTACAGTAGTGAAGAAGCTAAGAATGCCGCCATGCGACATAGTCCATATGCCCTGAATGAGGAAGTCATACGATCAACGGACGCGATTTCAGACCCAGGCTATCACAGTGATGATGGCCGCAGTGACACGGGCTCCGATTGTGTTGACGGAACTAAAGGTGATACTGACAGCGGCCTTGGGTTGTCGCCGCTACCCAGACTAATCACGCCAAGCGGCCCGGGAGAAGTTACTCGAAATTTCGCAAAAACGTTACGGCTTACCAGCGATCAGTTGAAAGCAATGAACTTGAGACCAGGAATGAATCCTATGAGTTTTAGCGTTGGGCGAGCAATAATTACAGCATCAATATTTCTTTGGCGGCACGATGTTCCTATCTTGATCTCAGACATTGACGGAACTATCACTAAGTAAGTCTGCCTACATATAGAGCTGTATACCGGACTGACGCAGGCTTAGATCAGATGTAAAAGGTCACATATACTACATGATCGGAAGCGATTGGACTCATACTGGAGTGGCTAGACTGTACACGGACATAGTATCCAATGGTTACAATATTTTTTACTTGACGAGCAGGTCCGTTGGGCAGGCTGACAGCACCCGGACATACCTCAACGGCGTGATGCAAGACGGGTATAAGTTACCCAAAGGCCCTGTGATCATGAGCCCGGATCGTACGTTCGCTGCACTACGCCGAGAAGTATACATGAGGAAGCCGGAGATCTTCAAAATGGCCTGCCTTCGCGATATCATGTTACTGTTCAACAAGGCACCGTCACGGACGCCCTTCTACGCCGGATTTGGCAATCGATTGACTGATGCATTGAGCTACCGGTCGGTCAACATTCCAAGTACTAGGATTTTCACAATCAATGCGAATGCGGAGGTCTCCATCTTCTTAGAGACCCTAGGTACATACAAGACAGGCTATGCGTCCATGGGCGAAATTTTGGATCACTATTTCCCACCTGTTGGCCTTCTAGTGAAGGATGGCGGAGAAGAATATACCGACTTTACGTATTGGAGAGAACCAACATTGGACATAGATGACTTCTCGGCCAGTGAGAGTGAAGGTGACGACGCAGACGACGCAGCTACCTTGCGAAGCGAAGACGAAGGAAGTGAAGGGCTCGATGAGGACGAGAGCGTCGAGGATCTAGAAGCCAGCTACTACTCAAGACCATCTGTGGACGAGGAAGGAGAGCTTGGCGATTCGATTATTGAAAGTATTGAAGGCGACGCACGGGGCCAGGATTCTGAAGCAGAAGACGAGGAAGACGAGGACGATGAGGACGATGAGAGTGCGGCCACTGATAGCGACAACGAAGAGGGTAGAGTCGTGGCAAGAAACGCCCGCAAGGCCACCTTAACACAGGACCAAACGAGCATCTCAGCTCGTGTGAATCTCCATAATGTAAGTCGTACTGTCAACATCAAGGAGCCTGACAGTGTGGCAAAGGACTCGAATCATCGTCCTTAAGCCAAGGGAGATGTGAAAGCATATCATGGCGCTGAGATACCAATGATATCGTGACATTGCGGCGATAGCATTTCCAGAATCTCGGATTATACAGCCTACAGCATGACATGGAGTTTTATATACGAATTGTATTATCCAAACTAGTCGCACAGTGTGCATTTTATTCTCGTTGCACGACAACGTCAGCACCTCATCACGCGATTTGTCCAAGTACACTATCATTGCATGAAGCCAAAGTACCTGGTTTGGGAAGCACCGACTTCGACGAACAATACGTCAGGTTCAGATACCACCCAACAAACTGCTCTCGCTGACACAATAAGGACAATAGCTTATCAAGGTTTGTGCTCCGTAACTCAAAAATTTGATCGGTACCTACTCCGTATTCACAGTTTCGCAGGTCTTGGAGGGTGGGGAAAACGGTGCCGCAGCCCAGTTTTGTCCCGGTGCGGGAGGCGCCGATCTTGCTCTACTTTTCAAACCTTAATATCAGCGTCCCGTTTCAGCATTAAGGGGATCAACCCTTCTTCTTCTAAAGAAGTGACGCTATCACGCCGGTGGCGGCCATACCGTCGGGCAGGCATACCCCGTGCTTACTACATATCCGAAGTTTCTTCGCGCCTGGTTGTCGGGTGCCATTCCCAAGGTCGCGATTTGTTCATGGCTTGTATGAACCGCTACTTAGGCCTATGTACATTACGCCTTGCTGCTAATGCGGGCAGATACTGTGCCATATGCAGAATAAGACTACCGAAGAAGGATATGCCAGACGTCATCGAGCATGAGTATCGACCTTGCACTTCGCACTGCGGCTGGATTTGAGAGTTCGTGGTTCCAGTGTTATCAGAAGCGGGATATGGCAATGTTCAAGCCATGCCGTCTTGTCAGTGGACCCTGTCTAGTTACTTGACGGCGTGACGGAACACAGGGACTGGCTCGTAATCTACAATGCTATACGACACCGGGATCCTGCAATTGAGTGTTTCCCAGGTCAAGTATCTGGGATCTACTACTGTACCTCAAAGCCTCAGCCGTCACCAAGAACCACGCGGATGACTGGTCGGCAACTGTTCAGTGTGAGACCCATGTCTCTCTCTCTTACACGCACCTTTGTAGCTTGGTACCTGACGAATGCCCAGAGTACCGGATGGGCCATGATACTTGGGACAGAGTGGCTTCTTGCATGTTCGAGAAAGAACATCCATGCAATTGGGCTGCGTTGTAACCACAATCCAGTAGCCTCCCCTCCCGACGTCATAAACACTTGTCTCGCTCGATGCTGTCGGCACCGCCTGATCTACAATCAGGCATTCCTATCCCTACAGATCGATCCATCTCAACGATACTGGCTCTGCCCAAAGGTACAAACTGAGTTTGAGCATCTGTACATATATACATCGCCATGCTTCTGATCAGGTCATCTTTTATCCCACAAGGCAGTGAAGAGCACAGGCTCACTTGATATCATGGCGGACACCAAGACCGACGACCTATCACCAGAAGCCAGCGTTGACTTTCTGTACAGTGTGATCGGAGTGTCACTACCGATCCAACTACTTTTTGTCGGAGGTCGCTACTACGCCCGCCTCAAAATACATGGCAACCTGGGCATCGATGATAGTATTATTGGCTTAGCTTCAGTGAGGCGCAGACCGCGAACTGTGTTATTTTTTGGTTAACATGATCAGATTGCTTCGCTTGCCCTCAGTATCATGGGCCTCATAGCCCATTCTTACTCAAATAATGGGCAAACTCCACAAGAATTGAATGGTGAATATGCACCTCATTATGGGCAGGTCAGTACAGTCATTTATGCTGCCATCTATGTCGCTGCACTAAGCTGACACTGTAAATATAGCTTGCTTTCGGTTTCAATCTCCTGTTTCCTATTGCTTGTTCACTACCCAAGATCTCCTTGTCAATCACTTATCTTCGACTCTTCCCTACCAAGTCCAATGCGAGGTTTTGCCATATCATGATGATCATCGTAGCATGTTGGTGTCTGTCAACAATGTGCACGACCATCTTTCAGTGCACGTAAGTGGTGATTGAACCACGTATAATCTTCTCAAGCAATCTTCTAAGACGGTACAGGCCCGTTACAGCGGAATGGAGTTTAGACCGGACAAAGACTAAGAAGTCATGCATTGACGTCGAAGCAGCACTTCTGGCCACCGCGGCTATAAACACGTTCACGGACTTTGCCGTGTACATCTGGCCTACGCGCACGCTGTGGCATGTGCAACTACCAACCAGGCAGCGTGTAGGCCTCCTTTGCGTCTTCTGTCTCGGGTCAATGTGCGTTCAGTCCTTCATCCTTGAATTTCATAAAGCTCATCTTATTCTTTTAGTGTCTGTATCGCGGGCATAGTACGCATGTGGTACATAGCCAGCTTCTACCAGACCGACGACCAACTCCGTAAGTCCTCAGCATACTCCCTAGATATTACATCAGCTTATCTCTGCCCAGATCTTACCGCCATCGTCTGGGTAGTCTCTGTTGTGCAAGCTAATGTTGGCGTTGTTTGCGGTTGCCTCCACTCCGTCAAAGCCGTCCTTGCAACTCTCGTTCCTACCCTCTTTGCACCTACTGCTGGTGTCCAAGTCTTCTCGCGCTCAAAGCCTCCGCGTATTCTGACCTTCCCCTTCCGCCATAAGAAGAATCCTAGAACTACTAAGCTCACCACCATGAGCGACAAAGGCTTTGATAGCTTCTCAAAAGCTAGCCGACCAAGCGACCGTGACTCGCGGCTGCCACACCGCCCTTCGACGGCTGTCACAGGCAAGGGGCCGGCGCCCGCGGACGCGATGGGCTTTGAGGCGTGGGTGACAAGTGGGAATCCGGATGAGCTGGCCGTGGTGCCAGAGCATGGGATTGCATGTACGACAGAGGTGGTGGTTGATCGCGGGAGCCAGAACTCGTCGCCAACGCGCGACTCTATCTCTAGAAGGCCAAGCGATAGTGAAGCAGACAGTCTCGACCTGATATTACCGCCGAATCCCGCGAAATGTAAGGATCCGAGGGCGATGTTGGATGTTTGACTAAGTCAATGTTACATGATTGCCACATGGGTGGCATCGATTTACTCCTTGTATAACGCACACCTAGTGTCAGGGAATGGGCTGTATTTGTATCATATAAAAGACAGTAAAGAAGTCACATATAAACATAGTCTAAATATAAAATGATGGTAATGACTGCAGCCCAACAGTTCACGTATGGTTGTTTCTCTCCTGGAGCCCATCCTAGTCTTCAGCATGTATTATGTCCCCATTAATCAAGCCTTTCACTGAACGCGTGGACCGCAGCAAAATTGACAGCGCTGTCTCTTGACCAGTCGCTCGAGGGCCCACAAACTAGAAGTCCCGGCACAGCAGACCTGCGGATGATGGCGCCAGGTTTTGATGAATTGTGCAGCTTGCGACATGCGGTCCACCCTAGCTGGGCTCACTTTTCTAGGACACAGACAAAACGTATCCTCAATAATGATGACCGTATTTATTACAGAGGTTTCCAGTAGATCTATCATTTGGCCTTTAGTACTCCTGTGGCCGAAGTCCTTCTTTTGGTTTGGGGTCAAGACTTCGCTTTGAGACGAAGAGTAAGTGATACCGCTGGCGAGAGGCGTCCCCAACCAGGAAAAAGACGAAGCTACGGAAGACTGACGCAAGTTGGGACATCTGGGGAGCTTATGTCTCAAGCCCGTTGCCATGGATGTCACGTTGGATAAGCATTGCCTCTGTTTGGGATCGAGACCCAGCATCCCAGTCAGTCTACGTGGCCAATCCTCTGAAGATGGATCACGTCGTCTGCTTGCTTACATCGTCGGATACTGATAAAGAATGAGACAGAAGGGGTGCTCGAGACAAGATTCAAAGTAATCATGCATCTTCCATCAAGACCAGTATAAACGTGGATAGCAAGTAGATATCCTATCTCCATACCTGCATTTACCTGGCCTAACTTCTGGAACGCAAGGACTGGCGTGATTACAAAATAACTTGTATTGACTGTGATATACCCTTAATTATACAATCTATGCGTGCCATAGCTTCTTAATGGCCTCCGTCACGCCAACGTCGTTGGTCTCAAATTCGTACAAGCCAATGCCTACTACGACGGTAGCAGCATTTAATAACCACATGAAGAATTTCCGCACGCCCGGCATGCGCTTTATAGGAATATAATCGATGAGAATGGCTCTGTATGCTTGGTTAGTGTATGCTGCTGTATAGGCGTATCCGAATGTTCGCCTACTGGAATCCAATATGCGAGTGGACGAGCATGGTCGCGCAGAAGACAGCGTCAAGGGTCGGATTGAGCGATCCTCCGACAAATGGGGCAATTGTCAGGGGAATGAGGCCGGCAGAAATAAGTCTTTTGTATTCAGTTAGCGCAGTATGTATTGAAATATGAGTTATATACCTCTCGAAAGACCAGTGATAATTACCATGTGTTGGCGACGGAGTGGGAACTGGAGCGGGGTCGTTCACCGTGCCCAGCACTGTTTGAGGTTCGGGTGGGAGGATGGATCTTTGAATAGTTGCATGGAATCCCACAGCCTTGGTCGTGTTCTGGAGAGCTTGCTTGACGAAATGCTGCTGAAGTGGTCGTTGGATGAGAGTGCTGCACGGTCTGAACGCGACATGTGAAGGCTTAGGCAGAGCGCGGAGAGCCTGGCGCAATGCCATAGGACGTGCGAGCGTAGCCATAGTAAGTTCTTGACGAGTTTACGATGCCCACGGAGGTAGATTGGTAGCGTGGAGAGGATGTATCCTGGTTCCTGGTGTTCGAGGTATCGATGTTGATGAGCCGGCCACACTGTAGCTTCCTCGGCTGGGGATTATTAGTACGTCTGCAATCCCATTGGTCAATGAGCTACGCTTAGCAAATCTGCTTGAGCCTCACCACTCGACAGCGGACCTCCATACGGGAGCTCGACTTTTTGGCCATCACCCCGATCCTCACCACCTCCCACGTCCATCTCATCCGCACATATTGTCGCCATGGCATCAAGGCGGCTCGCTCTCAATCTCAAGCAAGCTGTCCGGAGTAAAGCTGCTCTCAGCGCGATTCGGCCTCAAAGAGCGTTTGCATCACCTGTCAGTCACGGAGCCATCACGGAAAGCACGACTTTGAGCAACGGCTTCACGGTGAATCAGCCTGGATCATAGTTGATTAATATCATACTGATGGGATCCATAGATTGCGACTGAACACTCTCCATGGGCGCAGACCTCGACTGTTGGTGTTTGGATTGATGCTGGAAGCCGCGCAGAGACAGACAAGACCAATGGCACTGCACACTTTCTTGAGCATCTTGCTTTCAAGGTGCGTATACTCCGAAAGATTGAAAGAATTATGGTTAATCAATTGGAGCATACAGGGCACGCAAAAACGCACTCAACAACAGCTAGAGCTGGAGATCGAAAACATGGGTGGTCACCTCAATGCATACACATCTGTCAGTGGATCTGCAACGAACGGCCGGCAAAACGTCTCTGATCTTTTTATAGCGCGAAAATACCGTTTATTTCGCCAAGTCGTTCAACTCTGACGTTCCTCAGACGGTGGACATCCTCTCCGACATCCTCCAAAACTCGAAGCTCGAGCCAAGCGCCATCGAGAGAGAGCGCGATGTAATCCTTAGGGAGCAAGAAGAGGTCGACAAACAATTAGAGGAAGTCGTATTTGATCACTTGCACGCCACCGCTTTCCAAGGACAGCCTTTAGGCCGCACCATCTTGGGTCCAAAGGAGAACATCGAGAGCATCTCGCGCGATGATCTCACCAGTTACATCAAAACCAATTACACTGCTGATCGCATGGTTCTCGTGGGTGCCGGCGGCATTCCCCATCAGGAACTCGTAAAACTTGCCGAAAAATACTTTGCAAACGTTCCTACTTCTCCATCTGCAACTGGAGCTCATCCCGCTATTCAAAAAGCCAAGCCCGACTTTGTTGGCTCAGAAGTCCGTATTCGCGATGACACTTTGCCCACCGCCAACATTGCTCTCGCTGTCGAAGGCGTTAGCTGGAAGGACGACGACTACTTTACCGGACTTGTCACGCAGGCTATTGTCGGTAACTGGGATCGGGCCATGGGCAACTCTCCATATCTCGGCAGTAAATTAAGCACTTTTATGCACCAGTGGCGTCTCGCAAACAGCTTCATGAGCTTCTCAACCAGCTACAGTGACACTGGGTAAGTCCATCTTGCCGCAAGGGTGCCTTGTCCGCTAACGCTTGATCAAGTCTTTGGGGTATCTACCTTGTTTCTGACCAATTCGACCGCCTCGACGACCTTGTCCACTTCACGTTGAAGGAGTGGTGTCGCCTTTCTTACCAGGTCTCAGAAGCCGAAGTCGAGCGTGCTAAGGCTCAGCTCAAGGCCTCGATTCTCCTGTCCCTTGACGGGACTACTGCTGTAGCCGAAGATATTGGCAGGCAAATTATTACTACCGGTCGGCGTCTAAGCCCCGAGGAGGTCGAGCGTGTTGTCGGACAGATTACAGCGAACGACGTTATGGAATTTGCTCGCAGAAGATTATGGGACCGCGACCTGGCCATCTCGGCCGTCGGCAAGATTGAAGGTCTCTTCGATTACCAGCGTATCCGTGGAAACATGAGTCTCAACATTTCATAGAGAAAAATCGCGTACGAAGGAAGTATAGAGGATGGCTTGTAACCTGTGTAAATTTAGCACGCTGAAATTTCCCTTAATTGTACAGTCAAGAAAACGTCTGGTGCAAACTTTGAGCGAATCGTCCACAGACATATCTGGATCCTGAACCATCGTGTGGCCGGGACTGACGAACTGAGGACTTCTCTGTGAGTTGCCTGACAGGCGATATTTCTACAGAAGACGGCGGAGGGCCACTTGTACAGACGTACGATTGTAGCGGGACATGTTGTGGGCTACCTGCAACAGGTCAATTCGGTTCTCTCCTAGAATAAGGCTCTTGTTCCTAATATTGACAGGCATACTAGTAGCTACGATGACACGAAATATGTTGATCTGAACATGAAGGACGCGAGCGCTGCCAAGTCAATGCTGCCGCCCAGATACCGCTGATCTTACAGTTCAGAAGGTGAGACCATAAGAGTGTATCTCTCCACAAGTAGATTGAGATCAACGACTCAATACTCGCCCATACCAAGTATACTGTATGTCGTATGCCATATTCATATTCCAATCTCGGTCCGGCCGTCCCATTCCTGGCCTACTTCTTGGAGGCTGGTTATCTAAAGATGAATGAAACAATTAGCGCGAGCGAGCTACTTGCTGCCCAATCACATGGCGCATTAATGTGGGGAGGCTCCAAAAAATATGTATAGCCTCAACATCACTTCTGTTGCTTCATCACCACTGCTCCTACACCCTTTTTTTTTGGTTTCCATCTCTGCAGCAAGTGCCTGTGTATCAATTTGCTCGACGAAGAAGGGGCTGAATCTCACCTGCAGCACTAATTCCGCTCATTCTCATGCATTGGATCTGATGGGCTATGGCGTAGCTGTCGTCGCACTGCCCCCTGGGCCCTGGCTGCAGTAACTCATCTCCTCCCAAATGCCCCCCATTGTGATAAACGCCAGCCCTGCGATCGGCCAATTCTTGTCTCCTCATGTAGTCTCGAGACTTTGATTGCAGCTTCTCGGCGTCGCGCACCTTTTCTTTGGGAATATCAAGTCAAGTCAGTGTTGCTCTTACGAGGAGACCATAGCTTCCATCCTAACACTGGCCAGCCGGGAACCAAGTAAGGCTCACCATCTATGTCTCATATGTTCAATATCTGCCTCGAATCTATCATACATTGTCATTGGATCTGATCCAGAACTAAACAAGGAGGTGTCTTGGGGCATTAACCAATTGGACTCCTCTGTATGAGGTGATAGAAAGTTCAATGCACATTTCACATGTTTGGCTCACTCCGGGCTGAGCGTATAGAATCGGGTAGTAGATAATCTCAGGACCTTATAACAGGTGTTCTACCTTTTGACTAGTTTCTATAACACCCTTCTATTCTTTTTGGCTTCATGATCGATCATCAACTCATTCATTCCTTTCCGACAGCATTGTTCAGAGCCTGGCACCCTGGCTATAGATCAGCACAACCACAACTCACCGCATTCATAGGCCTCTTCACTACATGCGAGCCTAGACTTTCCTTTGCTGTAGTTTTACGAGCCACGCTCTGCTGAGGACTACCTCCGTCGGTCGGCAGTTACCATACAGTTTTTCAGATAAGTTTTACGCACGTGGCAGCTTACTTACGCAAGTATATACACAGTCCCTGGTCGTCCAAGGCTGAGCACATGGTGGCAGGGCATAGTGATGTGCCAAGTTCCCTACCCTGTCCCCTGGCGCAAGATGTTGCCTTGTTCCTGCAGACCCCTGGTATCATTGTTCTTGTCTGCATACACTATTACCACAATCGAAGCATTTTATCTCCGGTTGCTGTAAAGGGGTCAAGATCATTGGTTATTGTAGCCGAATGCTCCAGCTCATGAGACATCCTTTGACTCACGTCGGCTTGAGGCCCTCTAGTCCTCTGTCTGTTCCTCGAATTTGCTGGCACGCGAAATTGGCGGTGACCTCTGAGTCTTCCAGGCGGTGCAGAAGGTTGTCGATCATGATTCCACAGTCTTGCTATATTCTTATATCTCCTTACTGCAACTGTTGAAGGTAAGAGAGCAGCCTCCTCAGCGGCATACTACAAGTAACCAATTCACTAAAAATGCCTTCAATAGTCTCTCAAATGTCCGATGAATATAACGGCAAGGCTGCCACGGACGTTCTCTCAACATCGTTCGACCGGGTTACGCACGAATCCACCTGTGACACTCACCACGGAGAATTACCTGTTGACCCGCAGATCCTGGTGCCATACACAGAACTTCCACTACTAAGCGATGGCCACGATTGGGAACAACCTCGCATCGATGAAGCCCACCTGTCATCCCTTACGCTGAATGCTGTGGGCTTTTCCACCAACAGCAGCCACCAGGTCAACGAGTGCCTCTCCAGTGGTACAGATGGAATAGTGTATCCACAACAGTTCCAAGAGATCTCCCAACCGCATATTACCGGTTCTCACACATGCTCATCAACAGAAAACTCGGGTATCCCCTTCTCGGTAGAAAGCTCAGCCGTGTCTGTCGTCTCTAACGCACTGAACGTGGCACAACAGTACATATGTACCGAGTGTGACGAAAAATTCGCTAAGGGACACCAGCTCAAGTAAGTTCCATCGTCACTCAAAGCTTTGAAAGCTTAAAATTGATACAAACGTGATCACAGTAAACACATGCGAAAACACACCCGCCCTCACAAGTGCGACATCCTTGGCTGTGGCCGTTCGTTCGCCCAAAATAGAGATCTCAAGCGCCATAAAGATGCTAAACACTCTATTAATACTCAGGGTACTACTGCTCTGAGGGGTGTGCACCTCTGCGAATATCCACCTTGCAACTATGCCCTTAGAGGATTTAGTAGGAAAGACAATTGCGATCGACATATGAGGAGTCAGCATGGGAGGCGGTGAGACACATGAGATATCATTTTGGGAAAGAGGACTCGGAGCATACCATGCGATCACTTAATCTAAACGGACGAGATACCCTCCGCTGCATACATCATTTCCATGAACAGGTCGACCTACAAGCTATTCATTGTGAATAACCCATCTCACAATGTCATTGTTGAATTCGAAAGCGTGTGTCCTTTTTACTATTCCCTTTGAGCTCTGAAGTATTAGAAAAGTCTCTTCACCTAAAAGTCTTGCTTTCATAGAAACAGAGGCCCCAAAAGTTTTATGTAATATTTGTAGGGTCACAAAGACTTCTTTGCATCCGCTACATTAATACTTCTTGTGATCGTCTGATTATCGTCCCTGCTATAAAGTCTGCTAATCTACCTTATCGCAAACTTGCAGCTGCAGCACGACCAACCCCTCTAAGCTCATCGTAACAGCAATGAAACACTACAAGCAATGGATCTCCTTGTCCAATCGTAGGACAAGAAGCATTATTATACTTAGTTTACTCGCCATCTAGACAGCGCCTTATATTGCATGTCTTGCGAGGGTAAGACAAAGGTCTAGGGTAGAGAGAACAGTCAGGGGGGAAATGATCTCTAAGGCAAGGAATCTGCCTAGTTCAGACCGTAGCAGCCGGCGTCTGAAGTTTGTAATATGCTACGTGATGGTGAAGTTTAGTAGTAATCCCAGATGCCTTGGATATCAGGGGCCACTGTAGTACGAGAATAAATATTAGTCTCAAAGGTCGCGAACGGATATGTTCAAAGATTGGAGTTTGTGCATCTCTCAGTCGTCTGGACTCATGGTCGTGAATTGAAGTAAAGGTATAACTCTCACTACCCATTATTCTATAGTAGAGTGGTGGTAAGGACGTAAAGTATCAGATCTGATACCTAAGGTAGAAAATGTTATCATACCTTGGACAAGAAACGAGGCAGCATCTCGCTATCTTTGCTTGAACTATCTCATGTACTGGAAGCTTAGTAAGATGTGATGAGGTTGGTTGGAGGTACGTTCAAGCACTTCTGTAATTTATGTCGTGGACTCGATGCACAACATGACCAAGAAGGCCATACAGATCAGTGAGTCGACCATGCTATCCAAAGACATGATGGCAAAGTAAAACGCAAATGAAATTCGAGATATTCGCAGTGCATACATGCTAGACCCCGTACTTCAAGAATCCCGCCGTAGTCAGATATCTGAGTAAGACTGCATGCACGGCAGCATGGGCGACAAACAGTAGTATACCGGGGGTCTGGGTCCAACAGGGCTACTTTTAGGGTACAACAATCTGTGTAATTCTTCTCTGACGACGAAGAAAAGCCAATGATAAGCTGGAATGGTAGACCCGATGGCTCAGCCCTTGTGGTAAGATGTGGGACTATTGCAGCCATAAGCATTGACAAGAGAGCTTCTAGACGACAAGAAGACTCGGCAGATCGACCTTTGGGATGCTGTAGCAGGCATTTCTAAACGCCTTAGCTGCCATATCTAGGGAGGCTTCTCCCTAATCGGCCTGGCATACACTAGTCTACACTAGTCTATTCCACCCATGAGCCACACGCCGGACTCGAGCCTATCACGGCGTAGCATGGCGCTGTTTTTCCCGGCTTCACCGGGTCCAGCCCATGTTACGACAAGCACGCCATCTCGACAACATCAAATTCATTCTACAGCCCTCGATGATGGCTTCACATAAATATGTCGCCCACCTGCTGTCCCCAATAACTTTATCTTGGGATCGCGTCACTATCTTCACTCCACGAGCAGTGTTTAGGGCCTTTGCAGACTTTATTCGTCATGGCTACCACTGTCTTCGCGGCGGATGATAAGCATGTCGACGCACATGTTGGTGAAACATCGGATAACGAAGTATACGATGGAGCAAGCTCTGTCGACACTATTACCGCCCTGGTGGCTGAAGGTGGACATGCTGCCCTTGACCTACAGTCGTACCGAAGACTGACTTTTATTCAGATCACAAACATGACATCAAACTACGAACAATGTCTTGGCAGAAGGCGGCATGGCTCCTCGCTGGTGACCAGGTCTGTCTCGCTATCATGGCACAATCGTGGTCGTTATCAGTTCTCGGATGGGTTCCCGGTATCATTACCATGCTTGTTGCCGGAGCTCTATTCTGGATCACCTCCCTCACCATGCACAAGTTCATCATGAAACACCCGCAGATCAAGGACATCTGCGACTTTGGATACTACGCTTTTGGAAGAAGCCGTATTGCCTACGAGTTCACCGGCGTCATGCTTCTGGCCAACAACATCCTTCTCATCGGTTTCCACGTCCTGACCGGCGCAAAGGTCTTAAACACCCTCAGTGATCACAGCATGTGTACTGTCATATTCTCTGTAATTGCCATGATCATGGGTATTGTCATGTCTCTCCCTCGCACTCTTCGCCATGTATCGTTCATGTCCATGTTCTCCGCAGCAGCAATGGCCATTGCAATTCTACTTTTCCTCGTCTTCGTCGGCATCGAGGACGCTCCACTCTACGGCTACGGAGGCGACTATCCGACCCTAGGCCCTGTCAGAACCTACGCCTTCCCCCTCCCTGGAACCACCTGGGTAGCATGCATGAATGCCGTGCTGAACATCACCTTCCTCTGGGTGCCCCAGATCCTCTTCCCCACATTCATCTCCGAGATGGAGCGCCCTCAAGACTTTCCCAAGGCCCTCGCCGTGCTCGCCGCCATCTCGGGCATCCTCTTCATCGTGCCCCCCGCCATTGGCTTCCGCTACCTGGGCCAATATTCCACTGCGCCAGCATTTGGCTCCTTGGGCGTTGTCGTCTACAAGAAAGCCTCGTTCGCATTCGTCATCGTGCCCACGCTCGTCATCGGCGTTATCTACGCTAATGTGTCTGCCAAATTTGTCTACGGCCGGATCATGGGCAAGTCGCGCCACGCGCATAGCAATACCGTCTTAGGCTGGGGCGTTTGGGGCGCCGTCATGGTCGCCATCTGGGTCATCGCATTCGTCTTCGCTGAAATCATCCCCAGCATGGGTGATTTCCTCTCTCTCCTCGGCGCTGCATTCGACTCGTTTTTTGGCTTCATATTTTTCGCCGTTGCGTACTGGCAGTTGTTTCGGGGCAAGGGCTTTTTTACCAGTTCGTTCAGATCGTTGATGACTGTTGTCCATATCTTTGTTATGATTTGTGGGTTGTTTTTGCTGGGTCCTGGCTTGTATGCTGCTGTCGAGGCTATTATGGCTGATTATGCTGGCGCGACTCGCCCGGCGTTTAGCTGCAAGAACCTGTCACTGTAGATGGGGTTCGACTGGTGTTGTGCCGCGGAGCATGGATAGATGTCCCTGATGATTGAAGATTTGGCGTATGTGTGGAATAGGCAATCATTTTCATATACCCCAAATCAAAGTGTAACACTGCAGCAACTTCTTGGGTGGCATAATATTGTGTTCCGGTACGATTCGTGCTAGTCGACTCTACATCAGCACAGCATTTACTATCACTGTCTTGTCAAAGAAGGTATCCTCGCGACATTATTCATCAAAGAAAACCAAGCACCGGACCTCAACACTCCGCCGACTCGGCGCATCTTCCGGTGTCTCCGGATCCACAAATGCAGTATGCGGACAACAACTCGCTATACCATCCGATCCGTCCGGCAAGCCCGCCCCCTTCGAGTCAGCGCATTTAATAAGCATCGCACTGTCCGGAGTCATGTTCTTAACATAATAAAACCGATGCCTACTATTCGGCGCAATACCATACGTCTCGCCCCTCACTTCATAACCCGCAGTTGATTCTAGTGTGTCTGGTGCCGGAATCGACTCTAGCTCCTGATCATCGTCGTTAGCATTAGTTGGGTACAACAAGTCGACATGCACAAAGTCCGTGGCATCCAGCGAGCGCCAATCCAAAGCTGCAAGCGGATATTCGACAGCAGGATTTCCGATAGGTCGCCAGACGTTTATCAACGAATAGCGCGACGCAAGCAGCACTTCTGCGTCGGCACGCGGTAGATGTCTTTGGACACGTGCTTCTGCAGCATGGGCGGTCTGGTCGACGTGGACCTGCAGGACGGGCTTGCGGGACGAGTGCTTGGCCATCTGGCGCGTGGTGTGGTCGAAGATGACGACGCGCTTAACGCCTCCGAGGGCGCGGCGCAGGAGGCGCTCGACGGTTGGGTAGTAGTCTTTTTTGATGGTGCTGTCGTCTGTGAAGACGGCGTAAGGTACTGGGCAGTGGTGGACGGCGAAACCGCAGACGTCGATGGCGAAAAGAGACTCGCGACCGGTGATATCCTCGATTGCGACTTCGTGCTCGAGGAGCTTGAAGGATTGGAATGGGCCTTCTACTTTGGACCAATGGGGTATAGGATGGCCGTCTGCGTCGTGAAGAGCTGTTGGGTCGACATATTTGACTGTCGCGCGAGTCATCTTTGGATTCTCGTGTCACGACCAGGTGTGTCTTCCTGGAATAAGTGTTATACAGACTTCGATAATTTATTTGCTGCAGGAAATGATCTGGACTACTAGAGGGATTGTAGATGAAATAATCGGACAAAAGAGTTGAAAGTCCGAAAAGAGAAGATCAATCGATGCACCATGACGGTAGAAGTGGAGCTGGTCCATCTCTTCAGCCAGCCACTGTAGCAATGGTGTAAATACAAAAGATTGTGTAGTTCTGGCCTGGAGACATCATGCATGGCCATTGGGATGTTAACGAGAAGAGATTGGCTTGGATAGGATCGAAGGATGAAAGAGTACGTTTAGAATCTCAGCTGTTAACTAGATAGTAAACTGCCTGCATGCGAACGCCGGTATCAGATGTTCTGAACCTATCATATCAGCTGAGTCTCATTCAGATAAACTGCGTGTCGGTAGTAGTTATGCAGGATAAAAGCCGCACCCGTTGCTGAGCTTTCTTTTCCGTGCCTTTTCGCGCCTGTGCTGAGGGCCGCTTGACTATAAATAGTGGTATGAGAATGTAACTTGTTTCGATCATAACTAGCTGAATGAAGCTCTATTAAAACGTCGTGGTGAACATTTGAGGGATAGAATCTTAGATGTTAGAGAAGTCTACCAGTAGGTAGCCCAATGGACATGTGGCTCCTTCCATCCATTGGGAATGGGAGGCAAGACACTTGCACATGGGCCCTAGACCTGGCTAATCATGCAGTTAATACTCTTCTGACCCACTTCCGGGTAGTTGAGAGTTACGCCAAAAGTTATAGCGGAAACCATCACAGTTGAATGTTTCTAGGCGTTCCCATATGGGCATTCATCGTACCCAAACTCGGGAAGAGCTACGTATTCTGATCGTGCGATGTGGAAACAAGAAAGGCTAGGATTCTCCATAGCTATGGAAAAGTATCATTCAAAGCTGTAACATAGCGTAATGCTCGCCACATGCAACGGATGATGTAGATGGTCTGTCAATAACTCGAACAATGGTGAATCAGTTCCTGAAAGTGGATGGCTGATACGTTGAGGTGTTGAACTTCTGCAAAATCGTACTCTGATGTGTTGACATGTTGGTATGCACAACGATAACAGGCCTGGCTTGTTATTCTCGTCGAGCTATGGTGAACAGCGCGTTCTCAGGCAGAGATGCTCGGGTGCTTTCAAGCCTCTTTCGAAGTTTACTCGCTTTCCAAAATGGTAAGTACACCACCAATTAAACGAAAACTTCCTGTCGCTAGAATATAGACTGGACGGCCAGTATTTGCTTTGTTGAGGTCGCATATAGTAGCTATAGCTTCTTCAATGGAAGCAACGACATGTGTTGATGCCTCAGGATCATGCAACTGCCAATATTTGGCGTACTCGTGTTGAACAGTCAAACTGCTCACTATGGCGTGATCTGAATTCCTATCATCAAGATCTTTCAATATTAGTCCTAGTTTCTAGTCGATTGGCTTCAGAATATACTGATAATCTCTAGCTTACCGGTTGCGTAGCCTTGGCTTTTAAATGTGATATTGGTGCAAAAGATCGACTCTTGAGGTCTTATGTTCCATTTCTGTCGAAGTCTCTCTTGTACTGTTGTAATCAATCGCTTTCGTTCTCGAGTGCTAGCCTGCTGATTAAACAAAAGAATGCATAACGCATCTACTCCTTCTTGGTCTGCAGATGTCTGGACAATCTTGCCGAACCAGTCGCTTACGACTTCGAGACTCTCTTTCGTATGTGCACCATCAAGGAACCATCGCCCGTAGGCCTTGTCGATTATCTCACATCGCCCACGAACTACAGTATCCGTAAGCCCCGCTCCAAAAAGTTCTGGAAGAGGTTGCTCGAGGCTGAGAATATCATCGGCGTCGGCTTTAATCTTTTCTCGATCGTGCTCGGTCGTGCCAGAAAGATATAACCTAGCGAGAACGTGTGCAGTCAAGAAGATTGCAAGAGAGGCATTGCGTTTTTGAAAGTCCTCATCCGGTACAACTCGAACATTTTTCAGACATTCCGCGTGTGGAATTGCTTTGAATATTGAGCCCTTTTCCTTTGCTCTTTCTCTCAACACGTCCATGGCACTTTCAGGCTGCCATACACTGTATGTATATGAGCCAGATTTCATAATTCCAGCCTTATGCCATGCGATCTCTTCAATGGTATTACCAAGTATCTGAACATGGTCTATGCCAAGGGAAGTGATCCCGGTCACGATGGGTCTTTCGATAACATTAGTTGAATCGAACTGACCGCCGACTCCTACTTCGTATATGGCAACGTCTACGTCCTCCTTCATGAAAACATGGAACGACATGAGAGTTAAGTACCGGAAGTACTTCGGTTTGATGCTGATATCACCCCCTCGTTCAACCGCTGCTGCCTCAAGCATATCCCAAACTTCAAAAAAATAATGCGCAAATTTTTCTTCGGTTAGAGGTTTTGAATTGATCCGTATGCGTTCACAGACACTGAGTAGGTGAGGAGATGTATATAACCCTACTCTTCTTGGTGTTTTGTAGTGATCATGATATTGTGAAAGAATTGAATCAACGAAGGCGCACGTGGTCCCTTTTCCTTTCGTTCCGGCAACGTGAACAATGTTAAAGCGGTCGAAATCTGCTGGCTGTTCCGATGATATGTCACTGAGTGGATCGATCAATGGTAGAGTAGGCTATCATGCCTGGTACCCAATTTCTCGAACCCACATCACCATCTCGTTCAAAGCATTCTTCTTCTTCAGGTCCGCGGGAGGATTGTTTCGACGTTCTTCCAGTATCTTGGGAGGAGTTTGTAGAGAGTTCAGATTTGTGATAGCATCCTAACAGAGCACATATTAGCTTGCCGAATTAGTTTTGTCCTATCTACAGACATACTGCATAAGTACGATGAGTTGATCGTCTAACCATCCTGGAGATGATCTTTGCGCTGAATGACGATCGTTTTATACTTCTAAGGGCTTTGAGTTGCTGGCGGCAGAGCCTTGCTCCAAATGAAGGTATTTTCTTACCGCGAATAATTAAAAGTACTCATTCTTCGCAATCGTGCTTGTACCCTGTGTAGATCATGTCACATCGCGCAGCACGGACCAGCCATTGGATGGACAAATCCTAGAACCTGTCACTCTTGGCACTCGTGTACCATCTTGTGTGGGGTCGAGGATGCTACGTCCTTTTTGTTCTCTCACTGATTTTGGAAAAAATGAATGGCGTAATCTCTACTGATCCTGCTATCTTTGGCTATGAAAGTCATCTCTACTAGACAATGAGAGAGCCCCGTCAGCAAGACAAAAACATGGCGTGCTATGCGGCTCTGCGGGGCCGTCTAAAAAAGCTCTTGGCACGCCCATTCGTGAATACCAAAAGATGCAGCGAGACTCGCTGGGTCAGTCGAATATAATCGCGGTAGAAATGATTTCAGTGGAAGATCTAGCCACGCCTGCGGTGAATCGACAATGGCTTCTCTGACGCCAGTTCTGACGCTGGAACCGGCCAATTATGACTTTCCTGTTGGTAACAACTTGCTTCGCGCAGAATGATTCCATGCATACGCCGAGCACCACCTCGCACACAGCGAAAGAAAGTGGACAATTTGTATCAATGCCGCTCGGACAGGTCCATCTCGGTCGTCTTTGCAACGGGAGACTGGCGAGCTTCCCTTGCTATATTACTAGCATGGCATGAGCGGCCTCCGAACATGAACGTTTCTTCTGCTGTCATGAGCGGTGCGAGTCGATTCTCGATGAATCACTTCTCTTGAGAGATGCTTCCGAATGGGTTCTCCGGGTTGTCGACAAGGACGCACTGCAGCATGCATGAGCAATAGTCACTTCCATGTCAAGATATTAACTTACAGTGTCGCCAGATCTATACGCGCCGGCGGAGTTATGTTCCATGCACTCATTTCTCACTATCCCATACATGCTACTGACGTTTTCTTCACGGTATTCACCGTCTTCGCTGTCACAACGAAGAGTGCGGATCTGACAGGCCTTACCGGTGAAAGCCTGACCTTCTGCGAATCTTGGTCCCACGTATGATCCTTCGTAGGTCATAGGCTCGATGATATTCTCGCACTCCGACCAATCTGGATGAAGGGTGCTATCACAAATGAATTCACCGGTGCTTTCAGGGAAGGGCCAGTTTCGCGCGACAGTACTCGCTGCGAAAGCTAAAGTCATAAAGAAGTTCCTTAGAAACATAGTGAAAATAGAAATATCTGAACTGACGACAGAGCTATCTGGGAGAAGTGTTTGGAATGATATTTTTCCAACAATGGGCGCGCATGCTAAATAAGTGTAATTTCGTTCAGTCTTTGCTTTGTTTTCTTTTTTCTTTGCACGAATGCGGAGCTCCTGCCCACTTCTGACTGTCCTTGAGCACTTCCGATCTAGGTGACGACGTTCATCAACAAACTACAAACAACCAGTGCCTCAGTACGGTCTATAATGGAACATTGTGGTAGATGTCCCTCCGATCGACAGTGCTGCTGTCTTATGCTAAGCATTACTGAGAATGTACCGAATTGCTCAGGCAGGTGGGTACATTGCCAGCTATATTAGTTAGTTGTAGGCTCTGTCGACGTCAAGTATCGTCTTTACTTGAAAGCCAAACATTAAGTCCGCAAACGAATTCATCCAAAACTGTATAGATAGTAGACGCCCAATAGACCCATCATGATGACGAAATCTAGTCGCTGTTGTCAATACTCACGAGATGTTGTGACGGCCTAAGTTTGTTACGCGAAGCGTAAAGGAATCTTTACCTGTGCATGATTGTAAAAGTGTTCTAACATGTCTAGGAGTATTCTAACTTGGAGTGTGACACGGACATTGCATAGATAATATGACCAATGAACCATGTAGTCCGTGCAGTGAAACTCCCTGTTATATCTGACCTGATAAAAAAGTGGCTAATGATTTCTATATGACATATCTATGTATGTCTATAATTCTATGCTACAATACCGTAGACCTTATCGGGGTACATATATTCAGCAGAATGTTACACTGTCAGACCTCATCTGCTCTCATGAGTAGACCCAATCCCTATAGGTTCGATTCTTGGTTCTGGGCCGCGTGGCTTCCTCACGACTATAGAGTTACGCAGTTTATCCCTGCTCGCTGCATTCATACAGGATCATAAGTATTCACGAGAGAGAGCAAGATATGACCCCGGCCGATGGAATGAGAATGCATCGAAAGATACGTTTCTGTGATGTCGTTAAATTATGTAGACCCATAACTGGTGGAAAACAGTATATTCTCATATTATCCCTATTGACCCAGCACCAACACTCCAGAACGCAGTCTAATGTCCTGACTTGGTTGCAATACATATGGCACCTGAGTCTTCTTGATTATTCCTGCGTCTTACATCAGCCCTTCTTGAATCTTTCAAACAAGCATAATTTCATCTGCGTCGCTCTCGTCCCAATCAACAGCCTCTCCGTGCATGATGCCCTCGACGTAGCAGTCCTCTATGAACCTCCACTCCTCGGAACCTTCCCCTTTTTCTCAACAGTACCGGCACAGTCGATCCATGCAGCACGGCTACATATCTCCTTGCCTGCACTGTGGTATCGCTAGCGGCAGATGGAATAATACGTTTAGCTTTCGTTCGTCAAGCAAGTTTGGCGCCCACGAAGGTAGACCACTAGATTTATCCGCAGACTGGGACGACCTAAACCTGTATACCAGCCCCAGTGCCTGGAGCGAACGTGATTCATCAATGAGTGACTTGACAAAGCTTGATTAGGTCTATTCGACGGAACGCGTGTAGTCAGGTATGTGAATCTATGGCGTACGCAACCCTAGAAATGCATTGACCTTGCTGTGGGGGTTAGTCACGTCGAACTCGGAAGTGTTTGCGAAATTTTGAATTCATTTGTCGTACATGACGAAAATTCGCGAAGATCCGCATTGTGATCTTTTGTAAGAGGTGCGGATGTTCAGCATGAGGCTGATGCGCGCATATTGTGAGCTTCTGAAGGAGATCTGAGGGCTATTGCCATTTAAACATCGAGAAAATGCGGCATAGAAAACCTTGATAGTGTATGGTGATATGCTGAAGTCGATGGCGTGGCGATACCGTGCCGCGTGCGAAGAGGACAACGGGAGACATGACTGCCTCCTGAACGACCCAGCTTCTAGAAAACCATAATTAGGAACCGAGAGCAAACGCTCCCTTGCTATATTCTCTGATACTTTCCTCACTATCTAGAAGCTGACCAGGCTGAGACAAACTGGATACTGTTTGCATTAATGCAGGCAGACTATCCCTGCTATCGTTAGTAGCTACCAAGCCATGCACTTTCCGTATAAGTTTCCGTAGTTTGGTAAAAGATTTCGTTGGAACGTGAGACGTAGGATGGTAGGACTCCATGTAGATAATTGTGCAATGAGATTTGCTGTGTAGCTCTCCCATAAGAGCGACGTGCATCGAACGCTATTCGTGGTCAACCTGGTTCATACAAACTTGATCGATCCATAAGAACCCGGCTTCTGATTGCTCAAATGAAGGTTAATCCTGTATGTAGAACCCGGTATTGGCCAGGGAAGTGCCCCTTACTATGCGCAGTCGGACGATTCAATTAGCTGATCCCCAAGTGTATGACACGGCTTCGAATACAGGTTCATCTTCGAGCGTAACGTGAACTAGGTCGAAAATCCAATTACACTCAAGAGTCACCTCGATGAGCTCGGGCTTGTCAGGTTCAGGGCACTCTACGAGGTAGTAGTTAATCATTTCATCTCCAGACATTTTTCTTAAACTCTTCCTTCAAAGGAGTACGAAACGACAGGAGCCTTACATGACGATTACTCTCCAAAGGCTGGTATCGGAACTCGTTGGATGCCATGGCAAAGGCATGTCTGAAAGGGCTAGCGCACAATAAACTTATGTTTGTGCGGAGGCCTAATTATCTCTCAGCAGGCAGTGAGGTTCTAGCCTCCGTTATCAAATCAGACAAGTTCCATTAGAAAGTCTCATCACTCCTAGTTTTGAAGCGTGGTATTCAAGTGTGAGTGATTAGGTAAAGTATTACGAGAGGAATGAATGCTTCTCTGTGGAGACGGGTGGAGAAATTATCCTATTTGAGTGTCTTGCATGCATCCTGCAAATAACGAGCCAATCGTGCTAGTGAGCCAATCGTGCTAGTACACCTGTACGGCACACAAGCAATAACTTTGTTAGTAACGGCATGTACACTCTCATAGCACGAGCACGGGAGGATACTGCCCTCGAGTTGCTCCATGGATGTCGCCATAAGGTTGTGATAGATTGATCCATGCTGTTGGTTATGTCTAAGTTCATAACGTGAGTAGCGTCAAGAGACGCATGCGGATATCCAGGTCACTGACCGGAAACAATATGCAGATCTGTTAACAGCCCTTGTTCAACCTATAACAAAGCTGCATTGCCATGTCTACCAGTACTACTATATCTCGTTCAATTTCTCGCAGGTCATGGAAGCTATGAAGTATACACTCTTTCACTAGGCTGTTTGTAAGGTCTAAACCTTTCGCCAAACAACCTTGTCGAAGGATTGTAATTGAGAGTCATGACCAAATAATCTGAGTAAGGTCCTGGTCCAGTAGGTTGATAGTGACCTACTTCTCCTCGACTTCCCATTCGATCACGGCAGGAGCCTGGATTGTACGTTGTTTGAGGAAATTAAGACCCTCTCCGCCCTAGCCAAAGTCAGTCTCTCGTTCTTGTTTCCGATAAGGGATTGACTCACATAGCTAATCAGTGGTGAGACCTCGATGCCTGCATGTTCATTGTCATCTTTATAGGTCACCGTGATGCCAGTGGCCTGAATCCATCTCTTGCCCTGTTGCTCGATGTCCCTTTTGCTTGTGTCTGGGTCGTCTTCGCCTGTCCCACGAGCGTTCTTTAGGGGTGAAAATTCATCTTCACGCTTGACTTCCATACAAGCAAATTTCTCCATCGCTAGGAAGGGAAAGCAATCAAACACAAATTGTTCCAGCTTTATACCGTTAGGCTTCTCTGGCTTAACAGAGTTACCGCTCTCCAAGTCAGTGTAGGGAATCTTCTTGCGTGCGATGTGGTGTGGCAGCTTGCGAACCCACTCAGGAATGCTCTCAAGGAAGTCATACGAGTAGTAGTGGTTGACAATGTTGGCCGCTCGAAACTTAAGTAGTTGGGAGTTGTGTGAGTCCTTGGCCTCTGCTGTTTCGGCATCTATCTCAGAGTATTCGACTACGTCTGGCTTACCATCCTTCTGGATAATAAGACCTACTGACTCTTTGGCGTTGCGCTTACGGACGACTTTGGTGGCGACGTCGACGTTTTTCGAAGCAGCGAAGCCGATGAAAACTGGGTCTGCGACCTTGACCAAACAATTGTCAACGCAATAAGCATGAATATGCTTGACAGCACGCTTCTTCATGTCTGCCACGACACCAGAAGTTATGAGAGCTTGATAGAGACCTCCATTGCCGTCGGGAGCCACTGCAACCTTCGATTTGCTTTCCAAGATGATCTTGCCCTCATTCGAGATGCAAGGCAGTACACCTTGCTCAAAGAAGACGACGTTCTCTTCCTTTAGACCAAAGTAAGGGTTGGGAACTGTTTTATACGCTCCATTTACTTTGACAGTTTTGGTAGCATTTTTGAAGTATTCCTCAGTTGGTTTTCGTGTCGGCCCACTCGTCATGACGTACCACGGAACGATCACCTCACCTTCATTTTTGCAGTGCTTCTGGGCGGCTAATTGCTGTACCTTCAGAATCCTTTCCGCCTGAAGCTGGAACAGGGATTTCTTGGTGATAAGGCCGATATCGAAGCACCCTTTCGGTGCAGAGCTACCAAGCCTTGTTCCCTGGCCTCCAGCCATCAAGACAACTGCAACCTTATTTTCCGCTACTAGGTCCAAGCCTGACTGGAACCAGTTCTCAAGATCTTCTGCTTTGGAGTCAAGGATGGAAGATGTGGCGGCATCTGGTAGAGGTTCGAGCTTGGGAGCGACTACATCTTCGGTCTTCGGAGGGTGTAAGGCTGTCTCTGTGATATCATTGATATATTCAGGATCGAAATTGGCTAGCTGCTCGTAAAGGCTAGTTTTGCCAGTAGCATCGAGCTCGTCGTAGAAGGTAAAAACATGGCCCTGACCAGTTTTTTCGTATTTTTCGCGGAGCTCTGTCAGCTCGTCTGTAGAGGGCACAGTGGCACTTTCGCCAATGATTATGTTCTTGACGCCAGCGGTCGCCTTGGCCAACCCTTCCATGATGTATACAGGTTACTTTGGTGCGATTGGTATGTAGATGAGACGTGTGAAGTATTTGAAGTAACAGGTTAGACGTCAGGTCGCTATGCGGTGAGAAGAGCGAAGACCGCTCAGTGTTTATTGGAGTAGGAGCTCCCTGACGTTAACTAGCGTGACAACCTGGCTGTGCATCTTCATTTGCCCCTCTGCCTGCTGCATCCAATAAGTCGACTGCATCTCGCCACGGCTGCCTGGTTAATCTGAGACTGTTTTTAAGTCTGTCACTTGACAATTGGTTATGTCCCATGGATGTGAACTCCTCCTGACAGCTTAGAGTGAAGACTATGTCCTCTGTTATCGTCTGGTTTCAGCTCATCTGGGACCCTGATGCTCGGCCGGGGGTGACCCCGCCATGATATGCGCTAAGGGCAAAATGCCATCAATTGCTTGAGCCTTGGCCTAAACTCCTGACAAAGGATACCAGCTGCCTCTCACCTATTTCAAATTGATGGAGATCAAGACTCTGATCTGCTGCTTATGACCTTCCGCTCGAACAAAGGCTCGCTGCTCTGCTATGTTACTCAGAATGAGCTATCAGATCTCAAGGTGCTAATGTGATAGCTGCAAGACGAAGCTCAGAGTGATTATCACGTGACTATAATCGGAGATAACTCCGCTTCACATAAGGCCAGTTCGGCCTTCACTGAGCATGTATGCCATAAAGGTGATCTTTCAGCTTGGCCTTGACCTTCCAACCTTGATCTGTTGTATCAACTATATCTCACAGATATGTCATCTCCTACAGTCATAAATTCAAGCGCACAATTCGAAACCCTCCTCAAGTCCAATACATACGTAATCGTTGACTTCCACGCCACATGGTGTGGACCTTGCAAAAGTACGCAAAGTTCATACAGCACCACTAGAACATTGGTATGCAGTTAACTACATGGATACCATTTCTGACAATATGATCAGCTATCGCTCCAACCTTCAACCAGCTAGCTGCCTCCGAGACGAAGCCTGGTCGGATCATCTTCGCCAAAGTCGACGTTGATGCACAACCGGGCATCGCGCAGAAGTATGGTGTGTCAGCGTATGTTATCCTCACGAATCGCTTCGATATACATGAAGCTCCCGGACTGATAATGAATATAGCATGCCTACCTTTCTCATCCTCAAACGCTCTTCTGTCATCGAAACCATTCGCGGCGCCAACCCATCTGCACTCCGAAACGCAGTGATGTCCGCATCCTCAGATTCCGCAAAAGGCCCTGCACAGTCGTCTACGTCGTTCCAGAGCAAAGGCCATACGCTCGGAGGTGCAGGAGCAGGCACATCGCGCAGCCAGACCGGCTCATCTGGGTGGTCATTCGGCGCACGTATGCCGGGAACTGGCGGCGCGGGACGCACACTGGGTGGAGGAGGAAACGGATACATAGATGTGGTCGTGAGATTCTTCGGGTTGTATTTTACGAGCCTGCTGAGTCTCGACTCGTATACGGCAGCAAGCGAAAGCCCATTTCGAGCGCGGTGACGCGCCCTGGTGGATGGTCAAGCTCGAAGAAGAAAAAAATCAACGAGACCACGATAATTTGTATTTCAGTGTATCAACAGCCGAATCCAACACATTCGAGCTCGACTTATGTTGTGACATGTTTGTGGCAGGAACAGGGCAAGTATGAAAAATGAAACCTGCACTACGACATGATACGAGACTATGCGGCGTTTTACTTTCCACCATCAGTTCCCAGCAGCGTTCAAGCCTGCATACCAACGCCGATCGCAAGCTTACGTGGTCGCTGCGAATAACACCTCGACTGACCCGCAACAAGATATATACTCGTACCTCCTTTCTTGGAATATACACAATAGGTTGGATGTATGTTGTAAGCTTTTCTAAGGCTACGAGTATTGACATGGGAGCCACAGTGGAGTCATTAAAGGAGAACGTAAGTGTAGATCTTGAATGCATGATGGGAATGGCTTGCTGACATGAATCTCTTTGGCTATGGGTAATGTTGTTCTATGTTCATGAATGTATGTTCCGCCGCGTCATTAAGCGACCCAATTCTCATAAATCGTCCAGTCGTAATATGTGCAAAGAATGGAAAGAGATGGCCAATATGCGGATCTTATGAAATGCCATTCGTAGCGGGTCGTGAAGTTACATCACCATTGATGCCCTCAGGTCTCGACTCTTCAGTCTCTTGTGCTGGCTTAAGTGCCTTCTGAGGAGCGGGGCTGAGGATGCCGGCAGCGTTTATCAAGCGTGCTTGTGGATTGATCTCCAGACCGAAGCCAGGCTTGTCTAGCTCACTAACGTCCAGATACCCCTTTGTCGGGATCGGCTCGTTGGTGAACAAATTGCCGAACACAGGCAGTACGCTCTTCCCATCTGGGCTGTTTGCCAGGTACTCTTGGAACGGCGAGTTCGCCTGACTCACGACGAAGTGATACGAGTACGGACCCGAGGCGTGGGGCACGACCGGAATATCGTATGCTGCTGCCATTGCTGCGACCTTGAGCAATTCTGTCATACCACCTACCCACATGACGTCAGGCTGTAGGATGTCCAGATTGCGGCCCTCAATCAGCTTCCTGAAGCCATATCGCGAATACTCGTGTTCGCCTGTGGTAAACTTTACAGTTGGATGTGCACGCTTAATCTGCTCGAAGCCGTCCGTGTCATCGGGCGACAAACACTCCTCCCACCAGTTGATATTGAGATCCTTGCACCGCTCCACAACCTCGATCGTATACGACACGTTCAGACTCATGTAACAGTCGACCATGATAGGAAAATCCGGTCCTACAGCTTCTCGATGTGCGCGCAGGAATTCTACGTTCTTCTTCATGCCCGCAAATCCTTCGCCAGGGGAGTAGGGCAGGGGCACCTTGGCGCCGAAGAATCCCATGGATTGCGCGGCTGTGGGCTCAGGCCCAGTGCAGTAGAAGTCGAGACGCGTACGCGTTGCGCCGCCGATGAGTTTGTATACGGGTTCGTTGCGGATCTTGCCGAGTAGGTCCCAGAGGGCGAGGTCAATAACGGAGATGACGGCAACGGGCAGGCCTTTGCGGCCGTAGAACATTGAGCCACGGTACATCTGCTCGAAGAGGTGGTTTGTGTCGCGGGGGTCTGCAGATATGTCAGAAGTGTGTCTCATTCAGAGCATGGCGTCTAGGTTTTGGCCATACCGGCTCCAAGCAGAAACCTCTCGAAATGCTCTGCTACCAGCCAACAGGCCGGCGGGCCCCCGAAGCCCGTTGCGAAGCCCTTGGTGCCATCCGAAGCCTCCAGTTCGACGCAGAACGAGCCCAGGACATTGATGCCCCAGCTCGTGCGCGACTTGCGATACTCCTCATAACTAGACATTGGAGTGGAGATCTTGGAGTCAATCAGCCAATGGCCGCCCTTGACGTTGTGATAGTCGCCCCCGGAGCCGACGCCCTGGATGAGGAAAGTGCGGACATGCTTGATGGTCGGAAAGGAGCGCGCCATTGATCCGATTCAGGCAATGTGCCAGGATTGTGGCAGGGCGGGTATCCAGGGATTTGAGATAGATCGATATATTGAAACCTGGAGGCAGTGGATCTGGGGACGTGGCGCGAAAACGAGATGACGCGTAGTTGAAGGACGAGAAGGACGGGCAGCGGGTGAAGGGAAGTGTTTACGGGTTTATATTGCGGCGGATCGGGCGGAGAGACTGGGGTGGAATCGTAGAGTGGCGGAGGAATTGTACGGCGTGAGGATGGTATTGGAGGGCGTTGTCGTGCTTTTGTATAGGATCGGGGGAGCAGCGACGGGCGGACAAAGGCTTCGGTTCATCTTGCGGCGACGTCAACAGGCGGGAGTATCGTAACTTTAGTAGTATGAGATGATAACCAGTTAGTAAACACGTGTGGTGCATGTGGCAGCCGAACGACAGACAACGATTGATACGATATGATAGGTACAGATGTGGCGCTGACGGGCAGCCAAAGTCAAACTAATTGAGGCCTCGGAATGGTCCCCCGGAAGAGCCGGAAGAGGGGCACTTGTTAGCGGTGTTGGCAGTGGGTGCCGCGCTATTTTGGCGGGGTTGGGCCGGTACGTGGGCAGCCACGAGACCTTCTAGAAGGCTTTTAGCTTAGGGTGGTGCCTTCCCCACCTGCTCCTCGGCTCGGCCTTTAATAGAGCGACGTCGCTGGTGGTGGATCCCTCGCAACACTCTGAACCGAACTCTCTCCCTCTACATTCTCTTACTCACTCACTCACTTACTGACCACTGCACGGTAACGCACTGCACCGCACCGCACCGCACCGCGCATTCACGGCTTTGTTGCAAGCCAGGCCAGCCTTGTGCTGCTGACGCCCATGCCGGTGCCGATGCTGACGCTGATGGATGCGCCTTGCCAATGCCAATGCCAATGCCAATGCAAATGCCAATGCCAGTCCCAAAAGAAAAGGACCTGGCCGCCATGAGTGTTTCATCCTCCGCACCGCGCCATCCCTCCTCCTTCCAGAGCACCAGTCCCAGCTCCGGACACCACAATGTCTCGCCAAACAACGACGATCAGGAAGACCAGTGGAGTGGGCACGACTCGGGAGAGGACGGCGAGGATGGCTCGCGGAAGCGAAAGAGGCCAATGTCAGTCTCGTGTGAACTTTGCAAGCAGCGGAAAGTGAAATGTGCGCGGGTTCTTCTCACATGCTGCAGAACACTCAATTAATCCGCTGTATCAGGTGATCGAGGTCAACCCAGCTGTGGCTGGTGCGTCAAGAATACCCAAGTGTGTGAATACAAAGAGAGGAAGAAACCTGGTCTGCGTGCTGGCTATGGCCGTGAACTCGAGGCAAGACTAGGTATGTGTCACATCTCTCTGGCCTCGCTTGTCGGGTCAATTGTTTGATGGATGCATCGATACTCCGCATTTTAAAATGCTCATTATATCCATCGGCAGTATTGATGGTCCGATCCTTGTGCTATACATACATACTCCAATTATCAGACTGACTTCCAATATGCAGATCGTCTGGAGGACCTGATCCATCAGCAGCAGACTACAATCTCACAGCTCAGCAATCATGTTGTCAACAATGCCCAGTCATCTCCGTTGTCCCACGATGGCCCGCTGTTTCGCAGTCCGTCCATACTACAAACACATATACCCAGGCCCGAGACGGCATTGTTCTTGCAGAAACCCTCTACTTTTGCACCCAATCACTCCATGATAAATGAATATGCTAGACATCAGCCCCAGCACAATGGATACCAGCAGCAGCAGCACATACAGCATGAGCCATCAAATGGTTTGCCGACACCGGCACGAGATGTTTACTCACATACGAATCCGCCTTTGGAATCTCCAAGCTTGAATCTGGCGAATGCTCCGCCATCCGCGCCAGTCATGCATGAGGGCGATTTTCCGCCATATGACCTACTATACGCTCTTGCAGATCTGTATTTCAAGCATATAAACACGTGGTGTCCAATCCTTCATCGGAGATCCACTCTCGACTCTCTTTTCGGGGCCTCGTCATCTTCCCTTGATGATGGGGATCGCATCCTGCTCCACGCCATTGTTGCGACCACCCTCAGGTTCTCCACTGACGCCCGACTGACGCAAGGCGCAAGAGACAGGTATCATGAACTATCAAAGCAGAAAGTCCTCCTGTACGGACTTGAAAACAGCTCCGTCAAGGCGCTGCAGGCCATGGTCATTCTTGCGTTGGATCTTGTTGGTTTCTCAAACGGTCCGCCAGGCTGGAATCTTCTCGCGTTGATCACCCGGGCTGTCGTGCAACTTGGACTTGCAGTTGAGACTACTTCTTCCATGGTGTCGCCGCAATTTCCATCAATTTATACCCTGAGAGCTATGGTTCTGCCAGAGCCAAAAGATTGGATCGAAGAAGAATCCCGAAGACGGCTATTCTGGATGATCTACTTACTAGATCGGTATGCGACGGCTGCCACGGCTTTTGAATTTGCTCTGGATGAGAGGGAGATTGATCGAAAACTACCATGTCGAGATGATATCTTCAATCGTAATCAGCCTGTCGACACGCGATGGTTCCGGACGATTGAGAGAACAGATTACTCCATGGAAAAGCCAGAAAATATGGGATCGTTTTCGTACTATATCGAAGTTATTGGGCTGCTGTCTCGAATACACCAATTTCTGAAAAAGCCTGTGGATATCGGCTCTTTATCTGACGTGGAGAAATGGCAGGCTGAGTACCGAGAACTCGATAAAGCATTGGCCGAATGGAAGCATAGCCTTCCGCATGAGTACGGTAATGTCGCTCGTATCTTCAACGGCGCCGGTAACAAAATCGTCAACACTGGATGGATCATGTTGCATGCTGCCTATAACACGTGAGTATAACTCCACTGCTGAAGAATCTTCCACCAATGACACTCCATCCATCACATCTGACATTCGACTGACCACCAACAGCACAATCATCCGTTTACACTCCTCCGCGGCTTACCCCACAACCCGCTCTCCGATCTTCACGCCCTCTTACTCTGCATCTCAGCGCTGTCTCTCCGCCGTCGAGAACATCACTGCCCTGGTCAACTACCTCAAATCCACCACTCTCCTCTCCACGCTCGGCCCGCCATTTGCCTTCTCCCTCTGGGTCGCAGCACGCGTCCTCCTTGTGCATGGCAGCACCATCTCTCAGAATGTGAATCCTTCTATTCACGCCCTAGTCGAAACCCTGAACTACCTCGGTCAGTACTGGCGCGTCGCCGAGCGGTACGCCACTCTGCTCACCCGCGTCCTCGAGGAATACTCCGACTCGCAACGCGCTCCGCCAACCGCAGAGGGTGAACGTCCCACGCCCTCCACTGTACGCATCCTGGCTGACATGCGCCGCTGCGCCTACGATCTTGATTTCCTCATCTCGCGCCAGCCGCGCGCGAGCGGCGCCTCCGGTGGCATGTCCCGTCTGCCGTCCGTCACACCTGCACGCACCCCGCAGCCGCAGGAGTTTGAGTATCTGGATGTGTTTGACTTTTTCAACGTGCCGCGCCTGCCGGTCAGTATGGAGGGCGGCATGATGGTCGGGCAGCAGGGGGCAAGCGCGGGTCCGGAGAGTGGGTTGCTACCGGATGCTGGAGCTGTCGGTGGAAATGGTGGGAATGAGTTTAATATTACGAATTTTAGCTTCGATGCAGATAGTGATTGGTTTATGAAGGCCGGGGCATAAGGACGTTATAGTGGCATATTTGGGGGCATTGGAGAATAGGGGGCGGGACAGGCGGGCTCCTATGAATGATCGGATTCGAGGAGTTAAAGAAGCGGATGGCGAGCTAATACCCGGAACTGAAGTCCGAATCATAATGGAAGCTTCTACAAATTAATCTAAGAACCTTTATCTGGATGGTATTTAGTAGAAACAATTTCGCTGTGTGAAGTGTGCTATGTACAATCTACATAAACTTTACACCCAGAAAACTGGCACTATAACTCCACTACCCATGAAGTTCTCTATATCCACCCATGATTCGCAAACAGCAACACATGACGTGTTGTACGCCCCTAACCTGCCTCCTCTTTGGTCGTACACAATAACTCTAGCTACACGCGTCCGTATTGAGGATATGACATGTGCTAGCCTCCTAATACCTTTGACATGTAACAGTGCTGTGGGCAAACTCGACATCATAAAATAGATGCTACAGAAGAGAAGAGATACAGGGTATAGGACGAAATCTAGGATGTTATCTCGCTGTTGTGGTTGAGTTGTGTAGGGAGTCTAGCAAGATGGATGTAGAAGCGGTAGTAGAAGCGGTAGTAGAGGCGGCGAAGATAGAGATGTAAAGGAAGAGTAGTCAAACTATTAAATTTAGATAGAATATGAGACTTTCTATATGATATTTAGGGACTGTCTTTCGTTGAAAGCAGACACATAGGTAAGTACGATCTAGTGATCTTGAGTTGTAGAGACATCCTCATGTAGAGGCCATATAGAGACTGAATCTACGTCTTAATCCATTACATCTGGTGTTCGTATTCTACGGCTACTTCAGCACTTCTAGCGCTAAGCACATGATGCCCCACTGTGAAGAGGGGAAGCTCTGAACTGCCGACATCGAGTCGCATCCGGACCAGGACTCACTTCTGCCGAGCTTAAGACTCGATGGCACCTTTATCAAGATGACCAGGGTTCCCTTTCTATCTCTGCAGCATAGACATTAGAATCTACCATCATCCCAATCAAACACTACAAATAATATTCCCACGCAACACAACAACAAACAAACATGGCAACCTCCACACACTCACAAGCAGTCAACATCAACCCAGATGTCTTCGACCCAGCCGCCATCCCCCCCGCCGTCACCGCATTCAACGACAACCTCATGGCCATAACCAAAGACATCCCAAATTGGTGGACCGTACGTATCCCACCCGGTCCTTCCCCCCTAAAACACCGACAGCTCACCATCTTCCCCGAAGGTCGGCGCCGCCAAATACCGCACCATGCGTGACGCCGGCCAAACAGCCTTCCCCCCTCTCACAAAACTCACCTCCGCAGCTTCCCTCGACATTCCATCCCGTGACTCCAACCGCTCTATCCCCTGCGCCGTCTTCCACCCGGAACCCACAGCACGCACCCCAATCAGGGGCATCTTCATGCACATTCACGGCGGCGGCTGGGTCCTCGGCCACGAACGCTCGCATGACTCCGTCCTCCAGGCCATAGCCACCACTAACGCCGTCGTCGTCGTCTCCGTCGGCTACCGTTGCGCGCCCGAGCACACCTTCCCCGCAGCACCGGAGGACTGCTTCGACGCGGCGGAGTGGCTAATTGAACATGCGGAGGCGGACACCCGGCTCGGGGGCGGTGGTGCGCGGCTGTGCTTTGTGGGCGGCGAGAGCGCAGGCGCGCATTTGAGTGCGCTTGTAGCGGCGCATTTGCTAGGGCATGCGGATGCGCGGTTCAGTGGGTTTGCGCTCAGGGGGTTGGTGTTGCATTTTGGGTGTTTCGATGCTGGGGGCACGCCGTCGGTGGGGCTTTTCCGGAAGGAGTCGCCACTGGTGCTCGATGAGGAGGCGGTCATGCGGTTCCGGGACGCGTTTTTGCCGGGGGTTAGGGATGCTGCTGGGTTGCGGGATCCGGCGGTGAGTCCGCTGTATGTGGATTGGGGGAGGTATAGGGGCAGACTGCCACCGGCATTGTTTACGTGTGGGACGGAGGATTGTTTGTTGGATGATACGGTGTTTATGAGTGCGAAGTGGCAGATGTGTGGTGGGGTGGCGGATGTGGTGATTATTCCAGGGGCGTTTCATGGATATGTTATGGTTCAGGCCGAGGGGAGTCAGGCGGAGGTTGGGCTGGCGGCGGTGGAGAGGTTTATGGACAGGTATTTGCAGTGACGCGGCTTGACGCAGATGTTGTAATATAAGTATCTACGAAGCATAAGGCCAGTAAAATGGGTGGCTATGCGAAAGCTCATGACAACATAGAATCTCATCATTCTACTTATAAAACATACGTGAACCATTATCGCAAAATCAATCTTAAGTGACTCGGCACTACCACATACAGGGCAACCTCTCATATATCTCGCTATTAGATCTCTATATGTCTTTAGGCAGGTCAAAGGACTTTCAAGCAAAATGTGGAAACTACTCCCCAGATGTAGATTAATACATTTACTATCATAACTTCCAAAACGCTTGTTAATGCTATGTCCAACAGTAATATTAGTCGATAGTATTATTAAAATACTACCTGCAAATAAGCTCCTATGATCGGTTAGTCATAACCCACTTGAATTAGAATTGGATTATGTACAAAAAAGAATAACCTTAGTTATAGGGGGCTTGTGTCTATACTACAATATTCGCATACGGGGGGTGTTTATCATACTAGTCAAGCTACCGACGGTACACGCGCCAGGATCCCAAATCCCAAAGCTTTTCCCATCTCGATCTATTTTTCACGCCGACATGTAATCTAGCAATCATTATCTCCGCGAAGCTTGCTACCCACCATATCATCATCACCTCAATGGTATCTCAGCAGTCAACTCCTGAATGATAGTCGACCCGTGTAAAGTCATCAAGCGGTTCGAGGCATGTACGCACATAGGGCTCCAGTTCGCCTTTGACTACTCTGTTGGTTGCCTAATCTGCAGAGCAGGCATCATTTGGTCTCGGTCTCGGTCTTAAATCATGATGCTGCGACTGATTAGTACTTACCAACTCTATTTCATATCGTTCCGGAGAAATGGGGAATGAGTTCTCAAACTCGAACCAGGTCTATGGCATTTACATAACCTATCCTGGGAGCGATCTCCGTTCTTGCGAGCAACACTAGCTATGTGCTATGTAAGACGACATGATAAAGATTGGACTAACCCTGTATTTTTACTGGTTATGAAAGCATGCGCTCTCGCGCCGCGTTCGCGTCATTCTCGATTTCTCATGGACATTGACGAGTTCGACAACAAGGCGCAGGGTGTGAAACCTTCGGATAGCGCCGCGAACCGCGCTGCCTCTAGGTCATGACCAACGCAGCCTTCAATAACGTTAAAGCGTCGACGTTAGGGCTGCCAATGGCGATGGAGTGGGCCCAAGATCGAGTGGTGGCATTGCCACTAATACGGGCAAACTTTTACTCAACACCTGTGTTAGCATCCTTAATCCATGCAACTGGTGGGTCGCTTAGGGTGCCTTCGGCGACATCGCGGCCCTCAATAATTATATATTCCCCGCCGTTTTCCTGTAAAATCTGCTTGCTTCACCAATTGGATAGTTTGCTCTGGACGAGAAGGCCTGGTTGACCCTGGGAGGTAGCTGTAATCCCACGACCAAACATCGTTGATCGACAGCCTGCCAACGAGCGATCCGTTCACCCAGTCATAGATATTCCACATCAACCCGTATCGTTATCCACATATTTCCGATTTATATTCTCCCTCCCACTGCACGAGATCATTGATGACACTAGAACACTCAGAGGACCGACCCGGACACCTCGACCCATGTGGCATACCGGTGACATCATCAACACACCTCGAGCCAACACGTTCTCGCGATAGCCGAATATCTAGACAGAATGAAAATTCGACCGATGGTACTGCACCTATGAGTAGTGAACGGAGCAAGGAACCGCATGATATGACTCGCGAAGATGAGGTCGTAGGCGGGCCTAATGATGAGATCACATACCCGGAAGGGGGTCTGCGAGCATGGCTCGTTGTTTTTGGTTCATTCTGTGGCATGTTTGCATCTTTTGGCATGATGTGAGTGTATCCTAACCTCCACTCACATCTTGTACTCACCTACGAGCAGGAATACTCAGGGCGTATTCCAGGCGTATTTGTTCGAGCATCAATTGAGTGAATATAGCGAAAGTGCAATTGGCTGGATATTTTCTGTTTATACATTCCTTTCCTTCTTCTGTGGCATACAGATCGGCCCAATATTCGATGCAAAAGGTCCACGATTGTTAATCTTCTCCGGAAGTGTCCTCATCGTGCTTTCTATGTTGCTTTTCTCGTTCTCGACTCGTATGTCGTCTCACTCCCCTTGATGTTTCGTCTAATGTTGACAACTATGTTAGAGTATTGGCATTTCATGCTCACTTTCGGCTTGCTCGGCGGGGCTGGCTCCTCTCTGATATTTACGCCTTCCATCTCGGCCATTGGACACTACTTCAATAAGAAACGAGGGAATGCCACAGGACTCGCCGCGACCGGTGGTGCTTGCGGCGGCGTCGTTTACCCGTTGATGCTTCAACGCCTATTCACAGAAATCGGATTTGCTTGGGCAACGCGCGTGCTTGCTCTCATCTTCCTCGTGTCATGTATCATGGCCAATCTCCTGATCAGGAGTCGTCTCCCCCCGAAACCCGGCAGCAGCGTCATGCCCGACGTTCGAATCTTCCGGGACTTGAGCTTTGCCCTCACGACCACAGGCGTGTATTTCATGGAGTGGGGCCTGTTCGTTCCCATCGCATACATCACGACGTTTGCACTCTCGACCGGGACCATGACGCGTGATTTCAGCTATCAGCTCATCGCGATATTGAACGCAGCCTCAAGTATCGGGCGATGGGCGCCAGGACTGCTCAGCGACAAAGTTGGACGGTTCAATTGCATGCTGGTCGCGCTCTCGTTGTGCGTGGTTAGCTCGTTTGCGCTTTGGATGCCTGCCGCGGTCTTGCATGACAAACCTGCTGCTGTCAAGGGGTTGACAATCGCATTTGCCGCTATGTTTGGTTTGTTCAGTGGCAGCAATATTAGTCTGACGCCGGTTTGTGTTGGGCAGTTGTGCGAGACGCAGAACTATGGACGATACTATGCGACATGCTACAGTGTCGTCAGTCTTGGAACGTTGACAGGCGTACCGATTGCGGGAGCATTGGTAACGGCAGCTGGCGGGCACTATTGGGCGGTGGTGTTGTTTACTGGCGCGTGCTATGTGCTCAGCTCGATGTGTTTCCTGTGGGCGAAGGTTCTTCGAGTGGGCTGGGACCCGAGAGTGGTGTTCTGATTTTTAGTCGAGTAAGGCGTCCACTGTTCTCAAATGACCAATTAGCACATGATTTATGTAGGGTAGATAAAAGTGGTTGCTCCTACGCTATCGACCACACGGCTTTCGATCACGTGGAGGGATTTGAGCTGTTGGCTTTCAAGTGTGCCCCGAAGTCAAACTCTATCTCAACCGCGTCTCTTGCAGTCAGCACCAGCAGATCCGTCCCCCAATATCTTGACGTTGCGAGTTTCAGTTCATACGATTATCCCTCGTAGTTTTAAAATCTCTTTCCTATCTAACCCTATCACCGTGCAAGACGTCAACCCCAACAATCCTCTTCGCCCATGGCATGTACAACTCCCCCGCACACTACACCACCCTTCTCACGACCCTGCGCACCAAATTCCCTGTGAGCGCCCCCCAACTCCCCTCGTCTGATCCCTTACATACCAACGCCGGCACCTTGGCCAACCCTACATTCGCCAACCCGGCGCCCGCGTCCGGTCTGCCTTCCAACGCCACCGACGCCGTCCTGCTCGCCCAAATCCTCGACGACTTGGTCGTCGCGCAAGGAAAGTACGTCGTGATGATAGCACACAGCGCTGGAGGCGCGAGCTCGACCGAAGCTGCGAAGCTAGAGTATCTGGTGCGAGAGCGGAAGGCGAAGGGGCAGAAGGGAGGAGTATTAGGTATACTCTACATGACTACGTTTGCGGTGTGTAAGGGCGGGAGCGCATCAATGCGATTTGGCGAGTATTATGCGGCGGTAGAGGGGAAAGACTTAGCCTGCTTCAAGATCCACGTACGTGTTTTTCTCCCCTGAGCGTATGACATAGAGGCCGAAGATATGGAGGTGCTGACTTTGGCGGAGGAAAACGGACTGGTGGAGCTCCTGCGCCCAGAGATATTTCTGTACAATGACCCGATGAATCAGCCGTCTGACGAGCGAGTTGCGTCGTTTCCGCCGCTGTTGCCTGCGGCGCCGCAGATGAGCCCGTTGACGAATTCACCGTATGCGAAGGTCGCGACGGCTTATTTGAAGTGCCTCGCGGATAACATCATTCCACTGCCGCTGCAGGAGGCGATGATCAATGAGACTACCGGGAAGGAAGGCGCGGTGTGGACTGTGTATGAGAGTGCTACCGGGCATGCGCCGTATTTGACAGACTTGGGGAGGACGGTCGAGGTCATTGAGACCTGGATTGAGAAGTGTGAGAAGGAGGAATTGGTGGATTGACGGAGCCAGCTATCTGGAGTCTGTAATCACAGAAAGGACAGTAAAGTCTGAAGCATATCTTTCAGTGCGCCCTCTTCTGCCCTGTCCGACACATGGATTTGATCTATCTGCCCCTGAATTGTGCGCTTAACGTCAGCTAACGTCTCATTCCGTTTTGCTAATAGCTCCTGGATCTTCTTCTTTGCACCGTCGTCTTCTGCAACTAGCCAGGCTAATATCACATCAACGGTCTGGAGACAGAATAGTCCAGCATCAAGTCTCCGCGAGAACCATTCATCCTCCATGGCTTCGCGATCTGCCAAGTCGAGGTTGGTTTGCTCCCGTTTGATCCGCTGATCTACTGCTGCAAGACGAGTTGCATAATCGCGACGGAGAACGATGGTTTTGGATATTTTCTCGTAATCTTTCTCCATAAATTTCGCGAGCGTTCGTATGCGCTGGGCCGAGCTACCAGGAAGTGACTTGAGAAGTGATGAAAAGATGCCCAAGAGATGTTCGTTCGTCGAGCTGTCGTTCTTCTTCATGAACAGGCTGAAGATGCGCTTGAGACCTTCTGCTTCGACGAGTTTTTGGCATACGTCACCGCCTTGCATGACGGGCACTGTGCTGTCGAGTCTTGCATTTTCGGCAGCATCTGCTTTCATGCTACTAGTATCTGTGCGATCGGCTAGGGCATGGTCGAGAACGGTCAAAGCGCGTGCTTTACTCATCTTCCCTTCTTTGAGCATGATCAGGCATAGCTCTACACCTTCGGCTTCCACAAATTTGGCTTTGCCTTCAGGTTCGTCAACTACGCATGTTAGTGCATCGAAGAGATTCTCAACATACTCCTCCTCTTCGGAGTCTTTCTGGGGATCTCTTTTCCGGTAGGCGGCAAGTATAGTGAGGAGAGTATCCACGCCATCAAGCTCGAGAAAGCGTTTACGGGTTGAGTCTGAGGATTGTAGGATGATGGAGAGTATCTCGGCTGCGTATTGCTTGTTTTGACCTAGCCTTGCTTCTTTTACTTGTATCCTGGAAACTAGCCAGGGCAAAAGTTTTGTAGTTTCTCCTATTGTCTCAGCCATCTTAGGCCTCGAAATAAGGTGCTCGATGACGCCTAGAGCATGATATACTCCACTACGATCCGAATCGTTCGTCTCGTCGAAGCGATCAAAATTCTGAGTCAACAGGTCGAGTATGTCTGCCTCCATAAGCCCGTCCACCAGAGCGTCCCATTGCTCTTGTTCTGCTTCTACGTCTTCGTCGGTCAATTCGCTTATAATCTCTATTGCGTCGATGGCAATGTCTGTATTCTCGTGCGATAGAAGCGATACCAGCTTTGCAGCACTCCCTAGCTTCGCGAATTCGGCGTACAACTCCGAATGCTCTGAAAGTATCGACAACGCCTTGATATCATCGTCCAGGTCTGATTCCGAGCCCATGAACTTCTGAGGCTCCTCCTCGTACTTCCCACGTAGCTCTGCGTTCTTCGCTATTCTCTTCTCAAAGTTTAAGGCCGTCTTTTTCAGCCATGAACTGTCAATCTTCTCGGGTATGAATGTTTCCTCTCCGTCTTGCTCGTCGAGATAGTCCATAGCATCTTTTGTACCTTCGTCAAGTCCACTCCCGAAAAATCTTCCTTCTTCATCATCAGGCCCGTAGTCCTCCTCTTCACTCTCCGGAGGTAATTGGGGTCCTGCTTCTTCGCCATCATCGTCCTCCACGCTTGAAGCTCGTGGTTGCTTGGCGTCGGAATTTGCGGAGATCTTTGCAGATTTGTAAACCTTTTCAGGGTCAGTCAAGGGCTCGATTTTCCGTTTCCCAGGCGCGTTTGGCTTTTTGAATAGGTCGTCGATGCTTGTCATCTCGGAGACTGTCGTGTGGTGATGCGCGAGCACCTTTATCAGAGAGCTCCCATGGCCCGTCGCGATGTTTTGGCGTCGAGCTTGTTTCGGGACGCTAGAATAAGGCTGGCCAATCAGCAGCCTCGACATTCTAGGTCAACACATCAACTTCCGCGTGAACCCTTTCACACTCACACATTGAGGCTATCTACAACAATTGCAGGTACTGACGAGAGACAATACATGTGAATGAATCAATATGCCGAAGAATCTTTCCGTCACGGAGTATAAAGAGTTAGGAATCCAGTATTACAAGCAAAACGAATATCAAAAGGCAGTGGACGCGTTCACCGAAGGGATCAATGCCTCGATCACTGGTTCTGTAGATTTGCTCGACCTCCGGTCGGCAACGTATGTCAAGCTGGGAAATTTCAATCGTGCACTCCAAGATTCACAGCACATGATCAAGATAGATAAGAAGAATGTCAAGGTATGGTCATGTGGTCCGCACTTGAAAGCTGCTGACGAGTCGTAGGGATTCCTTCGAACTGGGCAGATTTTGCAAAAGATGGAAAAGCCTGGTGTTGCTTTGGACATCTATCATTATGGTGCAAGGAATGTCCCCGTGTCGGACAAGGACTATATTGTATCTCATCGCCCCGAATCACCGGGACATGAGAACTAACCAATGCAGTTACTGAAAGCTAAACGTGATAAACTTCAGCATGAGCTAGCTCCACCAAGATCCCACGATCCGCTTACTGTTTTGCCAGTTGAACTGGCTGAGATGATTCTGGGCTACCTGACGTTTAGAAACAGGGTGTATGTCAACTTCGCTATTCGTTTACTTTCATGTTGACCCTTCGATCTAGAAACTGCCTCAGAGTGTCAGGAAGTTGGTACCGTTTCATCGGCTCTCGCGAATCACTGTGGACCAAAATTGATCTCTCCCACGCAAAACGAGTGGTCAAGGCTAGCTTCCTCCGACATTGTATCGAAAGGGCCCGTTCAAAAGTCACTGAAGTAATCATTCATCGTGTTGACGATGTGAATATCCTCCGGACTATCGCAACGAGATGCCCTCAGCTCGAAACAATTAACATCTTGCAAGGACCTAGCTCTCGAGCTGGGGAGTCTATCCTTGAAGCTACAATGTGTGCGAAGAATCTCAAGACCTTAGTCTTGTCAGCCGATATGGGCATTTCAAATAACACAATAACGCAAATCCTTCGTCGACGGCCGACCCTGGTCAACCTCGAATGTTTCAATGTCATTCCGGGTGATAGAGTTGCAGACTGGCAATCCGACATGCCACATCTCAAGAAGCTCACTTTACATGTCGGTCTCAAACACACTATAAACATCGAGCAGTTTCACCTGGTAAGTCTTCTGCTTCGAGCATCACATCGCCTGATAGTTAACTTTTCTTTCAGGGTTCACTCTTCACTCGAGCCCCCAATTTGACCCATCTCTCGCTCTCGCACTTTGCTGGCCAACTACCTTCGGAATCCTTCAGCCTCCTTCCCTCACTCGAAAGTCTCAACCTTGATCGTCTATATATCGCAAATCCTGTTCCACTCCCCTACAGCATCCGTAAAATCGGGCTCACACGCATTCAAAAACTCTCTCCCGCAGCGTTATGGCAAGCCCAGGTCATTGTCCACGACCCGGCCCTTGTCGAAGTTCCAGCAACCGGAGTCGCAAGTCTCACCGAAATCGAAATCTCGCACTTCGATCTTGGTAGTACATGGGAAGGACTGCGTGAGCTCTTGAACGGCTTGGAATCGGCGCCTATGCACGCCGTAGAGAGACCTACGCCACAACTCGCACGCTTCGGTATCCCGGAATGTATAACGTACTTCGATCTATCGGTGAAGCAGACGCGTGCGAAGATCATGGAATTGCTGAGCCTACCGGCGTTGAGCTCACTGCAAGACCTTTGTTTGGAGGGTTGTAGACTGTCGGATAGTGAGTTTACCAAGTTCCCTGAGCTCTTCCCAAGGTTGGAGTCGTTGAACTTGTCTAACACGAAGGTGACGGGAGTGAGTGTCAGGGCATTGGTGGGAGGTATGAGGGAGTTGCGATTATTGAAGCTCAATGACTGCACTGACATGAACCCGGATGCTGTGGAATGGGCGAGGGCGAAGGGAATCACTGTCGAGCAGTCGCATGGGAGATCGTCTAAAGGCGGAAAAAGGTTGAGCAGCGTGTACTGATGAGCTGAACGCACAATGAACTAAGCGTACTGGCATCGACATGATCTGTACGAGAAGACGTACTCATTGCATATAATCATTCACCGTTGATTTGTCGAAAAGACCTGGACTATTGGCTGAATGCACAAAGTATTTCCTATTGACAACGTTACGTCAGCCTAATTGCGTCCACCTTGTCTTTGCTTGGCCCCTTTCTTCTCTGGTCCTTTCTTTTTGGCTTTATTCTGCCTCTTAAGATATCTGACAGCAGCTTTTCTATCGTCCTTTGTCGCAGTCGCCGGGTTCTTGCCCATTTCCATAAGTATCTTGTCTCGATTAACCTTTATCCACGACTTCTTCGTTTTCCCATCGTCATCGCTGCTTTCCTGTTCTTCCTCGGCATCCAACGATATAAAACCGTCGCCACGCATCTGTCGCCGCTTCTTAGCGCGCCTCTTCTTCTGTCGCGCTTCGTAATATGCCTCAACACTAAGTCCCTTTTCTAACGCACGCTTCTTGTAATTTTCAAGCTTCTTTGCCGGTAATTCCGCCAAAGCAGATTGCAATGGTGGTGCAGCCTTTTTGTCTTCCTCAATCTTCTTCCCCAGTGTGTCGCCGTGCTTGATGACCTCCTCGACAGTTCTCTGCAGATACAGGGCTTGGCGCTTGTGCTTTTTCAGCAGTATGAACTGTCTTTTAGTCTCGTTGAACGTAGCCGGCGGTACATCCCAGCCTACGCGCTTCAGCTGCTCTTCAAGTGTCACGCTGTTCATCTCGGCGTCACGCGTAGCAAGTTTTCGCTGGGTTTTTTGCAGCTTTGGGAGCCATATTTCATAGTTTTCTGCGTCGCTTAGTTTGCACTTTTTAGGCATCTTCTTGAGGAATGCGTCATCTTTAGCGGCAAGTCGACGTTTATTGACCTTTGCTTTTTTCGTCATGGTGGTAGATTCCGAGGATGAGGTTGCAGAGGGAGGTTCGGATGATGAGCGGTCGGAGGTATTGAATGATGCAAGGGACTCTATTGTAGATACTGATAGTGTGGACTCAGCGCCAATTGTCCCTTGAAGACCTTCGCCTCGTACGAAGAAGCCGTATAGTCCGCCTCGGGAGACGCCTTTCTCTGTGATGGATTGTAGAGTAGTCTAAAAGGAACCGAATCAGCTATGTGTGTTGGAAAGAAAGGTAAACATTCATCTCTACCTTGTTCCCAGTGCCTAATTCTTTTAGACTCTCGTCAAATGCTCGCATCCACCATTGATCCGATACCAGATTCTTTTTCTTACCAATGCCCAGTAGGTCCTGCTTATTTGAGACAAGTAAGGGTTTCGCAAGGCCACGACCTTCCGAGTCAAGTGAGTGCCCTGTACCGCGCCAGCCTTGGGCTTTCAGTATATTGGCGGCGTCCATACAACGGTACCAAGGTTGTATTGAAGAAATTCCGCATGGGCCTAGGAAAAGTTTTAGTGGGGCCTGTTATCGCACCGCTTCGATCTTGGCGTTCCTCGGCGGTCTAGTCTACAAATAGATTAGTCTTTTTGTACCATAATAACGAGACTTAGAGCCTCGTCAAGCTTGAATAATGTCTATCGTCAAATTCAATCCCTTGCATCCCTTCCAAATACCTTTTGACTCCCATCTTTCGGTCTCAGCCGGACTTTTATCTTTGAGAATCGCCGTGATGCATTTCGCTCACTGTGGTGATAATATGTACGAGCAATGAGTCTTGGGTTAGCTGCATATTCCATCTCACTCTGCGGGTTTGGTGTCTCGGTCGCTCGATGATCGGATATTTCCTCTGCGGTATTCACCAGGAGTGGTGATTGCTCTAGTCCTGATGTTGGGTCCGCCATGACTATGAAATAAAGTTGAAAGCGATAAATTCTATAGAGTATTCTGGAGGTTGAGGAGGACTAGGCTGTGAGACAACAGGACAGAGCTAACTGGTAGGATTCGATCCGATTCATGCATTTTTACCTGCCCAGCCCCTCAGAGGCCCAAGAACGCCGTCCAAATGACAATCGTGCGGCTAAGCCGTCAGGTTTTCGAAGACAACGACAACATCTCGCAACGCCTGCAATCTAGCGTCAACGTCTCGCTTCTTCCTCTCAGCCAGGTTCATAGCCTCAGTGACATCCTTTCCATGAACCTGCTTCAACTCCATCAAAGCTGCATGCGTGTCACTTTGCTCCTGTTCCGCCTCAGTTATCCTTCCTTTGAACTTTTTGACTTCACTTGCGGCATTCTGTACGTGATCCTTGACATCAAGGAAGACATTCGCGTCTGCGGAAACAGGATGCACCGCACAGTGAGCAGGTATCGATGCGCCAACATTCAGCACACTGATTTCAACGGATGTTTTGCCACTCAGTGATTTGATCGCAGCTAATTGAGCTGCAATCGTGTCACGCGAAGTTTCATTCAAAGGTGAGATGTAAGCAACCCCCTTTTCTCTCACCGCGTAGTCCGACAGCAAGGAACGTAGGCCTTTAGAGCACCCCAACACAAGCTCATAAGCCGATTCTGACGTTGGATCGTGAATGGACGCATCATACTCGGGATACTCGGCAATGGTGATGGAGGATGTGTTGTCTTTTGGCCTTCGCGGTAGGCGTTGCCAAAGCTCTTCAGTCAAAAAGGGCATGAAGGGCGATACGAGTCGCAGGCCAGTTTCTAATGCGGTGTAAAGTGTATCCATTGCGGAACGAGCTTCTTCGGCGGTGCCGTCTGTGATGATGGACTTGGAGTTCTCGATATAAATGTCGAAAAGTTCATCGTACAAATACCGGTAGGCGATTTGAGTGGATCTTGCGAATTCGCGCTCCTCAAGAGCACGATTTGCTTGCTTGGCAGCAAGTGTCATCTTTGTCAGGATCCATCGTTCTGGGAGACTTTCTTTCCCACTTAATATGCAACTGGCTCTGGGGACGAACTCGGCGCCAAGCTTTCCGAGAGCATATTTCGTCGCTTGATAGATCTTGTTGCAGAACTTGCGATAGCCATGCATTGTCTTTACATCGAAGTTTATGTCGCTGCCAGAGACCTGAGTGTAATTAATGAGGGAGAAACGCAAGGCGTCGGCCCCGATCTCCGGTATCCCTTGTGGAAAAGCCTTTCTCTGAAATTTCTCGGCATTCTTAATTTCACTCTGGGCGAGATTGCCACTCAAGAGCTTTTGATGCAAGCCATCAAGGCTAATGCCATCTAGTATATCAACCGGGTCGATAACGTTGCCAAGGGATTTCGACATTTTTCTACCTTCACTATCGCGAATTAAGCCATGGCAATAGACTTCAGTGAAGGGTATTTTCCCGGTCAGTTTTAGTGAAAACATAATCATTCGGCTCACCCAGAAAGGGATGATATCCCAGCCTGTTTCGAGGGTCGTAGTTGGGAAAAACTTCTCGAGGTCCGAGGTCTTAGCTGGCCATCCGAGAGTACTGCATGGCCATAGGCCGGAGCTGAACCATGTATCTAAGACATCCTCGTCCTGCTTCACTGATACTTCTTTTCCAGGAAACTTTTGCTCTGCTTTGGCCTGTGCCTCGGAATGTGTTCTCCCGCATACCCAGTAGTTGTCATCAGCATCAGTCTGGTGATCTTCACCTTTGATAGTAATATGATAGGCTGGGATTTGATGACCCCACCAAAGCTGCCTCGAAAGACACCAGTCTTGAAGGTCTCGCATCCACTGCAGATATAGTCGCTTTTGTAGCTCTGGGCGAATAACGAGTTCTCCGCTTTCCACTACTTCCATCGCCGGTCCTGTCAGGGGTTTCATGCGCATCCACCATTGAGGTTTTAAGAGAGGTTCTATGATATCGCCTGAACGACTACAGATAGGCACGACCATCTTGTTGGACTCCTGTCTCGTGTATAATCCCTGGCGTTTGAGTTCGTTGATGACGCCGTATCTAGCATTGAACCTTTTCTCTCCTTCAAAGGGTCCGGCGTTGCTATTTAATGTCCCGTCTTCGTTCAAGATGCTGATAAAAGGCAGATTATGTTTTTTGCCGAGATTGAAATCGTTGTGGTCGTGTGCAGGTGTCAATTTCACGGCACCAGTACCGAAATGCCGGTCAACATATTCGTCAGCAATGATCCGCAGTTTTCTTCCGGGAATGATCGGATGTTGTGCAACCTGGCCGATGAACGTTTGGTATCGCTCATCTGAAGGATGCACGGCGATCCCGGTATCACCCAGCATCGTCTCTGGCCTGGTTGTGGCGACTTCAATTGTCTCATCTGAACCATCAATTCTGTATTTGAAATACGTAAGTGTTCCGAACTCGATTTTTCTATCGTAACCCGGCACTTCAAGCTTTGTCGTTCCTTCGATCTCCTTTTGATTGACCTCAAGAGTTGACAAGGCAGTAGACAAGCGACAGGACCAGTGTACAAGCCTGTTAGCGCGGTAGATAAGACCTTCGGAATGGAACCTCAAGAAAGTTTCTGTAACCGCATTGGACAATTGTGGGCTCATTGTGAAGGCTTCTCGTGACCAGTCTACAGAGACACCTAGTCTGCGTATGGTACTGTTTATTGCCTTGTGGTAATCCTCTTTCCAATCCTGGCATATCTGCACGAATTCAGCCCGACTAAAATCTTGCCTTTTGGATTTCCCGCCGATTGGATTTTTGGCGAGCTGTTTTTCAACAACGGCTTGAGTGGCAATACCTGCATGATCCGTGCCAGGAATGTAAAGGGTTGTAAACTGTCGCATGCGATGCCATCTCGTGAGAGTGTCTTCCAGGGACAGTGCCAGGGCGTGACCTATGTGTAGTCTGCCAGTAACCTGGAAAACTTTAGTAAAGGGCCGACGCAAGAGACCAAACATGTATAGGTTATTACATTTGGCGGTGGTATGGCGATAACATATTTCCCTTTTGGCCTGAGACTACCGTCCTCCTCTAGTTGTGGTTTGAATAAACCCTGAGCCTCCCAAAAGCCATACCACGCAGATTCCACAACCCTAGGTAGATAGGCTTTATGAAAGTCATCATCCAGGGGTTTCAGGATCTTTTTCTGCCCTATGGGCGTCTCCTCAATCCAGTCTTTCGGCTCAACATGAGAAATCTCTTTCTTTTTAGCTCTCTTCTCTTTGATAGCATCACTAGTTTGTTGCAGCTCTTTCTGGTGGGCTTGTTTTCTGGTAAACTTTTCGAGCTTCAAGCGCTGCTTTTCGCTCATGGGTTTTGCGGCAGGCGGCAGCGTTGAAGTCATCCTTATAGACAGAGAGGTAGAGATTCTGCGGGGCAAGGTAACAATCCAGGCGGCGGGTGATCTTAAAGGTAGCGCGGACTATGTGAGTCAGAGTGTCATATGTTCAAAACTAAAATGTAAATTGTCAAACGCAGGATCTAAAAATCAAAATTCCACCGTATCCCTCTCTTATCTCTCTATCTAAAGGTTTCTTAAGTACTTAATATAGAATAGGTATAAAGCATATATATTCGTAGCCTATAAGGTCAATATCAGTTCAAAACATATATAACAATTTATTCCAAAGCCTGCGAGGTTATAATCAACAAAAACAGCCCAAAAGACGTGTAATAGATGTGGTTTCAAGGCCTGCAAGGCCAAATTCAGTTAAAAAAAACCGTCTATCAAGTATTGTTTTAGAAGAAGAGAGAGATGGGAATAAGAGATCGATGAAAGAGGAGTAAAAGAATACTAGAAATCCTTAGATAGTATATTAAAATATACTAGACGCTTGAGAATACCTTAATAAGTGAGGTGTGGGGTAGAATATTGGTTCTGAAATTTAAATTTTGCGTTTGGAGGTTTACGTTTAAGGTTTGAACATGTGGCACTCTGATTCTGACTCACATTCATCCATAGTCCGCGGTCAAAGGGCCCAACCCCTTAGCCATGCACCGTTACGTACGTCTCTCTGTTACACCTAGTATATAACTCGTATCGTTATCTCCTGTATTACCGTTATCTCGAAGGCGTTATCTCATATATCTCGATCCTGCTACTTAGTATAATAAGAGATTACAGCTTACTTAATCGTCAACCTAAGGTATCTACTTTGTTTTCTGGATAAATGCCGTAGTATTTTGCTTGATCAGACCGTTATCTCACTCTTAAACAATAGCCCGCACTCTCCTGGGAATTACGTGGTAGTAGCATTGAAGATACTATCAAAAATAACCGGACATGCGTGAAAGTTAGCACAGTGCAGGTACCTATCTCTCAGGGCGGATCTACGATGTCTTGGTCCTCACCAGTAACTATCAGTATGCTCCTTGCCGGCCTCCTTAGGTTCTATATTCTTAGCGATTGGATGGCGATTCGTAAGGCTTCCTTTGTTGCCGGCTCGACCGTTCTCGTGTAACGCTTTCATTAATATCCTCGTCCTTGCTAACATTCCAATCGGATGAACTTATTGGAAAGAGCTATTCGTTCTGCCTCTGAATCTACAAAATGTCCGTGGCTCGAGTCCTGTTGAAGCTGGGATCTTAATACTTCCGATGGTCATCACCCTTGGGCTCACATCATGTCTAAGCCGTATGCTCGTTTCCTTCCTCGGGCGATATAGATCTAATATCGTTACTGGAGATGTCTGTTGAATTTTCGACACTCTACCCAAAGTTGAACTACATTCAAAGACCCCTACTTGCCAGAATGTTGCAATCGATGTCTTAGACGGTGTAGGGGTAAGATGCTCGTTGTAGCCCGGTCAGTATACTGCCATTTCTATCATATTGGCATATAGTACGTACTGATACTATAGTTTGAAGTCTTTGTTAGTATTCTCGCGGAGACTAGGTCTATATGAAAGGACTTAGGGCTGTTTTTATTTCTTTCTCAATCCTAACTGCTTTCCTCGTATGCTACTCCTAGTACCCATAACTGTTGACATGCTCATGTGTCGCAATCTCCATTAAGCGACGGTTCTCTCTGATCAACATAGTACGAATCCACCATGCGCAAGCAATTGATCCTAGTGCAAGTCCTGCCGAAGCCCCAAATCCAGACGCATACCTAGGCTCGTCTGTCTTGGGCCACATGTAAGCGCCGTAAATATACCCGATCTGTCCACCAACATTTGTCATGGCTAAAATAACCTGTGCCTCGTTAGAGTTGCATCTCCGGGGGGGGGGGGGGTTTTGTGCTCACAGCTTTCTTTTCCTTTGTTTGGCCCAGTGTCGAGGATGCCCAGCCGACGATTACAGAATTGACTGAATATGCTCCCATAGCAAACACGAAGCATGCAACGTATCTTGCAGCGGTATTCAAGGTTGCCGCAGCCCATACAAATCCAACAATCGCCATGGATAGACCTGCAGTGATATGCCATGTTCTTTCGTGAAACCGTCCAGACGACCAGCCGAAGAAGATTCCAGTCGCTCCAGCGAAAAGAAAAGGGGGGCAACTGAGTACCAGCGTGACGGTCGTATTGAACCCCAATGTTTTCACAACACTACCAACGTCAGCAGAGTCGATGTCAGCGGAGAAGGCACCCGCAATGAGAGCATACATACGTGGGGAAGAAAGAATTGAATGAGCACGCCGCAAGATGCAAGTTCTGCATCAAACAAAACAGCCAAGTCTTTGGATCCTTGCACGCCTGTTTCAACCCTTTCAGCGTCGACGACTCGCCCTCATCACCAACTCTGTCCCTCTCCATCCGCGCATGTGCAAGCTCACGTTCCGCTGGCTTCAGCCACTTCGTCGTGAGCGGCGTATCCGGGAGAATGAAGAACCCGAACAGCGCAACGAAAGCCGTGATTGCGCCCTCAACAATAAACAGCCATCGCCACCCGGCAATGCCCCTTCTTCCATCTAGTCCAGCAAACACTCCGGCAGCGATGAGACCAGAGAAGCCCGTGGCGAGTATCTGCGCACAATAAAGACATGCAACTCTCGACGCGACCTCCTTGCGCGTGTAGAAGATGCTCAATACATATGTCGCACCAGGGTAGAATGGTGCCTCCGTGATGCCGAGCAGGAATCTGCACGCGACGAGACTACCGTAGGATTGCACGAGAGAAGTGCAACCGCTGACGACGGCCCAGATCAGCATCCAGGCGCTCATGTAGATGCTGGGACGGATGCGAGTGATGAGCATATTACTAGGGACTTGAGTGAGAACATAGCCGACGAAGAGGATAGAGACTGTTGTGTTGAACTGAGACCCGGACATTCCTAAGTCGTCTTCGAGGCCGTTGAGACGAGCTTGGGCGATCGCATTGCGATCGATGTAGTTCAGAAAGTACATGATACATAGGCAGGGCTAAGACATTATTAACCTAGTGTTCTGACGTGATTTAGTCAATGTGTCGCTCGCCATTATCATATAGTCCAGCTTTCGCACGAGCTTGATCTCAATGGGATTGGTTTTGGCGAGAGCGCCAGCATAGTCACCTTTCTGGTCTAGCATATTCTTCTCGGGTGCGTCTTCGAACTGCTCAATAGCAGTCGTTGTTGCGGCTGGGCTGCCACTCTTGGCCATTTTGGTCCTGGGTCGGTAGGTTTCGACACCGGTGTGTCAGGAATCTAGGGCCTTTGAACCGGAGCGCATACTCAACGCTTACTTTTATAGGACGCGGGAGATTGGTCTGGCCTGATTACAAGAGTGAGGGGAGCCCTGTATATATCTATCTGTGGCGCGTGACACCATGTCTCCGGTATCAGATTAGTCCACAGCTTGACCGACTCAATTAGTTGCTGTTGACGAAGCTGGCCATCGAAGTCGAGTCCTTCACGGTGAGATCGACCAAGAAACGACTATCCGAAATCTTTTCAAGCTACGTGAAGTCTGAACATTGGCTAGTGTCGAGTGTACAAAGTGATCAAAAGGGGTTAGTGTAATGTATGCAATATGCAGGGGATGTCCTGGACATGTGCAGTAGGACAATGAAAAGAGATTTCCCTCAAATACAGTCTTCAAGGAAGCAGGAGCATACGCATACAGCTCCACGCGCACCCACATCAAAGGCTGTAGATAAACATAATTAGAAGAAATAGGCCGTGCTACCGCTGTCACTCAAAAAAGTGGTGACACTAAAAAGGTTACCTTTCATCAATTCTAGCTAATTTGAAAGGAATCAAAACTAAAGGTACAGTATAGCTCTAATTTCTCATATAATCAGTGTTCTTAGCCATAATAACACTTTTAGACATGCTTAAGAGCAATATTGAATAACAGTAAACCCGATGTTCACGTTCCACGATCTTGTACTTTAGATATATCAGTTTAATATCTAAAGCCTAGAAATCATTACTCTACGCATCCCACCTACCTATACAGTCACAACCTCTTATGCACGATAATGACGGTTCTATATAATATAATACTTGACTATCGTACGGATACCAGCATAGTTTGAGAAAGAAGCTTACTTCGGATCTGTGAGGCGAGGCTAGGATGCAGAAACACCAATGTTACAGGGATATATACAGCGCCTACCGCAACGATCACTATGAGATGTGGCTCCTCTGCGAGTGGTATTGAAATTAGCAGTCTTTGACTATAATGCGAGCAGACACGACTGTGAAGGGTTGATCGTATAGCAAACGGTGGCACTGAATCGACATCACAATGTGTAGAATGCGTTCTGTCGGGTATATTCATATTCCTTCATCAATCATGTACATCCCTGTTCCACCCAGCTAGATACATCCCTCTCGTCCCATCATATACAGCGCCAGGCTAGTACGTGTACCTGAAGTCGCCATGGACATCATCGTCCTGGCTCTCCAGCCTCTTCTCGCCTCGTGCCTGCTTTCCGTTCTCGACGTAGAACGCCACGCTGAGAATACACACCAGCACAACGGTCAACAAGCAACAGGCAATACACGCGTACGCACCAGGGTGGTATGTAGGGCTATCTTGATCGCGAAACACCAAGCTACCGGCAATACCCCCGACACCACCAAACCCGACCAAGGTTGCGGAGCAGAATGCACGCTTCCATTGGCCGCGGATGTTGTTCGCCTGGTATGACATGACGGACGGGACGTTTGCGTTTGCGCCTGCGGTGACGAGGAAGACGCCAAAGTAGCGCACGGCGGGCGAGGAGTGGAAGCCCATGATTGGAAGGCCGATGAGGCAGAGTAGCATGTTGAAGAGGATGAGCGGTCCGCGGATCTTGAATCTGTCGCCGACATAGCCGGTGCCGTACATGACAAATGCGCCAAAGACGTATGGCGGTGCGACGAGGCACTGCGAGGCGCCGATGCTGAATTTCATGTTGACATGGAGGATGATGGGCAGGAAGTATGCGAGTGCGTATGTTACAGTGGTTGTGTTGAAGAAAATCAGGGCATAGCACCAGATCTTCCAATCGGAGCCAGCGCCGAGAAACTTTCTCAGATTGAAAGGCTCAAGCTTGGTGTCGCCGCGGTCGCGGTTAACTTTACGTACGATAAAGGCGATTTCTTGAGGTGCCAGAAAGTGGAATGACTTGTAATTGACGTCGTCCGGGAAGCCCACCAGCGCCCAATAGCCACCGATGGCGATGATGCAGGTCACGGTGCCTTCGATAATGAAGATCCAGCGCCAGCCATTGAGCGAGGCCAGACCTTTCATTTGCATGAGACCATAAGCTAGGATGCCAGAGCAGGCGGAGGCGACACAGCCGATGATGTAGAAAAAGGAGTAACGCTTGCCGACCTCGTCTGAAAGGGTTAGATATGGCGTAATGAAATGGACTGGGGATATTTACAGCGGGTGTACCACGTGCTCAGGAGATAAACGCAGCTGGGAAAGAAGCCGGCCTCGAAAATACCGAGGACGAGGCGGAGAGCGGCCAGTTGCTGCCACTCACGCACAAAGCCCATACCGATCATGACGGCGCCCCAGAGGAGGGTGATAGTGGAGAGATGAACTCGAGGGCCGATTTTGCGGACGATGACAGTGGATGGCGGCTGGAAGACGATGTAGGTGATGAAAAAGAGTAGGGTGACGAGTGACTACAATGCGGTCAGGATACTGATCAGAATAAAGGACATTATTGACGTACGTATCGATTATTTCCGACCATGGCCAGATCAACTTTCATGCTGATTGATTGTCAGCAAGGAGCTTCGTATCACAATCAACGAAGCATACCCCGCGATATTCGCCGCAGACAGGTTCGTACGGTCCATGAGCGAGATGCAGTACATCAAGCCAACGGTCGAGACCAGACGTCGATCGACTCTTCGCACAATGGACCTCTGCTCTTGCGGCGAGAATTCCGTGTCGACATCAGAGTCAGAACCAGCGCTGTTGGCGGCTTCTTCGTAGAAGGCGCCGTGCTGCTTCTCAATTTCTGCCATTCTGGGTAACGTTGTTCAAACAAGCGTACGACCAGAAAAGGCTTGGAGCTGCGGTGCAAGCAAGTAATGCTGCTAGGAGAGTACTTATCAGGTAGAAGGCAACCTCTTCTCAAAGCTACAGCGGACTGGGTTGAATGCTGGGGGTATGCAAGGTATATACAGCAGTGAACACGAAATGCCGAGGACGGCTGATGAACACCCCAGTGCATCAAGTGCTTGGCTGTCCATGCTTTGCAGAAGCGAAGGAATGCAAGACCTGGGGTAGTACGGGCCAATGTTCCCCATGCGGAAGACGCGGACAGGTGTCAATCGTGTATGCCATCGCAAACAGAGTCGCCGCGGCCGGCAATTCGTATGGCAAACAGCTTGTCAACATTGGCACTCACGGCCAGACCGGCCTCAAACGTGGCGCAACCCACTCACCTGTCGAATCCAAGCACGCTAGAAGTTGCAGAAGCCCCAAAGATGCCAATCAGCTGCTATGCCAAGCAAGGGTGTCGGTGCGAATGGTGAAAATACGGGACTATTCACACCATGGTTTGCCCCTCAAGGGATGGGGTCGACGTATATTCCAAACGACGGCGAGCGTGTATCATATGACTGCAGCCACCCAGCAGCGTAGAAGGAACAGCTTTGGCAGGATTCTTCTGTCGGACCCAGCGCGGGTCCTTGCAATCAATCCTCCTCTGCTACCAAACAAGATAAGCATCGGAGAAGCACATACGTGCATGCAAGATGGCTGATTAAACGGGCCTATGCTGCATGTACGCAGGAAGCAGGAAGCAGGAAGCAGGAAGCCCGCCGTGATTATTCGCCGAAAGCATGGACAAGAACCATCACGGTCTGACAGGAAGAACATCCCCAACGTGCTTCACAACCGTCGAGTTGCCGCCCATGTATGGTGCTGACTCGCGATAGAACTGATCGCAGGCCTCTCCGCATTCTCGGAAACGGCTTGAGAAGCCATCCGCAAAAAAACCTGGGGGATCCGCAGGTGACAAAACGTGGCGTTACTCTTTTGTCCCTAATGCCCGTCTTTCCGTCTGCGAGGGGCGAAGTCGGGTCCCATATTCCTGAATTCTGCATCATGCCGACGACACAGATGCCCATATGCTTGCCAAGGGGTGTAGCGGTCTTGGTCGGGCTTGATAGATGCCCTTGCGTTCCATTATGCCTATCCATGCACCGCACTCCGCCAAGATGTAACGACTTGGCACTTGGCGAGACCTGGGATATTTCCCCCCGGCTGAATCCTGATGGATCATGGAGAACGTCACTGACAAGAGTAATTTGCGCGTCTGGGATGTTAAACACCACAATTCTTCGGCGTACGCGAGAGCTAAAATAGCATCGCGTTGACGATATATCGAACTGTGGAATAGACCCATGTCCAAGACGTGGAAACGGGTAAATCTCGTGTACCCTGCTATTGCAAAGTCCCAAGTACTCTAGGGTCTCGGAGAAAAACGTCAGCTTATACAGAGGCCGCTCTATTGTTCTTCTAATTATACTCTTGGTTTAATTTAACTTGAACTCTGATAGGCTTGCTTTGGTAATAAGTACTGTGGTTTTTATTCATTGGCTTAGCTCTTCTTTTTTTCCAGGACTAAAATGTTCATCCTGCTAGAAACAGATCGAGGCTTGATGTAGATGCATAAGAATGCAATGTCTTCTTCTAACTTTTCTCTGGACCTATCGCAATATAGCGGTAGCTCGTTACTTTTCATAGCCCGAAGCCAGCGCATATGTCTGACGCTCACGGTCAACGTACCACGGGACATTGTAACAATACGGAAACAAAGCGAGACGAAGCACAACTCTGGGAGAATTGGCTTCTGACAACGCAACGTCTGTTAAGATGTATCGCATATTGACAAGTTGGCATTTTCTATTCACGTGATGGCCAGTGGAAACGACAGCGCTGCGTAGTCAATTGGCTCGACATTTTGCTGTCGTAACAGGGAAGCTTAAATCTTATCGCCTGAGATGCGCTCCGCATCGGCAACCGCCATGTCTCTCGGCGTGAGCACATGCGCTCCCACGTACCCATTCTTTCGCTTGTAAATGTACCACATCGAGACGAAGATGCTTAGTCCGCCGGTTATGACGCAGGAATAGTTCATCGTCTGCGCCGAGAACGGCATACTATATGGGAAGCAGAAAATAACAACAAACACAATGATGTACGCGCTGCTGATGCTGTAGAATGAATATGCGACAATAGGTGGTAGTCGAAATGGACCTGGAACCAGATATGCACGCCTCGTGACCAGGTTTGGCAGGATCGCCATGAGATAGGACAGCGTGGTGAGAATCACGAATGATCCGACAAAGGCGCTGAATGCTGTCAGTGAACCAATGTATATCAGTCCCAGTACTGTGTTGATGATACCGCACATCAGAGTTGCGTTGAATGGGTTGTGTTTGCGCGGATGTATGCGACCTAGGTATTTACTAAATGGCGTTGCATCATCTCTCGCGAGAGTCCATAACATTCGTCCAGCGGTAATATAGGTCCCGACACATCCAGGGAGAAGTGGCAGGAAGATGATCAAGAGCAGACCAAATGCCCCACCTCTCGTCCCTGTGGCTTGACGATATATCTCGGCGATGGGCGACGTATAAGGATTGACGAAAACAGCGTCCAGATCGTTGATCGAGTAGAACAAAGCCGCAAGATAGCAGAATGCGGTCAAAAGTCCTATGACCATTTGAGCGGCAAGTGCCTTCGGAATATTGACTCGCGGGTTCGGAATTTCCTCCGCCAGATGCGTTATACAATCGGGTGTGCCGACTGCATATGCGCCATTCAACATACCCAGTAGAAACGCGAAGCCACTGCTGCTATACCCAGTCAAGTTTCGCCAGTCTTTCCATACAAATGCGTCAGAAGCATGGCCAGTGCCACTGGTCGATGGCATGATGGCACACACGAGAATCGTGATGAAGACACCGGCCAGAATGAGAAAGAGACCGAATTGATTGACCCGTGGGAGCGCCCTGTTGGCATACATCACACACAGACAGGATACCCAGGTGATGATGAGATAGGCAATGAAGACATGCCCTCGGACTAGGACGTAACCCGGATTAAACACACTGTACATGGACACAGCAAGCGTTGCTGCCACATTGCTCAAGGAAGTAGAGCCGAATATCCAAGCGAAGCAGTTCAGCCTGGGCATGGCTGGTCATCAGTGCGCTCGATCAAGTACATATATACCAACAGAGAACTTACCAGCCAGCATACCAGCCAACAACTTTCCCATATGTCGGACCTGCTGTCACCGTCGCCCAGTGATATACGCCTGCCGATGATGGGATTGACGACGCCAATTCAGCGATGCAGGTAGCGATGATCCAATAAAAGGCGGATACAGCCAAAAGCTCGTAGATGACACCAGGCGGGCCTCCATTGTAGAGCGAGACAACGATCGAGCCGCCCAACGCAGGCCATGTATTGCCACAAGTCAAACCGATAGAGCATGCACTGATCAAAGTGAAGTTGCGATCAACCTCTTGGACGTGACCAGATGCATTGATGACGGGATCACCAGCATTTGCCTCATCGGCTTGATATGCAGGTACTCCGGGCAAGAATGCTGGAGGCTTTTCCGTGGCCTTTTCCATCCCGAGGCTCGCTCCGATTTAGCAGACCGAGATGGTATGGCCAGAAGTTCGAGTGACTCGGACGAACATGAGAGGTCGCGTGTCGGAGAGGCGGGACATACTGCACGATGCATGGTAGATGGTTGAGTAGTAAGAGAAGTTAGGATGCCAGGCTGTTGAATAAGCAGATAGTCAAGAAGCCAGATCTGCATCTCATCTGCGTCTCAGGGAGTCTACCGAGCTCTAATTGGCTTAATGTTGCTACGCGATAACGCTTCTGTCAAAGTGGACGACGCGGACAGACGTAGGGAAGGGCTGACAAGGTTGCCGGCGCAGAATGCCACATGCCGAGTTGCTTCTGCTGCGGGCAGTCTTGTGCATCAACACTCATGCTATTCTTATGAAAATCAGCTCTTCTTGGTAGGAAGCTCGTAAGAAGCACCCAGCTACAGATTTTGATGGAAACGGGCGAGTCGAGTTGTTAAAAAAAACCGGACTCCGGGGCCGGTCCCGGACGTGTTTCCACAAGGGGTCCACTCCGACTTCCTCCACTCTGGCAAACTGCCGACCTCCGTAAGTGCAGGTCCAAAGTTGTGTTTCGTCGTCTATCGATGTGACTCACATAATATTCAACCGACGACGCTGTTCAAGTGTCACCATTACCGCTACGGTAATATACCCTCTTTAGATGTACTTTACCTGATTACACCCTGATTCTTGTTCCCAATCAACATTGTGCTGAACATTTGGAGGGGAGCTTTCGCGTAAGAGCTTTGGTTTCGAGGCCATAACCAGAGCTCCTCAATTTCGCCAATCCTCCACTTGATTGTGGTAGAACTTCCGCATTGACTTCGCCTTGCCCAAGTCCCAAAATTTCCCATTCTTGTCGGTTTGTCCCATGAAGTATGGACGTCTACCTGTGTCTTTCCGCGACCAAAACGTGTGCTTGGTACCAGTATGTCACACGATTTAGGCTTTCTTAAGGAAGGTCTTCGCGTGCGCGCGAGAGATATAATCCGCGTCATGTCTCGTACGCTTGCATCAGCTTTTGGGTCGTGTCTCGCAGTATCCACGAATTCGGCTCTGTTATGCGACTGACAGGGTGTTTCGACGGTACAGCAAATGCTCAATACATTCTCGTCTGTATACTGCGCTACGGTCCTACTGCGAGAGCAATCGCGAGGTACGTGACAGGCGGAGTTAGAGCAGCGCCTGAAGCGGGACCAGCGCATCCATGGATGTATTTATCAAAATCATCCCCTCCTCTCAACTCAACATTCCCGTTGTAACATTGAGATGGCCGACTCTACTATTGTCATGATATCAGCTCCTCGGTGTGTGTCAGAAGCCTGATGTGTTTAGCGGCCGGATAAGTGTCCAAGGAGCTTCTTGCTGGCTCACCTCACCATTGTGACCAATTCATCCAATACTGACACAACAATAGCTGCACGGATACGGAAACGTCTCTCGTATATCCGGCCCCTATCCAGTCAAGCGCGAGACGGTATGAATGAGTTGCTATCAAGTAGCCCACAGATCTGCCAACAGGGCAGTGCACGCACCGTTGGCATCGGCTTTGGCGTTGTTGGCTAATTAGCTTTGTTCCAATTTTCGGATCTGTCTCACATGCGCGCGTGGCTGGCCACGACCTCGTGTTTTGCATATTGTCATTGGTTGGACACAAGACAGCGCCACGGTCTGCTCAGCTGAATCACGAATGCCTCGTTGACGGTTCGGTCTAGCGAATTGTGGCTCGCATAAGCGCGTACTAGCGCCACCCCTATTCATTTGGGCGGATTTGGGGGCTTAGATCCCGTGCAGGACTCTCTTCGCAAGGCTTATTTTGGGAAGCAACATCGAACCGCTAGTTGGCCATGTCAGAATACGGGATGGCTTGCATTGTACATATGAAGGGCAAGGCCAGTCATGTTTGCTCTGACATTCCGGTCTCCTTGCGCGGCACCATATTCCAGTCTCTCGACGCGCTTGACTACAGTCAATTAAATCCGATATGGCTCCAAGACGCGGCGGCGGTGGAGGTGGCTATAGCTATGGCGACAGCAGCAGCGTGAGCAATCGTTGTGCTGAAGCTGGCGCATTCGCAGACACACTTTCAAGGGGGTTTCTTGCCATCATGGCGGTCTTTGCGGCACTTCAGATCCTGGTGATTATCATGTACTTTGTTGTGCGTCTGCGGACAAAGACTACAAAGAATATCGCGAGATTCTACACCTTTGGATTCTCCATCGTCCTCGCGTTGCTGTAAGTCTTGAGGTGACAACACGTCCAGTCATGGTCCCGTACTGACACCGTCCAGGGCAAAAATCTTATACATCATCAGCACAACACTCGTGCAATGTGCTATCATCGTGGACATCGACTCATCAAACAGGCTTTACGTCGCCATCGAATGGCTCAGCGTCCTCGCCATCATCGTTCTCCTCTACGTGATCCTCGTCCCCGCGCCCTCGGTCCTCCTCTCCGTCGCCGGCACGAGTAATGGCTTCCGACGCATGGTCAAGATCGGTGAACTTGCCGGCTTCACCATTGTGGCCCTCCTTCTCATCGTCTATCTTGGCATCTACACCCACTATATCGACCACACGATCGATTCGGGCTCCGACAACTACGACCTCTACGTCTCCGCATTGAAGATCTACGCCGCCGCCATGTTCCTCGCCTTCATCCTCGTCTGCGTCGCAGTGGGCAGCATGCTCCTCGCAGTCCTCAGGATGCGCAGCTCCCCAACTGTGCAACGAGGCGTACGTATTCCCCGCTCTCAGACACACATCCTACTAACCCACCCTCCAGTCCCTCGTCGTCCTAGTCCCCCTCCTCTTCATCGGCATCGCCGGTCTGACCCTCACCGAGTTCGCAATCTTCATTAGCAGCATACGGTCCCTCGAAGACGTTGACTACAACGGCATCACCGAAGCCTCGCTGCTTGCCAGATCCGCCATCGACCGTCTGTTTGAGTTTATCGCCTACGTCGCCATCCTACTTGTTGCCGGGAGCGCTGCTGTTGCTGCATACGACCCGTCGAATCCGGACGGCCATGCCGTGAATGGCGGCGCGTTCGACAAGCATGGCCACGCGCCCGACTATGCAGGCGTGGGCTATCAGGGCGTGCCGTATCAGAGCGAGGCGCCGCCGCAGCACATGCAGCAAACGCAGTATCCGCCGCAGAACGTGCCGCAGGCGTATGGTGGACATCAGCAGTATTAAGGGGCATGATGTATAGTTATCTTTTGTGCTTGCGATGGGCGGGTGGTTGACGTGTGCTGTAACGATAATGATAATGACGAATCTGAAATATCCACCAGAGTCAATGAGGCTTGTTGTGCTTTGTTCTCCTTTTGAACTGCCGGTGCACGGGCAAGGTCACATGCGGTCTTGAGGCCGATGTGGCAGGGCATTTGGGCTTGGTCGTAGGATAGAACTGCTTCGGGTGGCTTGCATTCGCCGTAGACCCTGGGATCACAATCCATACAACGGCATGCATTGACTCCTGAATACCCGACCATACTCCCTCTACGACTGGTGCTCTGTGTACCTACCTGTAGCCGTCGATGCATATCCCGAATTCCACAACCATGAGTCACATCGTCTCACTATCCAAACATGCACGCCTAGCATATCATTTCCCAACCTAGGACGTGTAGAGAGCAGGATGATCATCACGTCTGAAAAGGTGACGGCGGGGGTGTGCGATAGGCACTGGCTTGGCCGGCGCGTGCTGATGGATATTCGGGGTCGGGAGCAGCTCAGGTCGAGCGTGGGGCGGAGTATGTGTACGGTTATGCATAAGCAGTTGGTGTGTCTGTCTGTTTCTTTGTCCCTCAGGGGCGCGCAATCCAAGCATCAAGACAGGCAATCCAAACATCAACACTACTAACCCAAAACCCCACAGTTCATCAACAGCTTCATAGGCAGACAGCCACCGGCAGACGAATAGCTGCCGTGATTCCGCCCCGTCGTGAGCGCGGACGGAGGCGGGAGCGTGATCCTCGAGTATGCCAGGGAGGTATACCAGGTCGCGCACCGGCACGCGGACTCGAAGAGCTCCAAGACAATCGATGAGAAGAAGCTCGTCACCTTGATCACCGCGTGCATGGCCGTCGACGCCCGCCTGCAGGACACCATCCTCAAGCTCCCCTCCCTCCGACTTCGCCGCGGACAAGAAGAAGAGCCCCCCCTGGCTCAGCACATGGGCTGCGACGAACGTCCATCCCGACGACCGCACGCACGACGCCCTCGTCAACGCATGCCGCCACGACGAAACCCGCTTCTACGCCGAATCGACCGCGGTCATAACCTGGACCCAGTACCGGACAGTCAGGATGCACGTCTTCCAAGTCCTCGACCTGCCGCGCCTGCGCGCCCAGTGGCACCGGCAGAGCGCCGAGATGGTCGAGGACTCTTGCGCCACGGTGCCGCATCTGATGGGCGGGCTGGATCCCCGCTCGTGAGATCAAGTGGGGTGTGGGTGTGTCGTTGAGGGGGTAATATGCTGCTCTGGCCGCTGCGCGCGGCGATCTTGGCGGTGGGCGTCTCTGCGGAGCGGCGGGAGTGGATTTCGTTGACGCTGGAGCGGATCGGTAGTACGCTGGGTATCGGACAGGCTTTGGGACTGGCGCAGCTGGGGCGTTCTGGTGTTGCGGTCGAGTCGCGGATGAGTTGTGGTCTTGGTCGGATGGAGGAGATGGCGGCTGATGTGACTTCCAAGGGGTGTCTTGTTTGGGGAGTAGTATGTGCCGCTGCCTCAGTATTCGGGAAAGTCTCTGTCAACCTTGTCTCGCCATGCTTTCAGCCCGCCCGCCACGTCTACGATTCGTCGTCGTCCGCCCTCGTCCAGAGCCAGCTCGCGGAACCTCTTCACGGTGAGCTGCGAATCGTTGCCCAGTCTACAGATGATGTACAGTGCCTGATCAAGCGGGATTCTCCGGAGTTCGTCAACCCAAGTGGCAGACGGGCCCGTTGCAGAGGGGTCGGTACTGCTGATGACCGAGTATGGAATGTTGATACTGCCCTTCAGACTACAGAGATCGAACTGGACCTTTTCTCGCACGTCGAGCACGACGGGCGGGGCAGCAAGTGGTCTGCCGAAATGCACCTCCTGCTCCGAGTCGGCAATCAGCTGGGCAAACGACTTGACCGATATCCGCTCACTGGGCTGCAGGGCCGCGACGGGACTGCTGACGCCACAGAACTGGACGTAGTCCAGACTCCCCGAGTTCAGCGACTCGACGGTGACGGACGCTTGCGCCGAACACGCGGCACAGTCTGCTCTCCGGGAGCGCAGCCGTATGGAGCGGAACATGGGCTTTGAAAACGACGAGAACAAGAGCAGGTTAGGCGGGTCTGCTTTCTTGCGCTGCTGCTGCTGCTGCTGCTGGGCGTCGATCTCGTCCAGCTCCATCGGCGTGTCCTCTTCGCTGCTGGTCGCTATGATGACTTTGAGCGCCTCGAGGGACTGCAGCACGCCCATGGTGCCCACGACCGGACCCAGGATGCCGCCCTCGCCGCATGTCACTACACTGGCTGCCGGGGGCGGCTTCGGGAAGATGCATCTGTAGCATGGCCCGCCGTGGACATCGCCGGCCGGGCGAGGCGGGTTGTTGAGCACCATCAGCTGGCCTTCGGTGCGCAGGGCCGAGGCAGAGACGAGCGGCTTCCGCAGGAGAACACAGGAGTCGGATATCAGGTACCGCGACGCCGGTGTATCCGTGCAGTCGAGGACGACGTCGTACTGGCTGATGATTCCCAGTGCGTTCTCCGGAAAGATGCGTTCATGGTGCGGAATGCATTGCACTTCGTCGTTGAGTCTGGGGGCGTTTAGCAGATACAGGTGGACAAGGGGTCGTAGATAGAATACACACCCATTGATGTACAACACCGCGCTCTCAACCTTGGACATGCCCACCTTTGCCGTGCCATGCAGAATCTGGCGGTGCAAGTTCGACACCTCGACATCATCCGCATCCACCAAGCCAATCGTGCCCACACCCGCACCCGCCAGATACGCCGCCGCCGGACAGCCCAGCCCCCCAACGCCAACAATCAACACCGACGCATTCTTCAGCTTCATCTGTCCTGCACGCCCCGTCAGCATCATCCACCACTCCCCCAAGCAACACAAGAAACCCACCAGCCAGCCCAACCTCGGGCATAATCAACTGCCTGCCATACCGCCTATACTCATCCCCACTCAACGGCCACTCCCTCCCGCCTTTCCTCTCCACTTCCCCATCCCCAAACCTCAGCGCCGCAAAAATCTCATTCTTCACATCGTCCGGAACCCCATCATTCATGCCGCCCGTGCCATAAAAATAGCCCGTGCGACGGAACGGCTCGGCCTCGATGCCGGCAGCACAGTACGAATTCGGCGTGTCCGTGTCCGGGGTGCGCAGCTGCGTGGTCTGGGACGGACATGTCGTCGTTGTCGTCGGCAGAGGATGTTTCTTGCGCTCGAGCGCGGATAGAGCGTCGCGTAGGGTGCAGAGCTGGGCTTCTGTGGCGGCAATCTGGCGGTGCAGAGAGGCGATTTTGTGGTCGAGGGTGGTGGGCGACATGGTGCGGAGGGTGCTGGAGTCGTGCAGTGTGGGCGGCATGGCTATATGGTCGTGTGTGCACAGTGAGTGAACCCTCTGAGGAGGATATGGGATTTTGTGGGATTCCTATTAGGTAATCCTCATTACTCAGAACTTATTCAGCGTTAGGCACATATATATAGTATATAGATAGACTTAGTAGACACGTTAATTAATTTTACTATATCTAATTGTAAGGAGGCGGGCTCCACGCACCAACCAACTACACCAAAAGGACCGAATCTTGAAGCTACTGCTTCAAGGGTGGAGCACACTGCTTATATACGACTGCTGCACACATGTATAATCAACTGGCAGGCACGTGCCTGACACTAATTTACTAAAGTACCTATATCTAGTAGCTAAAAACTAGTTTTATCCTTCTAAGGAGACTATCGCTTTAGCAATACCTCCTAAGGAGTAGCTATATTACCCCTTATATAAAAGGAAACTTATTAAATATATTTAACGCCTATAATAAACTATATAACTTACTAAATAATAATAAAAATAAACCTAGAGTCTAATATAAAAAACCCTTGTAAGGATTATAGACATAGAATAGTAGTCTAACAGGTTATAGGAGGATTCGGGAATATATTTAAAAGGGTAGTCTACTCTCTTAATAAGGTTAATTTCTAAAGAGTAGGAATTAAGTATATACGGCCTACTTATATAGTAGTCTCGCTTATTCTAGCTAGCTTACCCTAGGTCTACCTATTACGGACCGTACTAGACCATAGTATTCTAGTTAAGTCTATTCTAGTATTAGCCCTAATAATATCCTTCTTCTTTTTATACTTCGCCCTAAAGTACTTAGCTATATATAAATCTATAATTCTATAAGTGTTATATTTATACACGTATCTAATTAAATCTATATAATATTATTAATAGTCTTTATATTAGTAAACTTAAGCTCTAGTTCACTTTTATTTATATATACGCTTATCCCTTACTTTATAGCTACTACCTTAGAGATAGCTCCGTAGGTTATATAACCGCTATATTAACTAAGCTTATATTTAGTTCTCTTATTCTAAATTTTCTTCTCTAGTATATCTATCTTACTCTTAAGGTAAGTCGTTAATTCGTATACTATCTCCTTTAGTTTAGATCCGTTCGGGTCTAGAGTAGTCTATTTTCGTTAGAGCTAGTTCTATATAATCTATTCGCGTTATTATAGTTACTAATTTAGCTTCTTTAATCGCCTTTAAGGCTAAACGAGTATTCTACTCTTAGATCTCTAGCTAATATATATATATATATATATAGATATCTAATACTAGTCCTATTTCTAAGCCTACCTCCTCCTCTTATAAGACTTACTCTAAAGAGATTATCTCTACCCCGGCTATACCGGCTAAAAAATCTACTTATTATAGTAGTATAAAGACGCGCTCTAAGTTAGAGAAGAAGGTAGCTAAGACTACTACTACTATTACTACTAACGTAGCTACTAGTTACTCTAATCTAGGTAATTCTAGTACTAGTATTACGGAAGAGGTAGCTATAAAGTCTACCTATATCTACTCGCGCCGCCTATCTACTCTACCTCCTTTAGAGGATAAAGAAGATCTTATTATAGATAATAATTAAGAGTTTATACCTTCGCCGCCTTACTCTAAATACTATTCCTCTTTTTAGTCTAATATAGACTAACTTAGTTACTCTAGGTTCTTTTAGGACCTTAATATTTACTCTAAACCTAGCCCTAGTAATAATAAGGTCTAGGTCGCCGAAGATACTAAACATAGTCATGGTTTACGCTATAGAAAAACGGCGAACTATAGTTTAATATACTTTAAGTATATTAAGGCTCACGCTACCGGCTCTAAATATCTCTTCCGCTCTAACTCTAGTATTAGCTACTACTCTACTAACCGCGACGGGCCTATATATCTAATCTTTAAGCTCCCTACCCACTACCACCGCTATACTATCCTTAGTAAAGTTTATCTTTAGGTAAGTCTATTAGGCTATTTTAGTCTAGGGTAATCTAAAGTTATCTATACTAATACGTTTTTAGGTTTCTATTTATATATAAGATATATATAACGATCTTCGCGTCCGCGAGACTCTCGGCGGTTCTAGTAGTTATCTAGCTTCTATATATAGAGAGTTTAGAGAGCGCTATAAGCTCTTCCTAGAGGTTATTAAAGTATAAGTTTAGAAACCGTTAATTATTATTAACCTTAGCTTATAATTTTTAGTCGCCGCGAGATTCCTAGCGCTTAGACTATCTATTCTAGGGAGTCGGTTTTAGCTACTAAGGCCGTAGAAGAGATTTATACTATTCCTTCCCGCTCGCCTTATACTACTAACGGGTCTCGTAAGAGATCTACTAGTTCTCCTTCTAAGTTACCTTATAAGAGGGTATATATTCTATTCTAGATTATTCTAGACTATATTAGCTAACTTTAGGTCTAGTCGCTTCGCTCTAGCGCTTAGTTATCGTCTTACTAGGCTCTAACCGAGCGCGTGGTTACTCTAGAGGATAAGGTCTCTAACCTCCGTCGCTCTATTACTCGGTTAGTTTATTTACTATACTCTAAGAGTAATAATAAGATAGAGGAGTAGCTCTATGGCTCTATTTACTAGGGTTTCTATATAGTATATATTAGCTCTATCTACCTAGTTTCTATCCGTTTTAGTCCTTTTTAGACCGTTTAGATACCTATCTACTAGTTTTCTAGTAATTTAATTCTTAACGTAATAATATTATATACGTTCTTATTTATTCTATAACTATTAAATTTTAGGTTCTAATTTCCTTTAAGTTACTTAAGTATAGGCATCGTATATAAATTAGTTTATCTCTCTAAATTATATTAGAGTACCCGAACTAGTGGTCTAGTAGTTATCGGTTTAGGTACTCTAACCTTTTATATTATATATTACGAGTTTAATTCCGTAGTAGGGTACCTTTTTAGTTTCTTAGTTCTATATTCTTCTCGTGTATAATAGTCTATATTAGTCTATTCTAGACTTCTCTATGTTATTCTATTATAATATATCGCGTCGCGTGTCTATAACGGTTATTTACGTTTTCTTCGCGTTTAGTAACCATATATTACTTAAATTATAGGGCTACCTTATAGAGTTTTTCTAGTGTACGTTTAGGATTCGTAATTCGATACTTCGTTCTCTATAGTATTCTTCTTCTTTTTATAATAGCTCTAACGGCGCTAGGTTTATAGTAGTAACGTGTTATCCTATAACCTCTATTTATATATAGCTATCGCGGCACTTAAGATATATACTATAGGTTCCTAGGTATTCTTATCCTCGGTATAGTTCTTCTAATAGATTTAATACTTTTAGATACCGTTCTCGTCGAGCCTATGTTCGATAATATAGTCTACTTTATATATGTCTAGTCTATCTTAGAGTATAATAGAGTGTAATTACACGTTCGTACGTTTATATACGTTAGGTTAAAACCTTTTAAGTAATAAGACGTGGAATACGTTATAGACTTTTATATTATTTCCTAGGTTGAGCTCATAGGCTCTTATACTAATGCGACAAAAAAAACTTCTTATACCCTAACGGACTAAACTAGTTAATTCGGGGAAAAACAGCGATTTACATACATTAAACGATAGAGTATACCGAGTATAACAACCTCTAATATATATATATACGTATAGTATATAATACGCGACGATACCGATGTATAGAGATACTATATATATACGCTCGAAGACTCTTTAATAATATAAGTATAGACTATATCTAATAAACGCTAATATACTAACCCTCTTTTATTAGTTAAGGGCTACCCTTAACTAATAACTATGGCGGCCTTAGGTATTATAATACCCCGGTATACGCCGGATATACCCCTACTAGTATAGTAGAAACAGCCATATAGCGATATTAATATAGATAGCTAGATACCTATCTAAAATATAGAAACTAACTAAGGGTGCGAAGTACTATAGATAATCTAGACCAAGGGGACCCTAAGAGGGGAGACCCTCCTAGATAAAATTAAATACTAGATAATATATATAGAGAGGGACGCCGAGAAGGGAAAGAAGACCCTCCTTTATATATTTCGGGACCTTATCTAGAATCTAAGAGAAATTATAGAGGAAGAAAGGAAGTCGCTATAAGAGGAACCTAGTAGTAGACTCGACCGAATAGAAGCTAGCCTATAGAGAATCTAGAAAGAGCTATTCTAAGGTAAGCGCCCTAATACGTAGGCTTAGATTATAGTACTATCCGGAGCCACTATACTAAGGACTACTAGGACTATAGATAGAGTATATAGTATACGTATTATAATCTAGAATAAGGATACGCTAGCGTAGGTCTAACGGGCATCCCTAAAGGAAATTATAAATAAGATTAATAAATAGAAAGAAATATAGTCGAGCGTCGTGGCTACTAAAGTTACGCTAGGTGGGGTAGTACTTACTACTATAATAAATACTACGTAGTAAAACATCTTACGAGATCCGAACGCGATAGGTAGTATCTTCCCTAGCGCGTCTATTAGGGTAGCTATATACCCGATTATAGTATACGTAGTATCTATATATAGATAGGCTATTAGAGCGGAGGATATTACGTATATAGAATAATCTAACACGCGAAAATACTTAGGGATTAAGATTATAAAAGCGTGGTAGAAGAATCTATAGGCGATTAAGATAACGGCGAAAAAACACTCTACTATAATTATAGAGCTCCGAGACCCCGCCCTCGTATAA